TATTTGTAGAAAAAAGAATAAAATGCAACCTTATAACAATGGGAGAGTGGATCAAGCAGATAAAGCTAATTACATTTACAATGTGCTTTTAGATTTAACATTACTTTTTCTGAGAGTAAGAGAGTTGTTATTCGTCAATATAAAAATACCAACAATATTGCAATATTTTTTTGCAGTAAATAAATTAGTTTTGTTGTCTAACATAAATTGTGGATTTTAAGTCCAGAATTCATATCCACAAGCCACTGCAAGTGATTTATAGATTTAAAGTTTAGGCTATTACAGAAGAGAGATGGAATTTAAAATCAGCTGCTTGCTCTAAGCAATTAAATAGTAAAGATTTTTTATCAAGACAAGAGTATAAAGCTGAGTCATCAGCAAATAGAGCCACTTTAGATTTCATGAAGATCGTTATTGTAGATAAGAAACAATACAGGAGCAAAGTTGGAACCTTGTGGTACCCTATAATTTATATGAAATAAAGAAGAGGGTAGACCTTCAAGAATAACTTTAAAAATACAGTTAGAAATAATTTAATAACCTCAAAACCTTTATATAAAGAAACTAAAAACAGAGTGAAGAATAATCGTAGAATAATTGGAGAGGTCAAAGTGTTTTCTAGAGTTTTGAAAAATTTCACCCACTTATTTAGCACTTTTTAAAAGTTTATCAAAAATTGAAAAGAGTTCTGGAGAATACTATTATAAGACTGTGATGGAAATCTTGTCTTAAGCACAAACTGTAGAAGTTTTTAATTGAGAATTAACTTAAGCATTGGAAGCCAGAAGAAGAAAATTGGAAGAAGTAAAAAGATCAGACCTATGAATTAGAGATTAATGTTAGACTTACTTTAGCTAATGACACTGTTGAAGACTAACCAAAAGTCTCTAGAACCTAACATCTGAGATAAGATACAAGATTTACTAAACTGAGAATAACAGAGCTTAACATCAAACAGGACTTTTTTACATTGGCTTTTTGCAACAATAAAAGGACATTGGTTCTTAAGAGAGATGTTCTTGTAAAATAAGATTTAAAAAATGATTAATATTTAATAAAGCAACTGATCAAGATGGTGAAAAATGTGGAGTAGAATAAGGCTTGACTCAAAATTGAAGAGATGTAATGAAAGCTTCGAAACTTTTATTCCACAAGAAATAAAAACTTCCTAGATGTACTTTATGCATACATATTATGGATATAAAAATATATGTTTGTTATTTATTTAGATGCTGGCATACAATATCCTTTCATTGTTATATACACTCAAGTATTTATGTAGTATTTGCCGAAAGAGAAGATGATCAGATGGATATGTGGTGTGACTCGAGCAAGACAAGAAAAGATATAACTTTAGACAGATCAGAAAATAAGTTGTATTGAACACTTTTTGTAAGAAAAGAATGTAATTTAGGTATCAGCATGTAGAGAGGTATCAGCTTCAGTAGAAAGTGGTAGTGGTAGAAGTAAGAAAACTTGAAGAGAGTGCTTTACATATTGTATAAATGAGCTTTAGTTAAGAAAAAAAAATGCTCTAGATTGTTTATATTAAAGAAACATCATAAAAGAGGAAGGCAAGATCATTATCAAGAAGATAATGATAATCATTATGATTATCACCATCAGTTTTTAGTCTTCCTCATTTATGCTGTTGATGATGATGATGATAATGATGATAATGATGATAATGATGATGATGATCATGATCATGATGATGATGATCATCATCATAATAATGATGATTATAATCATGTTGATCATAATGATGTTTATATATGCATATATATACAAAATATATCATGAACTTTGAATTAAAAATATATACTTTAGGACATATAAATATTTATGCAGCCCCAGTCACAAACCTGGCCCAGGCCCCAACTATATTTTATCAAACCCGGCCCTGGCTCCAGCCCCAGTCAAATATCAACCCTGGTCACTTAATAGTTTTATATAAATTTGAGAAAATTTTAGATAAACATGCCCCACTAAAACCTCTGTCAAAACTTCTAATTCAAAAATTCTTATTACAGCATAAACAAAAGCCTTTTTAAACAAAACCCAAGGAATTCTGAATTCTATATAAATAAGTGATAAATCATACAAAATATTTAAAATTTATAAACTCAACCATTTACTCTAGTAAAAGAAAAAATATTTTGTTTATTTAAAATATACAGAAACAAAATCAACAATTTATTAAAAATTAGGAAAAAAGCTTCTATAACTTTCTTTAAATCAAATTAGAACAACTTAAAACACATGGAAAAGAATCAACAAAACTAAATATTGCTAAATAATTAGTAATGATAAACTGACTCTTTTAATAACTACTTTTTAAACATAACAGATAATCTATTTGAAAAAATCAAACCATCAAAAATAAATTTAACTTTTAAAAAACCCCTAATCTCAAGTCTTTCTTTCTTTTACCAGTAACAACAGGAGAGAATGAATCTTTACAATGAATAATAGTCTTCCTACTTCAATTTTACAGCTATCTAATAAAATCATGTTGGAACCCATTTTCGAAAAATTGTAAAAAAGTCATTTAAAAAAAGGAGTCTTCCCAAACTTTTTTAAAATTGCTAATGTTAGCCTAATTTACAAAAATGGCTGGAGATTTAAGCTAATTAATTACAGACCTATTTCATTATTTTCTAATTTAGTCTATATTTTTGAGAAAATGATGCATATAAGGCTATATTAACTTTTGTATTTATAATTGCAATATGGATATAAACATTCAACTATCTATGCTCTTATAGACTTTACAGTAGTGATCAATGGAGTTTACTACTGCAACCCTTTGAGTTAGGGTTGGTACCAATGGAGTTCACTTCTGCAAAGTCAGTATCTTAGTCAGTATCGTGTAAAAAAATTTATTTTACACAATACCTTTCTATTTAGGAATCCAATAATAATCTCTTAGACTAATTAATTAAACACATCCCTTTTAATAATGAATTAAACACATCCCTTAATAATGTGTCTTTTTTTTAAACATAGTCTTTTTTTATTTTTATATTAACGGAAAGGTATTAAACTCATACATAATCAGTTTCTTAGAATTATTTAGGATAAAATTATTTACTTTAAATCTCATCACTTTTTTAAAAACAAAGTTAAATCAATCTATTGGTATGTTGAACAAAGTAAGGTACTTAGTCAACTTGGAAACTGTGACTAACATTTATTATGCCTTGTTTGGCTCTCACTTAAGATATGTATGCCAGATTTAAGGGCAAATTAAAAGTAAATTTAAAAAAAAATTTAACTTTAGAACAAAGCCATTAAAGTTATCCACATTCAGAGCGACCACTTTGATAATTTTTTTTTTATATAAATAATGACAAATTTTGAAACTACAAGACAATATCAAACTCTTGAAATGCACCCTATTATGGGATTATTGCATGGTAGACTCCCAAATGTTTTTATTGCCTTCTTCTCACAGATCAGTAGCAAACTCCTACCTCCTTAGCTAATTATCATGCAAAAATATTTTTGTTGACTATATAAAAATACTACCATTATTTATTTTTTTTTATTATATCCTACTACCTTTACTACCTCTTCTCAATATTTTTTGGCATTACTCAATAATAATACATTTTTTACTACTAACAATATTCTATTTTTACTATTGCTATTAACAATTTTAAAGTTTTTATTCTTTACTATTTTATTATTGCTTTTTTTTAATAACTTAATGCTTTTTATTCATATTAATATTATTGTTATTATTATAAATTTTATCACATATATATATATATATATATATATATATATATATATATATATATATATATATATATATATATATATATATATATATATATATATATATATATATACTATTGCATGGTTGTGAAAAAGTTTCCTCCATAAAATGTTGCTTTAAATTGAATGTTAATAAACCCAGGACCTATTCTAGGAAAAAAATTTGAGCAGCGGTCTTCCCTACCCTACCCTTCCCCCCCTCCCTGTTTGGCGGACTTTATGGGAAAAGCGGCGTTTATTCGCAATATTTGTTGTAAAAAAGTAAAAAAAAAAAAAAGGGACCTCAAATTTTAATTTGGGCGGCGCCAAGACCAGAAAAAGTTAAAAAATTGAATTTAGTTTTTTTTTTAATGATAGATTGCTTGCCCAAACTAAACCCTCAGTCGATGTAGCAGCACTCCTCCCATGTTCTACGTATTTGTCAGCCAATGTAAAAGCACTCCTCACATGTTTTACCTATTTTTTAGTCTTGTATCAACACTCCTTGCATATAGAACCTATTTTTCAGTTGATGTAGCAATAATCCTTGCATGATTTTCTTATTTTTCTGTCAAAGTAACACTCCATGCATGCTTTTAAAATATTATAAAACAATAAAAAAAGCAAAAACAAAAACCATTATTTAAATAAAATTGGTATTCCATAAAAACACATCTAATCTTTACATCTGCATCTGCTAAGAATACCAAAAACATCTACAAATGGTGTATATGATTGTTTCAGATCTTTTAAAATGAATTAAAACTCTTGAAGTTGAAAATACAAATGCCTCAAATGCAATAATAAATAAACCCACAGTAAAACCCACAAGAAACTGAAGTAGTAATGATGGCTAAAATAACTAATGAATTTAATAACAGCGAATAACCCTGACTTTTCAATTGAAAATGAAAAAAGAATAATTTGACTAACAAAAAATCTGGATCTAATTCAACACTTAATAGTATAAAGAAGTATAAACACATTTTACAAACCAATCCCCTTCCTAACACTGCAAAAAAGAGCACCATAAATAAATAACTTTACCTCCTGTCACGTTATGATGATAATAAATGATAATCTCCTATCACAACAGCTTAGTATTCTAATGAAGACTGTAGTTTAAAAGATTTTTTACTTTTTTTGCCTCTTAGAAAATCTTAATATGTTTTAGAAACATTCAAAAACCATGTTTTTCTTTAAAAGGTTCTTTGAAAGTTTAAAATAATTTTAATTACCTGATGATGAAGTAGTTGCTCCAAATCCACTCCCAAACATGTTGCTAGCAGTAGTTTTTGCTGCATTCCCAAAACCAGTAAACCCTGAAGTTGCATTTCCAGTTGAAGAGCCAAAGCTGAATGTCATTTTTTAAAAGATTAACTCCTATTAAAATAAGGATGCATCGTTTTTTACATATTATAAAATTATTGTTACTACTTTCATTATTTTTTTTCTCAGTGGTTTTTTAAAAACAGCATTCCAGCACCTTTTTTTTAAAAAAAAATTAATATTGATATCCCAAACTAATAATTTAACAATAAAAAAAATTAAAAATGGATATATTTTCTTATTGTTCAAATATTTATTAGGAACATCAATTTTATTTTTTTTAAAAAAAAAAAAGAGCTGGAATGCAATATCAATTTTAAATTGAAATTGTACGCTAATTTTTATTTCTGCTTTATTGCTATTTAATCACTAATTAAACCTATTTTACATATTATTTTAACTTTTTTTTTTTTGTTTTTTTGTTTACCACATTATTTAATTAGAATAATAAAAACAAGATGCACCTAAAATTTCCAAAGATTTGTACATCATTCAATAGTAAAATTGTCAAATTTGCACAATGAAAAATTATGAATTAACTATTGCTAAAGTTTAAAAATATTAAAATAAATTTAATTATGATATACAATGATGGCAAAATCACTTTGAATACCATAAATCGGGGCTATATGGAAAGTATTAGGCTATTTGGAAACAATTATATTTTTTGCTTAAACCAGTTGCTACATAAATATTCTTTAGATTTATGTAGCAACTAGTTTTTTAGATATGAGCAGCCGTGGTGCAGTGGAAGCGCACTTGCCTCAGAAGCAAAGGATCCATGGTTCAAACCCAGCTCTGGACAAGTTTTGCGACATCGGTTAGGAAGGAGGCATGAACTTTCAATTAAATGCTCATCCGGGGTGCTCTGTGATAAGAACATAAGGACTTTTTGGGGCAACTAAATAAAAATTAAAAAAAAAAAAAAGATTACGTAGTTATGTTTGCAATATTTTCATTAAACTGTCTGTTGTTAAAACAAAATAGTAATAAGGGTTATATTTATTGGGTTAAAACTTGCAAGTAAAACAACCATATTTTTTAATTTGAGAAAATTACTTCGCTAACTTTATTCCTGAACAACAAATAAAGAAAATAAATAAAAATATGTAACAATCCGACAATTTAAATTTAATAATATTTAATATAAAATAACAAAAAATATTTTGAGATTGATACAGAGGAGCTATTTGAGAAGCATATTGGGGTTATTTGGTCTTTATTACTTGCAAACGTAAAATTTTGTATTTTTGTGTTCAATCAGCAAAAGGAAAGACGATCGGCAAAAGGTTATTTATATTGTGCAAAGCATAATATGATGAATGTTTCACCTGACTGTATCATCAAATACGATGAGACAAACTTGAGAGATGATCCTAGAGCCAAAAAAAATATTTTTTAAACAAGGCATTAAGTATCCAGAAAGAATTTTAAACACTTATAAAACCACAAGTTTATTGTTTGTTGGAATTGCTAATAGTATTATTTTACCCATTTACATTGTTTATAAATCAGAACATTTGTGGGATACTTGATGGAAGGTGGACCTGATAAAACTGTTTATAAAAGAAGTAAAAATTAATTGTTTGATACTTTTTAAATTGAAAATAGGTTTTTAAAAATTAATTTTTTCATATCACATCTGCTTTTTTTGCTCACTTTATTATTGGAGGTTAACACTTACTGAGTGGAAAACATGATGGAAGGAAAAAAAAACTTTACAAAAATCTGCTTTTCCACATCTCTTGTCTCAATTAATGGAAAAATGTCACAAGACAACATCTCCAAATAAAACATAATTTTTAAATTTCAAAAAGTGCAACACTAATCTTTTAAACAAAGGCAAGATTATCATCATTCAATAGCCTTGCTAAAAGTCTTTATAGAAGCTCGGAAAAGCTAGAAATTTTTAAAGAAACTAAAATATATTGCATTTGTGAAACTGTTATTGTAAAAAAATCATTACTAAAACTTGCACTCTATTGTTACAATTAAAGATTTTGAATGCAGCGTCTATCGGGATAAATTTTAACAGGAAAACCATAGTGGAAAAGAAATAAATTTATTTTCCCAAAAAAAGGGCACAGTGAATTTAAAAGAAAAGATATGATAGTTAAACAAGCTCATCTAATTGAATGTGGGGACTGTTTTTTATTTGTTTGATAAGGAAGATAAGGAGTTCTTTTAAAAAGAATTTAAAACTAAACCTTCTATTATCACATAAAAACTTAAGTCTATCAACACAATTAGTATTTATTCATTTGATCAAGGATCAAACTTTGTTCGAATTAATAAAAAAATTGAAGAACGACTTGGAAAATCTAAAATCATCAACTATGATATAACTCAAAAACTCAAAGTTCAGAATACTTTACTAATTCTGAAAATAAAGTTTATAAAAAAAGAATACATATCAATTTATCCAAGTGATGCCACTTATCAACGACTATATGGTGTCATCAAAGCACACAAATCAACTATTAACTACCCAATGCAAATTATAGTAAGCAAAATAGGTTCACCTACATACAAATTGTCCAACTATTTACTAAATCTCATTCAACCTACCTCTAATCTTAACAAAACAAAACTTCGAAATTCAAAAAAACTTGTTGAATGTGCTCATGATGGAATATCCATCCTGGTGAATTTCAAGTTTCTTTTGATATTGTTAATCTTTACCCTTCAACACCAGTTAAAGAATCAATCAATATTTTATTACAACAACTCCTTAACAATCCATAACTTCAGTTCAAAATTATCATTTTCAGAAATAAAAATACTTTTAGATTTGTGTTTGACAAACTGTTATTTTTTACATGAAAACAACATATACACATTAGAAGATGCTGATCCTATAGGTTTATCATTAATGGTAGTAATGGCAGAGAGTTTTCTGCAACATTATGAAGAAAAAACGTAGATAGAAGCACAATATCTTATTTTAAAGTGATAAACACAATATAAAAGCGTTAATACAAGCACAACACCACCAATATATGTAAAATCATTTAAAAGGTATGTTGACAATATCCATTCCTGTTTTAATAATGAGGTAGAATCTGAACATTTTCTCGAGTTGTTAAATGATCACACACAAATATCAAATATACAATTGAAAAATATAGTGATTCATACACAACAAACTTTCTTGATTTTTCAATAAAAAAATAACAAATCCAGAAAATATCTTTTTAATATTTATCGCAAGGATGCAATAACAAATAAAGCCACATTCTTATCACAATTCAAAAATAATTTATGGAGTATTTAAAAGTTTTATCCAAAGAGCTTTTGCATTATGCAATCAAGAACATATAAATCATGAATAATGTTTCTTACAGAAATGTTCATAAAAATAATTATAATAAAAAAATACTTCAAAACATTGTCAAAAAAAAAAATAAATAAAAACAATAAGCAAAATAATCAACGAAACAATAACAATAACATTAAAAAAAACTAGAATTTCATTATATTTATCTACCTTAGATACCAAAATTAAGTATTCAATTAACAAACATATTTAAAAATGCAGCTTATACTCCTGTTTTTAAATTAACAAAAAACCTTCAACAATTAATTACCCCCCAAAAAAAAGCCTCGACTTTCCAACAACTCTTATCCTGGAGTCTACAAACTAGAATGTTCGTGTGGAAAATTTTATGTAAGTTATACAAAACTCAAGGTTTCAACGTATTTGCCAACATCAAAAACATACTTTTGAGGGAAAATGGAAAAATTCGGTCGAGGCGGGGCATTCCAGAAATTGCCATGGTGTCTTTGGCTGGAATAAAAACAACACAGTTAAAGTAGAGGCAGACAATTTAAGAAAAAAGAGTGTTCTCTAAATGAAAGTGGTTTAAATGAAGACGATGGTGATTACGTCAAATCGTCGTTTTAGAAACCATATTTTTCTTAAATTGAAGTTTTATTATTTGTTTTTTTTTTAACGGTTTTTTATATTACTTGAATAATAAGGGTATATATAACCCCTAAAAATATTGTATTTTAATATAAAGAATTTTATAAGGATAAGTTTACATACTATAACAGATGTTTTAACTTAATTTAATTATATAAAAGATGTTAACTTTTAAAATGTACGCGGAAATAACGATTTACGGAACCGAATTTTGTTTTAAATTCTGTGACTCGTTTTTTCGGTAGCATAACAAAAGGAGTTTCTATTTAGTAACATATATGTATATGTATATATATGTATACACAGGGCCGGCGCGAGTAGGTGTCACGTGGGGGGGGTGTGCCATTACAACTTTTGCCGACTTGAAAAAAAAAAAAAAAAACTCGTTTTTAAAAATTTGCCGACTGCCATTTACTTTCGGAAGAATATATACATGCATAATCTTAAATAAACCTAAATTCATATAACTTTAAAATATATTAATAAATAATTGCAAAACTTCACTTTTCGCGCTTTTGTTTTTGCAAATGTAGAAACGAGTTTTGTCAGTTCAATGTTTCTAGCAATATCATGTTCACTTGACAGAGTAGCTAATCCATCAAGTCTTTCTTGCTGCATAGACGTGCTCAAAAATGTTATCAGTTTGAGTTTTGAGAAGCTTCGCTCACCACTAGCATGGAAACTGGAAGTGTCAAGAGGATTCTTAAAGCTATAACAGTGTTGGGGGCATAATCTGTTAGATTATTTTTTAATAGAAAATTTAGTAAATCTAGTGGCAATGTACACCTTACAAACGTGCTAAAATTTTCTATAAATGAGTAATGAAAAGTTCGCATTGTATTACCCACATATATATACGTGTGTGTGTGTGTGTGTGTATGTGTGTGTGTGTGTATGTGTGTGTGTGTGTGCGTGCGTGTGTGTGTATGTGTATGTGTGTGTGTATACACATAGTATATTTTTGGAAAGAATAAAAGTTAAGGTTGTTGTTTTTTTTTTGTTACTTTTACCGGTGTTTGCATTTAATCTGGTAGTTTTTTGCACGAATCTGTTGGTTTTAAAATTATCTATATTCATAACATGCATTATAAAATTGAAACATTTTTATCAATTTTAGAATGCATGTTATGAATCGCTTAAACGATTAGTAATAAAAAAATATTCTTCATAGGGGAAAGGCGCCTATGATGGCATAGCGCCTATGATGGCATACCGGTCATATTCTCATAAATATTGGTTATGGCAAAAAAGTGATTAGACCAACATGTCTATACTGACTTTACATTAGTCTTAGTAAAAATACGTCACTTATGCACAAATATTGCTTTTATAATCAAGAAAATTTGATTTTGGGATGTGTTGTTGTATTTTTAATCCCTTTAAATATTTAATATTGTGATTTTAATATTAACTGTGCAGAAATAAAATTTTCATACATTTTATTTCCAAGTTATGCGCATTTAGTGGAATACTTACTTTAATTTTATCTTTTGAACAAGGCAGACACAGCTTGTTTGAATGAAAATGATGACTTCTTCCTATGATGGCATACTGACGAGTTAGGTGTGTTGCAATATTGAGAAGAGGAGAAAACCTTTTTTTTTTTCATGAAAACAACATACTTGTTATTGAAGTAAAAAGGAATTTTTACTTCATTAAAAAAATTTATGGTTCAAAAAACACATAAAACGCAATATCTTTTATGCGCAAGCGCGAAACTTGACACTGCTGCTGCGTAGCACGAAAGGGTTAATTAGGATGATTAAGCGTAGTTTCTGACATTTCTGAAGGAATTTTCATAGGTCAAATGAAATTGTCAAGTTACCCATGATGCTACCAACCCCATTCTCCCCTATGCCATCATAGGAGTAGTCATTGCTTATGATGGCATACTTGTGCTTTTTTTTTTTAATAAAAATAACTAATAAAAAAATAAAACTGATAAAAACTCCTAAGGTTATTATTGTTCTACATGTAACAAAGAATGTATCCATATCAAAACTTTTGTTCTTGGTCATCAGGATACTGAATAATGAAGCTTCAAAGTTAAGTATGCCTTCATAGGCGCCTTTCCCCTACTCCAGTTGAAAATAAATTTAGATGTGTAACAAATAGTATTATCCAATAGTAATAATAATAATAATAATAATAATAATAATCAATCGCTCGATTGGTGCTGTTTGTCCTCTAATAGTATTCTTAATTTGCGAGAATGTCTCTTCACAAGGATTTAGAAAAGGTAAGTATCGGGGTAAAAAACGAATATTATAGGGATAACTATCATAAAAATCTGATAATGAATGATGAAAGTCAACGTTCTCCATTATAAAGGTAAACTCTTCTTCCTCCCCCAAAATACTTTTAAGTGTATTTAAGAATCCTTTAAAGATATCTGCTGTCACTCCTACGCCAATTATTGCTTCACTGTAGGCTATGTTTAAACAATTTAGTACTAATATTATGGTTATGTTACGGCCTCCTGATGATAATAGACGTTGATTTGGGGTAGTTCCTTGGGACTGTATCCGTGGTTTCTTATCATATGAAAATTGAACGGACTTTCACCAACATAAATGATATTTCTGTGACGTTGATTCAATGTCAAGTTTAAATACTAAAATGAATAAAATACATGAAACATATATTTTTCTTTTTTCTTTTACCTTTGCAGTATTGCGTTTTTCACTAATAGGTTTTAAAATTTTATATATATAATTCAATTTTTTTAACCATCGCCATAATGTAGAGACAATGACATCAACTCCCAATTCAACCGTTATCTCCTGTAGATTATAGTTTCTGTTATCTCCAATTAACTCATGAATCTTATTTCTTATTTCCTCAGTACAACCTGACTGTCGAAAACAACTTCTAATACCAAGATTGATTTTACCTGTTGATATATATCGATGGATCAGCTGTCGTATTGAAGTCTCACTTCTATGCACGAGTTCCGATACTTCTTTTACATTTTTCCCTTCGTTAATTACAAGATTAATGATCAAATTTCTTACTTCAACATTAATTTCTGAGCATTGCCTTCGTGCGTTATTCATTTTAGAGTTTTAAGAAATTATCTGGTGGTTATCTTTAAAATCAAAAATGCTTTTTATTTCAATTTTTTTTTAATAATAACAATAATATACACTGTGACAATTGATGAAATCAATTGTCACAATAACAGAAGATGTTGCTGTAACAGCTATAAAGTTTTTATAATAGCATTGTTTACTTTTTAATGTATATAATCTTTATTTAGTTTTATTTAATAAATAATTTTTGCAATAGTTAGATTTATCAAGTATATTTTTTAAATTGATCAATTGTTATTGATTTTATAATATATGGCGGTAAACCATTCCAAGCTTTGACAACTCTACTGCCGCCCTAAGTAAAAACGCAGTAAACAACAAAAATGACATTCTGAGAAAAAGCCACTTTTAAATTTTGTGTGTATATATTTTTTTAACTTACGGCAAAATGAACTATGGGTTTGATGACTTTGGAATATACCACAATATTTTTATATAGAGCGTTATTACACAGAAAACGATGTTAAAACGTTTGGTGCAATAATCTCGATTTTTCAATTTTTGCGATTACTGCGTTTTTTCTTAGGACGGCAGTATACATGAAAAGAAATTAAATCTAACGTTACTCTTACAGTACGCATTTGTTAACTTTTGATTATGACCACGAAAACTGTAATGCTTTAATTGAGGTTTACATATCATTTATCCAATTAACCTCTTCATAACCTTTTTGTATTTTATATTAAAAAATTAAATTTCCTCGCAAACGAAGCTCTTCTAGTGTTGTTTATTTCATTAACTGCAATTGTCTTTCATACAGCATTTTTCAAAAAAGCTGGTACTAGATTTGTAGCTTTTCTTTGTACTTTATCTAACTTTAAAATTTCTTGTTTCAGATAAGGAAACCGTGCTTAAATAGCAAACTCAAGATGTGGTCTTACAAAACTTTTTTTGTATATAACTTTTTTGCCATATTTGAATCAAAATATTTGAAAGTTCGTTTAATATAAGCGAGCATTTGATTATATTAAATGTGTTTACATTAGTTAGGGTTTCAACTAAATTTTAAAGGGTTTGATGGGTTGTTTGCCAAGAAATCGAATTTTATAGCGGGTTGATGCCATCATTTTGCAGATTTTTTTTTTTTTTTTCACTTTGTTGGTGGCATTAATCCACTTTTCTGTTTCACATCATTTTTACGCACTTCAATTTGTTTTCAAATCATTTGGCAAATCATTGATATGTAAACAAATGTTTATGAAGACAATTAAATATAAGTAAGCAACGTTTAATTAAAAAAATAAAAAAAATAAAAAGCTTTTGTGGTTTCAGAGAAATCTCAATTTAAAGTTGACCGGATTTTTCCGTGTCCAACCGATAAGGAAAAAACGGGCTTAAATTGTATATAAAGAAGTTACATTAAATGAAGCAAAATTTTTAGATAGAATGAAAAAAACTACCAGATTAAAAAATACACCCAGATTTGTGCAAAAACCACCAGATTAAATGCAGAAACCTATGGTTGTCATACCATTTTTTTGAGCATTTTGCTCATGAAAAATAGGTTGATGTTTTAAATATCAACCTATTTTTAAACAAGTAATTAAACAAGTAATACTTGTTTAATTTTTGTCGAAGGACTTTATATTCTGCTTTTTTAATTTTTTAAATAAGTTTTTACATTTTCTTTGCATTTACCAAATTTTTTTTTCCGAATGTTTTTAGCGGATTTCCTTCTGATTTACAGTCTCATTTTTTTTGAGTAGGGTTAGACAAACGTTTTTTTTCAGAAATGTATATACACATAGTATATTTTTGGAATGAGAAAAGTGAAGCTGGTTTTTTGTGTTACTTTTATGTATGGTTGTCACCTTTTTTTGAGTATTTTGCTTATCATAAATATGTTTACTTGTTAAGTTATTGTCGAAGGACTCTTTATTCTGCTTTTTTGATTTTTAAATAAGTTTCTACATGCATTTCCTTTGCACCCAACAAATTTCATGGAAAAATATTATGTAGCAGATAGTTAAATCAGTTAAACACTTTTGGTACGTAATTTCTGTTTTTCGAAAAGAGCGGAGTTGGCTGTGGAGGGGGCTTTTGTCTTTTAAAATATTTATTGCATGTTATTTCACTTAGATTTTAAATAATTTACAAAAATAAATGTAATTGATAGTAAGTTCATATGTTTTTTCATAATAATTTTATTGTTCATAATTTTTACAAGTGTATTTTTTTTTAAACTTTTAAAAATCATTGACTAGATTAAACCTATTCAAGACAATTTTTTTAAGTAACACCTTTTTTTTGGTATTTACATCATTACTTTCCTTTGTTCATTTAAAAATTGTTTTATTTGTTTATTTGTTGCCAAAAAACGTTGTTTTTTTTTTATTATACCTTTTTTTAACTTTAGCTTCATCGTCATCTGATGCAGTTGGTATTTAAGGTGTTTTGTTATGATATACGATTTTCTTGTTAATTTTAGTCCAATTAACTCACCCTACAACTGGTAAAATTGTTTATTGCAATTTTTGGTTTATATAAGTAAAAATTTAAAGATCTATGCTTTGGTTTAATTCATACATTTTTTTACAAGTCATTTCTTCAACGACTGTGATTAGTAAATTTAAAAGCTATTATTTTTTTAACTTGTGAAAGATTTATTATTATTTATTATCATTTTTTTTTCGGTAAAGTTCTTTTTGTTTTTAGTTTCATCTACATCTGATACAGTTGGTATGTTTAAAAATCAATTCTTTTTCAGCAGTGTATAGATTTAATCCCATTTTAAACTTTTTGTTTGTTTGTTTATTGCATCTTTTTTTGATTTTAGTTTCATCTACATCCTCCACAGTTGGTAAGTTTAAAAAAAACTATTTTTTAATCTATGTATAGATGGCAAAATCTAATTATTTTTAATTAACTAACTAATTGTTCTTTTCTGTTTATCACACCATTTTTACCTTAAGCTTCATCGACACCTGCTGCAGATGTCGATGTTTCATCAACACCTGCTGCAGATGTCAATATCATTTCTTTTGTTATGACTATACTATAGATTTAATATTAACTTCAATTTTTTTTGTTGTTGATTACAGTTTTTTTTACTTTTAGTTTCATCAACATCTGCTACGGTTTGTAAATTAGAAAACTATTTCTTTATTAGCTGTTCATAGTCTAATCTCATTAAAATTATACTATACTTTTATATTTATATATTGAATTCATATATTTTTTATATTTAATCCCGATTTCATTCCTTTTTTTGTTGATTACATCTTTTTTTAACTTTAGTTCCTGCAGCACAATTTTTTCATGGTAATTGTATAAATTGAAAATGTTTCTTTGTTTTTGATAAACTTTAATGCTCATTTATATTTTATAAAAATATTATATTTTAAGTAAAAAAATTCTCAACAAAAAAAGCTTTCAAATCTTAACTAATATAAATGTATATGATTTCTTTCCATTTAGAGTAAACATATGAGGCCTATCTAAAGTACCATAGCCAGCATCCTTGGCCCAAAAGTAATAAATCCTATTTGCGTTCGGTCTGGTTTGGTAGTGAAGACGACCATTCATTTAGATGGCTTGATCATCCTCCAATCAGGGGTGCTAGCAATTATACACCATTAGTTTCTATTTTTCCAAGTATCAAAATATGTATATATTTTTTTTATACTAGATTTATTCGTTTTAGTAAAGACTGAAATATTTAAAGTAATGAAATTTTGACAGGATGTGTTAAATCTAACCCACAGCCCATCACCAACTTTATAAATAGACCTGTAACGTTCGCTAGTTTTGTGGAATAAAATAATAACAACTACCTTTTGATACCAAGTTATTTATTTTTGAATAAGAATTGGCAAAGTTTTAACAATGAAAAAAAAGATTTTATTGACCACAGTTTTATCTAGAAATCCATAAATCGAAAATATGCTACTAAAAACGTAATAACTTTTTATAGAATTTTCCAATTTTCATAATTATAAAATACTGTATTTTAGGGCTTTCTAATGATATAAATATATGTTTATTTTTTTTTTTGTTATTTAGGTGCCCCAAGAAGACCTAACGGTCTTGTCACAGAGCATCGCTTATGTATCGCATACAAAATGTGTATAAATCGCATCGCATACAAAATGTGTATAAATTTTATATAAGTTATATAAATTTTATGTTATATATATAAATTTTATGTTATATATATAAATTTTATATATATTTTATATAAAAACTTTATATATGTTATATATTAACTTCATACATGAATTTTATATATTAACTGCTAACTTCAGAAAGATAACAAGTCAATATATCCTGATTTCACAGGAAAGACAAAAAACTGTTTTGATCCTTTATTTTAAAATTTAGAAAATTTTTTTGTTGAAAGTGTAAAACATTTTTTTAAACATGGGCATAACCCCTATTGCAGTAAATGAAGGGAGGGAGCAGTAAATGGGAATAACCCCTATTGCAGTAAATGAAGGGAGGGAGCAGTAAATGGGCATAACCCCTATTGCAGTAAATGAAGGTTAAAAATAAAGAAGATCTGCTAAAATCTTGAAAATTGCATTATTCATGCAACTCTATTGAAATAATGCTACTTTGTTGTTTTAATATCATACAGTTGATTAAATGGAGACTTAAAATTTACGGGCTAGAATATTATTTAATTCCAAAATCGAAGCTTTTTTTTCGAAATATAAACCAAAGTTTTTATTATTTTCACAATTTTTGTGTGGTTGAATGGAGACTCGAAATTTACGGGCTATGACATTATTTATTTCCAAAATCGAAGCAAGTGATTTTCTTCCGGAACATATAACAAAGTTTTTTTATATTCACAATTTTTAAGTGGTTGATAAGTAATACAGTTAAATAATTGAGTTGAAAATACAGGCTTTATTAATTCAAAGTCTTCCATAGTGTTTTGTAAGCGAAATATGACAAATTATTAATCCAGCAGTATACATACTGCATTCAATGTCCCTTGGTTCTTCAGAAGAGAGTGAGATCTCATGATATTTTGAGATTGTAAATATTATTTTGTTAGATTTTGCTACAATTTCCATTTAAAAGTCATAAGCATGTTTTTTTATAAAATTTTTATAAAATGTTTTCATAAAAATTTTTATAGTATATTTTTTATGTTTTTTTATAAAACCTGGGCCACCATAGTCAATGAAATCTACAAATGACATTTTCTTCTCAGTAAACTTCTCAGGTATTTTTAAGGAACTGTAAATTAGATCAATTACTTCATCAGTTTTTTAATATATATCCACTTTTTTTAGTTTTCTTAATTATTTATTTACAAAGTCATGATCATTAGGCATGAACGAACGTTCCTCTAACAAAGAAATACTTTCTTTGTTAGAGGAACGTTCTTGTTTTGACCAGCAAAAAGTTCTCACTAAAAAGTTCTAGGTTTTAAATCCATCTGAAATGTTATTTTTTATGTACCATATTTTTTGTCCTGCGGTGCAATGGTGTTTCAACAATAAAATGTACTTTAGGAATATTGTTTACAGCAGAAAAAGAACAAGTACCGGACGTGTTTCCTATCTGCAATAAAAGAAAAATTGATGTTGATACCATACCAATAAAAATGTAGATCTCTTTCTAATTAAATATCGTGTCTACCCATTTAAAACTGATTTGTGCTAAAAAGTTAGTTATTTAAATTTTGAGGACTAGTTATCTTTCTGTAGTTAGCAGTTCATTTGTTATATATATAAATTTTATATATGTTGTTATTCTTATTTGCAGATTATTGGTAGACATGATCTGAAATGAGAAAAAAAATCATCAGATTTAATGACTTGGAACCTATTAATTTTTATCAAAAAATTCCGGAATCCTTTTTGGGGATTTGGGGATTTGCATCACTGCATTACAATATTCAGCCAAGAAAACTGACACAAAAACTGTTTCAAAAAAAAACTGCAATGGACAAAAAAGTACAGAAACTTAATAAAAAATGATAGGAAAATGTTAAAATTACTTCAGATGTAAAATTATTTTAGAAATATTTAGTTTCTTACATCAAACTTTGAAGATTTACCAAACAATCTGTGTATTATATTTTTAGGTATGCTGTAGCAACGAGAGTACATGTCAAGTGTTGCCAAATAGACAAAAAACGCTCAATGCATAAAAAGAAAAGTATTAAACCACTGTTAAATCACTCACCTCTGTGATGATCTGGTCAGTGATATGTGGAAGGGAAATAAGGAGACTCTACATTGTTGAGAGAATAATGAACCAGCTAGAAAGGTCCTGGAACAAAGATTGTTGCGATAGTTAACATAATGACTTAATTCAGATAAAAAAAAAACCCTTTATGGAGGACGGTACGCCACGTTATGTGACTGAATCGATTAAAAAGTATCTATCAGAACAGAATATTCCATTACTTGATTGGCAAGTAAAATCTCCCGACCTAAATCCATAAGAAAAAAACAAATAAATAAAAAATTTGAATCCGATATACTATTATATGTTACATAATATATGTATTAAGTATTCATTTGGCATAAAAATGCTAAAAATATAAAAATATATCTTTGATAGATAAATTGATTTCTTTTAGTTTTTTGAGTAAAGGGTAATTCCATTTGAAGGAAAATTATTCTGTTCCAAAGAAAAGTTACTAAACTTTCCAAAATTAGTTTGAAAAAAGGGTGTTGAATTAAACTATCATTTCTTAAGTTATATTTACTTATATTATCTTTTAAGGTAAATAGATTATGAAAAGAAATAGGAGATACGTTAGTTTTACATTTGTACATAAAACAAAGTATGTTATAAATAGTCACAAATTTTTGTTAACTCAGTGTTCATATTTTGAAACAATGTTTTCATGCATTTACGAGATAAAAAGAGGTTAGTATCATCAACAAACATAACATTCATTAAATTAATGTTTTTAGGGGGATCATTAATGTAAATAAAAAAGAGAAGAGGTCCTAGTATAGAGCCCTGAGGGACTCCACAAGTTAAATCTAATAAATTAAAAGATAATTAGATTTGAATTACTACTAATAAACTGTTTACAGTTGCTTAAGTAACTTTTAAGTAGCATCAGACGGAATACAAGATTGAGATAAACTCGGCCGTAGACTGCACTTCTTTCTTTTGATTTTTCAGTCAATTCTTAAGAAAGTTGCGAACTCAATATCTGAATCTTGAGATAATAAATAAATTTGTACATAAAACGTGCATGCGACAAGCACCCTGGAGCTTGAATTTGAAAAACTCTTGCAGAACATAAGTACATAAGAGTCAGTTTCAATAGCTCTTTGTAATCTCCTCTGTGGAAAATGTTTTCCTTTGGGCCATCTCGCAAAATTTTATTGCGTTGAGTCTTTGGATTTCTAGAAAGTGTTAGCAATAGATTGTGTATCATATTTTACAAATTTTGAAGAGTCAATGCTACTTTTAATGTCATTCCAGTTTAATTGGATGACTAAACCTGACATTTGTACCAGAAAATTGTACAAGAAGCTTCACTTTACCATCAATATTTACCAAGACTTCAAATCGATCTCTTTTTGATTTTTACCTTTAATGGTATCTTCGATAACTTTCCCATCAAAATGTGCAATTATGGGAAAAATAGTTTACCGGAAGCAATTTTAACATTTTTCTTATATTGTTCAGCATTTTCTTGAATAGATTTTTTTTGAGCTCGTCAAATAGTTGAATGAGAAAATGAAAAACCAGCCCCATTCCCGCCTCAACTAGGATTAAATCAATATATACATCCATTAGATTACTTGATGAAATATTTTTTGAGACTGATGTCATAGCTATATTTTTAACAAAACCCTTTCCTAACTCTTGTTTTTGAATATTTGGCCGGTTTGCGTTAAATCAAAAGAAATATCTGATTCTGTACTAATATCACTTATGTCTGAGAAAAGCTCTAGCTCTGTAGTTGATTCGTCTACTTTGGGTAATTCTTTAATATTACAATTTTGTAACTTCTTTTTTTCTTTGTTTACAATCTTATATCTAACGCCTTTGCTCCCCAAATTCATAAGGCGACTGGACTTTTGATCTTTTAAAGATTTGATATCAGCATAATATGAAAGTTTATCAAGGCTCGTTTTTTTTTAAGATTTCCTTAATATTATCTTTACCAATCCAAAAAACCTGCTCGCCTTCTTTTTGAATTCTTCCTTAGATTTTTCTGCTGTTTTAGAGTCCTTACCCTTACTTTCTTTTATTGTCTGCCAACTATCGATTAAACGAATGATATTATCCCTGTAAAAATTACGATAATACATTAAATGAAGTTAAAATACTAATGACACATTTATAACAATTTATCATGTTACATATTTGTTTTATTGTTTGATAGTAAGAAATTTTATTTAATAAATGAATTAACAAATTAAACCACCTTATAGTTATTATTTTATTTAGCTATAAACTCATACGTAATAACAATTAATTGGAGTGGTATTTAAAAAAAAAACCTAAATATCTACTAGCGTAATAAGTTCTAAGGATTATAATTCTTTTTTTTTTACTTTTTTATTATAAATTGAAACTATAAAACTTACCTTATAGATTTATCTGTAAATAATCAATCTTTGTAACCTCCGCTTAACCAAGGTTTTTTTACTGCAAAAATAATAAGTTGTCAGGACAATTTACAACACCGGAGCACTTTGCGAATTTATCGGGCCCATCAGTACAACCAATAAACTTTTTGGACGGAGTTAACTTGTTACTATATCTATTAAATTGAAAGTTAAAAATTATTTCTTTGTTTGTTGCAAAAGTTATTCGAGGTAAGTTTTCTATCAGTTTTTCTTCTTCAAGTAAATACCCTCTAGCTTTTAGTCTTGTAATTTTTGCGATTTTGAATATTATTTGAAAAAATTTTAGACAACTTGTTCATAGTAACGCAAATTTAGTTTTAAATACTTTGTCTTAGCATTGGAAAGTATTTTTAAATTATTGTTTAAATACTTTGGTTTATACATTTTTTGATTATACTTTTCGATCAAATTTCCGGATTTTAAATTTATTGCGTGTCCGCTGCAGGTTACTCCATGAATCAAATTTTTTTTTTTTTAACTTAATCTGACACTACTATAAAAACTATCCAGTTTATAGTTTTTTCCGTGTCTGGAAACAGATTATTAAAAATCAAAAACGTTTTTTATACGCCACCGAGTAATAAAATAGGTTTTTGTGAAGGAAAACTTTTTTTTTATCTATTTTAGAACATTCTGTAGACTAATTTCCTAATTTTTTCAACATTTTCTTTTTATGTGAATAATATTTAATCCAACATCTAATATTTAAAAGAATAACAAATTTTATAGAATAAATTTTAAGGTTTAAAACACCCAACATTTTTGGCCCAAAATCAAACTGGCGGGGCCCTAAAAATTAAATTTTTTTTTTTTTTTTTTTTTGGTTCAAACTTATTTTTATATAAATGGTCGATTTATAAATCGATTCGCGAGTTCAATTTCAAAAATTGATAAAAAATGAACCTTAACATATATATATATATATATATATATATATATATATATATATATATATATATATATATATATATATATATATATATATATATATATATATATATATATATATATATATATATTTATATATATATAAATTTATATAAAAACATAATATAAATTTTTCGCTCCCCCAAAAAGTGGGGGTTGTAAATCTTGCATGATAATTACTTTCGAATACTAAAGATTATTATATTAAATTGTCAACCTATCAAAGAATTTAAAGTTTGGTTTAATATGCCTAAAAATATATTTTATTTACTGATTGCCCTCGCATTTGGAATGAGGGAGCACACCTTTTAGGGTAATTTTGTTTCCATACTCTAATCACTGCTACTTTTTCCAAAACACTCTCATTTGACATAATCATAAACATGTTTAAGTTAGATGTTTGCCAAATGTAAAAGTGTCAATCTAAAACATCAAAAGCCTGCCTACAGGCCTGATGATACATAAATGGCTAATATATTCAGTTATTTTGCTCAATCATTTGAATCTTTTTCAAAGCATTCTTGTTTGATATATAGATATAGATATGTAAATGTTTGGAGTTTGCTTCATGTCTGGAAAATTGCTATCTCGATCACCAAAAATCGGTTCATCAGCCCCTTTAAATTTAGAGCGAAGGAATCGTCGTAAAAAAGAAACGTCGTAAACAAAATCGACAGAATATATGAAAGTTCGACAAATGAACTATCAATATCGCAGCAAATCGCAGTTGTGATTCGCGTCGTTTCATGCGTTCTATGTTTTTAAAATAAAGTAAAGTATTTGTTTTTAATTTACTTTTTTTAATTATAAGTTCTTTTTTCAGAAAGCAATTTTTTTTTTCATTTTTAAATTCTCAGAGTAGAGTAGTTAAATGAAGTTCGCAGATCTTATCTATGAATGCTTTATTCATGATCTTATTCTGAAAATTTTCATTAATTTAGACCAATATGTGGTTCTGTAATATTCGAATATTATAAGTGATGTTGCAAAGTTTTAGCCTATTCTATAGACTCTCAGAATAATTATACGATTTTTCTTGTGGAAATATATAAAATCATTAGTGTCTTTTCGCAAAGTCTATTAGAGTGAATGAAGCACAACCTTTTCAACATTATTTTATCAATAACATCTAGCCAAATTAGTTTACTTATCATTTATGTTTTTGTTATTTAAAATGTTCTAGTATCTTTTTTTTTTCAATATTTTAAATTAGTATAAGAATATAATGTTGAAAAACAAAAATAAATATATTATTCAAATATTTATTTCATTCTAACCTATTTCTGTTTCTTTAAAATGTATAATTATAGCAACAGTTCTATTGTTCTATAAATTTATAGTTTTTGTAGCAGGTTTTATTTTTGTTAAATACTGATGATAATCAGATGATAATTGCATCTTTCAAAGATAAAAATATAATCTTTAAAAGATACTACTATTTGTCTATTAATTGTAATTTACATGCTAAAGTTTCTTAAGTAGACAATAGACAAGAATCTGTATTATAGCTTCTTTTTTATTAGTTTTTTATTTAATCAATCGTATATATGCTGAAAAACTTACATTATGGATATCAACAAATACTAACCAAACTCATCTTAAGTAAGCGCCTAAAATACTGATTATTTTTAAATACATAATAGTAACAATTATAATGATATTAAAAAGAAGAATAAAAGGATAGAGAAGATAAACAAAAGCAAAAAAAAAAATAATGTAACAGCAAAATTATAAAAAATTAGGTAATAAAATTTAAAAAAATGGCTAAAATAAAACTACTACAATAAACTCTAGACCAATAATATATTGGTATAAAAGAAAAAAAAAAAAGTTTAATACAAAAGCTAAATCACAGACAAATAAAAAAGAAAACATATTGATACAATGCAAAATGAAAACATTAATACTAAATGCAAAATTATATATATATATATATATATATATATATATATATATATATATATATATATATATATATATATATATATATATATATATATATATATGTATATATATATATATATATATATATATATATATATATATATATATATATATATATATATATATAATTTTTTAGTTATATAAAAATTGTTTAAAAATTTCATTTGAATAGCTGTGAACATTCCTCTGTAGCTAAGGCAGAAAATAGGTAAATAATTGCAATGCTTATGTATAATATTTTTGTTTATTTAAGTTTTCTTTTAATAAAGACTTGTAAATAAATGTGTAAACATGTGTTTCTCTAAACATTTATTTAAACTTTTTAAATATTTGTTTCATTAAAAGTACAATGAAATAATAATAATATTAATAGTAAAGAATTTTATTAAATGCATATTTGTTTTGTTTTAATTTTTGAAACAATGTTTAGATGGGTTAAAAATCCTCCTTCTACATTTATTACCAATCAAAAAATAATATCTAGATCAGATGCTCAGTATGGTGTTTCAAATGCTAAGAATACCAAAACTGAGATGGAGAAATCTTTAGATTGCAAAGTGATGAGCAGTTCCAAAACTATGCCATTATGCTTTAAGGTATAAAATTATCCTCATTATTTTTAAATTTTAGTGTTACTCTGCCAAACTTATTATGCATTTTGTATTTAAAGATTGTTTTTTTTGCATTAAAAGCAAGAGGTTCAAAGTTAACCTTACTTTCAAAGCCAGATATGTACATACTCTTAAAACATTCCATCAATTCTTACAAGTAACTTTAATAAATTTTTTAAAATGTAACTAAGTTTAGGATTGCCACTTCAGTCTGAAAAGACCCTAAATGCTGAAAAAATAAAGTTTTTAAATGTATGTCATGTTGAAAATCAAAAATTATATTTTTAGGTTATTATTTTAAAAACTATTATTTTATTATCATTTTTTGACTGAAAAATTAAAAAATTTTATTTTTTCATGGTTTTTTTTTTAAAGTACTTTTAAAATAGAAAAGATAATCATTTTTTAAATTTTTATCAAATTTTGCTTCTTTTGAGACCCAACATGAAATACATTAAAATTGTTATTGACTGACAAATTCAATGTAGCAGCACTTCTTCTATTGAACCAAAATTAAGGGATTTTGGGTGGCAATCTCTCAATTAAAAAAATTTTCAATTTTGTAAATTTTGTGGTAAATTTTGAGTTGAATTAGGTGGTTTTTAATCGTTTGATTGTTTTTATAAAACATTCCTTTGATGTTTTTAATAATCTCTCATGAGTAATTAAAAATAACCTGGTAATAATAAAAAAAATGTATAAAATTTTTGATAATTAATTGAAATTTTCTTTCAAAACTTTTGTTAACAAGTAATTTTTTATTTTTTCAAATAGGATAAATCAGTCCAGAAATATCATTTGTTAAAAGAAAAAAATGAAGACTTGGGTATACAAATCACTGGTGGAAAAGGCTCACAATTACGTGGAATTTATATAAGTCATCTTTTAGATGGAGGTGTAGCATATCGGTAAGTCTGAAACTTATTGAGAATAAAACTTATATTACAGTAGAGATCCCTTTGTTAAAATTTTTTTAAATCTTGGTTTAAAGTATTATAGTCCCCCTCTATTTATCATCCCTCCTTATTATTTTGTTTGCATTGTGCATTACTCTATCAAAAAAATTTTTTGTTATTATATTTTTTTAGTATTAAAGTTTAGTATTAATTTTTATTTTTTAGTATTATTTTAGTATTAGACTTGAAATCTTATTTTTGTTTCTTATTTTTTATTTAAGTCACGGTCGTCTTAAAGTAGGCGACGAGCTCCTCTTTGTTAATGGGTATCCATTAATATCAGCTACACTGCAAGAAGCAATTACTATTTTGAAATCAATAGCAAATCCGATTCAAGTTATCATTAGTCGACCGGTATGCTTTAGCAATTATTAATAAATGATTTGTATTTATGCAAAATTTATTAACACAATTACAAAATAAATTGTGGGTTTTAATATAATATAAATAAATGGTTCTCTAAACTAATTTTTCTTTTTTGACACAAAGATTATTATAGCTATACAAAAATAAAATAAAGCAGTTTAAAAATTAATTTATAAATTTTGTTAATTTTTACAGATTTTGTTGCTTTTTTTTTTCAATAAGAAAGCATTTTGTGAAGTTGTATGTGTCATTTGACAGATTAATCTGACAGACAATGTCACAAAATATATTTAAAGTATTCTAAGAAAAAAATTTGTGCTTTTTATAAATATTAATAAAATTGTAAATCAGGTTTAGTTAAGTTAGCTTAAAATCTAGTTTATAAGTCCATTACTTCTAATTAAGTGGTTGCTTGGCAGTGAAGCTTCTAATTCATTAATTCTCATTAAATGCAGCAGTGATGTAATAATAGAGTGCTTGCTTTGTAAGTTTCGAGCTTGATTCCCACCATGTTCCTGCTAGAACTGCACTAAACCTGTTTGCCAAAAAGTTCATCAAGGCTTGTGTTTTATATTTAAAAAAATTAACAAAAAAGCGAAAATAATTTCAAATAAGAATTCCAATCAAAAATAATGCAAAAAATTATGTAGACAAGTAAACTTATATGACCAAATTTTATGTAAAAAGTTCAGTTTGTAAATAAAATTTTATCTTTTTTAGATAAATACAAATGCAAATGTTAAAGAATCTCCTATTAAAACTAACAAAGTAATTTTATAATTTTTTTATTTGTTTGTACTATTTTTCTTTTTATTAATGTTTAATACTTTTTTTAAAAATAAAATTACTCAACAGAAAAATGAGTGTTTAGTAAATTAATTTTCTATTAGCAAAATTGATAAATAATTAATTTGATAAATAAGCTATATTCTTTTGAAATGCATTTTGAATCGAAAAGAAAATGGAATTTAAAATGCAACTATAAAGTTTTTAAAAAATTATGCATTCTGTTTGAACTAAAAGAAAATTTGATTTTGAAACACATTTTTAATTGAAAAGAAAAAATCATATTTTTTTAACATCTTCACGTACAACAAGGCTGCAAACAACCAATATAAGAGTTGGAAGTTACTAGATGTTTGAAGTTTATATAGCAAGATTGTGATTAACAGATGACTTAAAAGGTTGCTAATAAGATGAATTAGGAAAACAAGATGAAGGAAGCAAATTCCAAAGAACTGATGTTTGAGAAGAAAAAAACTTATAGAACGAAAACTTTTGGAGCACTTAGGAACAGTCACATTAAAAAGATGAGAGTTAATTGAATAGCACGTAACACGATATTGAATTTTAGTAGATAGTACAATGCTTTTTATATTTATATTCAGTGCCCATTATAGTATTTATAGAAAAGAGAAGAAGAAGCATCTTTGTGAAAATGGTCTGAAGGCTGAAAGAGCAGGTCCACCTATGTTTATAATGCATTTTTACACGTTGTCTAAAAAGGAAAGGGCATCATTCAAAGATCCACTCCAGATATGGTTACAGTATTCCATACAAGGACGGATTTGAGATTTATAGAGATAAAGAATATAATCCGGAGTAAGAAAGTGCTGAACACAATAAAGAGTTGCAATCTTAGCGGATGCTAATTTTGCAATGGCTTTGATATATGGTTTCCAAGAAAGATCAGAAGTAAAAGTTAGTCGTTGAAGTTGAAGGGTAGATGACTCATAGAGTGCATAACCGCTCATAAATATAGGAAGTTCTAGACTATTGCAATGACAATTAGCTGAAAAAATTGAGTTTTATTTAAGTTAAAGTTCACCATCCACTGAAAGCCCCATGTTGTAGCAAAAGTAAGATTATTTTCAAGTTCAAATGCCCCCTCCAAGCAATCAGAGAGTAATGGCTTCTTATCAAGACAAGAATAAATAATAGCATCCTCTTTTCTTACTTGGGATTATATTCTAAAGAATAGAATCCCAAGTAAGAAAAGGCAAGCACGATAAAGAGATACAACTTTAGCAGATGCTAATTTTGCAATCGATTTGATATAAAGTAGATGACTTATCATGTACATTACTATTTATAAATATAGGAAGATCTAAATTATTTCAATAACGATTAGCTGAAAAATATTGAGTTTTATCTGAGTTAAAGTTCACCACCCACTGAGAGCCACATGTTGTAGCAGAAGTGAGATCCTTTTCAAGCTCAAATGCCCCCTCATAGCAATTAGAGGATGTTTGCTTCTTATCAAGACAAGAATAAATGGTAGTATTATCAGCGAACAATGTCACCTTAGATGTGAAAACTTCCGGAAGATTGTTAATGTAAATTAAAAAGAGTATAGGGCCAAGGATAGATTCTTAAAGAACCCCTGAAGTTACAGGATATGAAAAAGAATGCTGTCCATCGAGGACAACTTTTATACTACGATTGGTAATGAAGGATTCAGTAGTCTTAAAGATGTTACCTGATTCATTGTAAGAAGAAAGCTTATGGAAAAGACCAGCATGCCAAATGTTATCAAAGCTTAAGAAATGTAAAAGACGATAGCCTTAAAATCTCCACTAGTGATGTGCAGGGTTCGCGATTTGAACCCGGGGACCTGGTAATTTGGCTATTTTACAGGGTACCCGGAATCAGCCATTTTGTTGCATTTCCTGGCACCAGGTATCTTAAAATATATTTTGAACAAAAATTAACCTTAAGTGCTCTAACTATTTGTTTAATTGGTACTTTAAATTGTGTTGACATATTATTAATATGATTACTTTTAGTTTAATCTTCAACCAATAAACTTCTTGATATAAGTCTAAGAGTGTTATGGAGTCGATAACCACAAAGTTTTATTTACTCAATATAGATGTGTCTCATTTAAAATATTTTTTTAAATATATATTTTTTTTAATAATCAGAATATATAGGCAAAAAGGAAACTGATTATACGGATATTTAAATAGCTTTTTTTTATTGTGTGAGAGAATTTTTTAAAGTTGATAGAGTTAGTTTTAATTTCAAAGCATCTGATGTTTTTGGCATTAACAACATCAGACGGCAAATTATTCCAAATATTACCAACCTTGAGGGAGAAAGAATATTTACGAACATTGAGTTTACACTTTAGTTTGCGTAATTTAAATTTGTGATCTCAAGTGTAAATATAGTTGTTTATTAAAAAGAAACTTGATATATTTAGACAACTTAGTTAGCGCAAATTAACCAGGGTTATTTTGTAAAAACAATTCAGTGCTAGTGATTTCACAAGCTTTTATTTCAACTTTTTAATATGGACCCGGTGCTGGGTACTCAGGCTCAGATCCATTTTTTTTTCCGGGCACCAGGAATCATAGACTCAGCATAAACTGGTTCTGGCACATCTAACCTCCACATCTATCTAATACATTATAAAACCTATTGGTTGTAATATATATAGCCAATCAGTTGTAGAATGAGAAGATCAAAATCCATATTGATGATCAGAAAGTAAGTTATTAAATTCAAGATGAGAGATTAAGTGTTTGTTAATTAAAGACTCAAAAACCTTGTTTCTGATAGGAAGAAGACTAATGAGACGGTAGTTAGGCAAGTCAGATCTTTCTCCAGAGTTTTTGAAAATAAAGATTGCAGATGCTGCTTTCCAGCAGGCTTGAAAACAAGACTCTGATAGACACTTGTTAAATAGTTTTGACGACAGCTCAAAAATAGATGACAGCTCCAAAGAATACTTTTGCAAGACTATAATTGGTATGTTGTCCAAACCACAAGTTCTAGAAGAGTCTAAGCAGGAAGAGTTTAGATACACAAGCTGAAATGATACGAATGTCAAGCAATGGATCAACCTGTTTGTCGGCTATATCAGATAGAATGTATATTATATATATAATATATATATATATATATATATATATATATATATATATATATATATACACACATATATATATATTTATATATATATATATATATATATATATATATATATATACATGTATATATATATATATATATATATATATATATATATATATATATATATATATATATATATATACAGGCCCGCCCAGAGGTTTTGTGATGCCCGGGTCTAAAAGTTTGATGGATGCCCTACCATACTTCAGGTCTTAAAATGAAAAATACCAAGTAAATGAGTACAGTTATTTTTTGTTTACTTTCATAGAAAACCTAAAATAACATTTAATTAATTTGGGTTTTTAAACAAAAACTGTTGTAAAATCAAGTCTTAATAATCAACAACTAAAAAATCCTGAGTGAAACAAACGCTTGAGGAAATATTGAATGCAACCATTTGCATAAACCTCATTTAGAAGTTCGACAGGCTTTTTGCTGACTAAAATATTTCTTTTTACAGAAAAAATAATGCCAAACTTCATCAGAAAATTCCTTTTTAAATAAATCTTTTTGGTAACGTTTAGCCAGATTCTAAGCTTTTAAACCTAATTCTTTGTCTGTTTGAGATATCTGTGGAGACCAAAAATAGAAAAACTTGTTCCATTCTTCTTATATTACCTTAAATTTTGGTCTCATTTGACTGTGCAATGCAAATATAATACAAAGTCAGATTGTCGAGTACAATATTAAGGCAGTACACAAGTTTTTGGATGCTTCTATAAGATTGTAACTAACAGTTTCATTAGGGAAAGCATTCTTTTGTTGCGTTTTCTTCACAGCAAATATAATTTCATTTAATCTCAAGTTGCAACTTCTGTTACCTCTATCAGATATAATCAGGTTCCAAGACAAATTGATTCGACCCAGATTTGTCAAAAGGCCAATTCAGAATCTTTACTTCTTCATCGAAAGTGATTTGAGTGAATTGAAGCTGAAGACTCGTGTTATTAATCAAACATTTAAACCAAGAGGTAGTAAGAACAAAAAAATTCAAAAGAATTCATCTATTTAATTAGATAATGCACTTCATTACTACTTTCCCCTGAAAGGTCTAACTCTTTTAGACGATGTAATGATTTCAAGATCTTCCTTGGCTTTTTTGCTAGTAGCTTGACTGCTTGAATCCTTGAGCTCTGTTATGTAACAGAAAGTTTATATAATGATTGGCCTGTCTCCTTCTGAAGAATTTTCCAATGAACTGGGCTGCAGCTGAAAAGATTATATAGCTTTTGAATATTTCCAAAAAAGGACTTTTGCAGAAGCCAATGATTCAATAGCGTGTACTGCTCATATGTTCAAACTGTGAGCAGAGCTCAATTGTAAGTACCTGCCTTATTAGCACCATTGTGTAACCTTGACCACAAAAATTGTCAAGCTCATTTCCTTCCAACTCATTTAATATCAACTTGGTTATATCAGATTCTTGTGTCTTTTCAAGTTATTCTAGTTTAAGGAACCTTTTCTTCAATTGCCCCTCCCTCTTGTTACATAAATAACGCTTGTCTCAAGAATATATATATATATATATATATATATATATATATATATATATATATATATATATATATATATATATATATATATATTCTTGAGACAAGCGTTATTTATGTAACAAGTTTAATGAGCATTGATTATTGAGCTGCAAAGTTTTTAGTATTCCATTCTGCTTATTTTACCTCTGCAAAGCAATAGATCATTTTATCATAGGTTTTACATCAGTTTTACATTTTTGCACCCATTTTATCATAAGTCCTGATGATGAATTGCATCAGATATTCTGAAAACCAATTCTTTACTTGTCCCAGTATGTTGTATTAAAACTTATTCATCTAATTTTTAAATACACATATAAACTAATCTTTACCAGTAAATGAAGCTAGTGGAAATGCTCCAAATAAGCAAGTAAAAAAACCATTATATTTGTCTTTTATCTTTGTTTAGGTCTAAAGGAGTTTTGCCATCAAAATGAATTATCTTTAGTCTTCAAACATCATTGCGTGCAATAGTTTGACATGTTTTTATTTACTTATTTCATTTTTCTTTAAGCAATAGTTTTTATTTTGATTTAGAACTGCTTTTGTTACCTTATGTAAAATATTTGGTAACATATAGCTGGCTGTAGCCAAAAAGGCAACACTACCAGCAAAATTATTATTTGGTTTTTTGCTTGTGTCTACAGTTTATGTAAGTTTACTATGATATCAATCGCCTAAATCAAAATTAAAATTAATTAGGGAATCCTCACTTGAAATTTTGTCTATAAGTTGAAACTTGTGTACTTCATTTCTTAAACTGTTAGGCTTGCAAGCTTTTGCTTTCTAATTTTTTTCTTTTTTGACTTAACTAGTCTAGTTTTAGTTTTTAATTTTAAATTTAGTAAAAATTAATTGAATGAGATTAAGTAGAGTAGTTAATTAAAAGCACAGATTTTCTTTTGTGTTCTTCTCCTCTTCTATGTACATTCAACTTTTCTGACCTTCAACAAATTATAATTCTTTAATCTTGTCTTTTTCAAGAGTTTTTAATCTTTTTTGACGATAATTTTTGGACATTACCATCCCAATAAATATTTTGCGTATGTAAAATATAATATTTAATACTATATTTTATATACATCAATAAACAAAGTTTATTGATGCAGTCAAAAAAAATTTTTTTTTTCAAAATTTGTAATATTTATTTTAAATGTTATTAATGCATATAATAAATCAAGAACATTTCTTTTTTTTAAAAAGTATAGATTTAAGTACTCCTTTCTGTGACAGAAAGAGAGCGTGGAAGGGTGAGAGAGGGTGGAAGGTGAGAGAGGGCGGAAGAGGGATGAGTTTAAATTAGAGTGTTACATTTAAAATTTGTATTTGTTTACAGATTTATTTAACAAATGAGAAAGAAAATATTACAGAAGTTACTAAATCAGCCATTCGTGAAATAATTCTTTATAATGAAGAAGAAAAACTTGGATTTTCTATTATGGGTGGAAGGACTCCCATGCAATCTGGAAAGATATTTGTAAAGAGTATATTACCAGGTGGTATTGCAGCAGCAGATGGTAGGCTTAAAATAGGTAAAGTGAACATTACATTTTTTGCTCTCATTAAATCTCCCAGTTACAAAATCAACTTAAAATTCTTTTTTGATTCTATTGAAAAATTCTTAAGAATTGTAAGCATTTTTCAATAGAATCAAATTTAGGATCTTAAATTACTTTTTTGATTTTACTTATCATGTTAATGTTGTGTAATGTAATCTTATATAGGGCTGAGTTTTTACCAGCAAAGTAATGTTATTAAAATTTAGAAAGTGTTGATTTTTTGATTTATGTTCAAATATTCTTTAAACATTGTAAGAGGTTGTCTATAAATATCAAACAGTTTGAACTCCCCTCCCCATTCCCCCTAGTAACAAATCTTTACGCTTTACTGACCCCTTCTGTCCCATCCTAATATTTTTTTCTGTGGTTTTAAAATACAATAAATAAATTTATATTTTATTAAACAAATGACTTTGTATATAATAGTAGCTACCAAAGGGGCACAGTTATAAGACATATTTGATATTTTTTTCTGATTTGTCAGAAAAAAATGTCATTTTTTCTGATTTGTCTATTTATTTTGCGTGTATTTGTAACTTTGCAGAATCTTTTTTTATATAATACTTAATGATATCATTTTGTAAAAACATAATGATATTTTCTTATATAATACTTAATTATATTTTCTTATATAATACTTAATGATATCAATTTAATAATAAATAGCTTAATACATTAATCAATTTGAGAACTAAAATTTATCAATTCTACATTATTACACAATTCTATGTTTTTTTTTATTTAAGATTGTGCGTAAGCAGTTTACAGTTGTAGTTAGTTAATAATGTTACCAATTTATATTTTATAACAATACTGATCAACAATTTATATTTAGTGGTGGTGTTGTCCACATGGTGTTAATCAGCCCTCAGAATTAGTGAGGTCATGGTGTTAATCAGCCCTCAGAATTAGTGAGATCCACACGGTGTTAATCAGCCCTCAGAATTAGTGAGGAAAAGTGAGGTCGGCATTTTATTGCCAACCTTAAACTGTTAGAGGTTGGCATCAAGTCTGAAAAAAAATAATTGACACAAAGAGGTTATCATAAAAAAAACAAAAGGTTGGCGATTTTTTTGCCGACTTCAAACACATTTAGATTGGCAATTTGGTAGGCAATTAGGTCGGCATGAATGCTGACCCTAATTCCGAGTGTTGATGTTATTTATTGGTGGTGCTATCCCAAAGTTTTGTTATTTAGTTTATCTGTACATTTCAACTGCCTAAATTGGTTAATTTAATTTTCCTTTGTGTTAGTTGTTGAAAACAAAACAAGTATAATTATAATCTTGGTTAGAAAGCAATTAAACAAAATCAATTATAATCAATTAAACAAGGCAATTATAATCAATTAAACAAGGCAATTATAATCAATTAAACAAGACAATTATAATCAATTAAATAAGCCAATTATAATTAATTATAACTTGAGCAAATGAAGCAAAAGTATTATAAGTTTACATTCAAGCTCAACTACAAGTGTGTAGGAATTTAAAGTTTCTAAATGAAATAAAATGAACACATTAGACTTATTAGGTGAGCTAAATTTGGATCTTTTTGCAATCCTGATTGGTTACTCATTTTTAAAAAGCTTTAAGTTTAGCTTGGGGCAGAGTTCCAGTCACTACTTTTGAAATAGATTTTCATAAAATTATGGTTCCACAAACTTGGTATATTTGAGTGCAAACAGAAAAAAAACTTTGTGGAAATATCACTGGCTTAAATGCAGTATCTTCAATATATACTTATTTTATGTGTGAAGCAAAGCATAAGCATTAGTTTGTTTTTCTTGCGCATTACAACATTAAAAAAATGTCTTTGCTTAGTGGATAAATAGGGATAAGTAAATTTGCTGAAGATCTTACTGTACTATTAGAAATCAGGTTTGATATAAATGAAGACTTTTTTTATCACTACCTTCTTAGATTAAAATCAGCAATAACTATCTTGGCAAAGACACATGTTGTGAAATCTGAAAATAACATCTGAAAAATGTACCCTACTACAGAGAAAATCCTAGGATAAGCAATTAAAATATGAAGGTACATAAAAAGAAAAGAATATTGGGTTGCTTGTTGTATTCCCTATTGGAAGAAAAAACATTTGATGTTTAATGCTGTATTTTATTTTTTTGCTGTTCAAACTAAAAACTGTTCATCAGAAAGATTAAACTCTAGGGAGGAGTAATTGCACATTAAACACAATAGCTTTTTTGGAAAAAAATATTTATCTTGTGAAATCTAACAAAATATGTTTGTTCAAATAGCATTCTGATTTTGTAATATATTGTGCATATTTAGATTTCCTTAAATTCAATTTGAGACTTGAATGGCAAATTAAATGCTGGTTCAACTGAAATTTTGAAAATGTTGATTTGCAAGACCCAAATATACCTACATGATTTTTTTTTTTAGTTTTCATAGGTTTTATATTTTATATATTTAATATAAAAATTTATAAATTTGCCTTATAAGATATATTTTTTTAAGTTTTTTATTTTTTATTTTATTCATCATTTTTTATTTAAGATTTCTTGTTTTAGGAGATGAAATTATAAAAGTAAATAATAAAGTACTTTCTGGTTTGACTCACCAAGAAGCTGTTGATTATTTTAAGGTAACCTATACTCTTGCAATAGCTTCAAACTATTATTTAGAAAATTCTTAGAATATCTTAACAGTTTTATCACAGGGCACTGTAAAAAGAGGTATTTAATAAATAATTTGATTTATCCTCCTTGGACATCAATACTGGTGATGATTTTATACCTTGACTAAGATTTGTATCCTTGGAACTAAATTCTAGTTGTTGTATTTAGTTATTTATTATTTTCTGTTAAAATTTTCTTATTTTTAAAATAAGAATATTTTTAATATAAGGATATTTTAAAAAGTTAACAGTTTTTTTTTTTTTTTTTTGTGTAGTCACTTCAAAAAGGCTGTGTCAGGCTTCTTGTTAAACCAAGAAGTGTTAATGAAAATGATAACTCTGCCCTTTATACTGTTCTTCTCAACAAAGGTAACATTATGTTGAAAAAAAAGTTATATTTTTTTAACTAAAAATAATTTTTAATATTATCTTTTTTTAACTACAAAGAGTTATTTAAAATATTAAAAAAAACTTTATTTTTTTTAAACAAAGAAAAGGAATACATTTTTAATAAAGATTAACTATGTTATTTATTTATTAAGTTATAATTTGACTACCGTTTATTTTGTTGGAAATTACATATAAATCTATCCATGTGTTAAATTGTCAAACATGTAAACAGATGTAGTCAAATAGTAACCACATCAGAATATTTTGACCATGTCTGATATTTAGCTGTTGTCTAATGTGTTCCTTTTATTTTAGCAAGGACTTAGTTTCTTGCATTAGGTTTTGGTTTACATAGTTTTTTGTATTGCTTCCATTTCTAATTATTGATTTATTGATCAAAATTTTTCTCAAACTTTCACAATATCTGTTTATTTAATAAATATAGTTTTAATAAGTATACAATCTGCACCTCATAGTTTATCGGCGAGTTGTTTTCATTTAAAATCTTTCATTATGTCTTGAATGTATATTTTGACATAATTTTAATATAATTTTAATCCATCCATTAATTTATTAAGATAACACGTCAGCATTTAATTTTTCTTGTGCATTAACTGTAGTTGAGACAATAAGATATAATAAATCTTGATTATTTTTTGTTTTTTTCTAATCATTTTATCTGATTTTAGTGCTACTAGTTGCTCTGCTACATCACAGACTTCCTTTCCTTAGTCTTTCCCGTGCTTTTAAAATATCTGACTTAAGAAACTGTAAAAAAGTTTTTAAACTTTTGCATGCTTTTTGTATGCTAATTCTAATTGTGCTCACCTTTAGTATTCTTTTAGCTTTTAGTTAACAGCACAAAAAAATTTATAACTATAATTATGAAGTTACCTTTTAAATCAATTATAAAAGGTAATTTAAGTACATTCAAAACATAAAAAATAAGAACATTAAAAAAATCTCAAGGTTTGTCAAAATTTGAAAAGTTGACATTATGTTGATGGAATATCAAGATATAAGACATAATTATAAAAGATATAAGATATCATAAAAGATATAAGATATCATAAAAGATATAAGATATCATAAAAGATATAAGATAATCATAGAAGATATAAGATATAAGGCTTAATCACAATAAAAAACTTGGCTACATTTTCTGAAACATGGGGGCTATGATTCATGGGTTGAACTACATTAACTGTAGAATATAATTCATATCAGTAACTTGATCTAAATAATCCCCTGCAATTAATATTTAAAATTTGTAAGGCCTGTAAATAATAATTTGTGAGAAATGTAAAGAAACCGCAAAAGTAAAGGCAAACAAACTTTACTATTATGCAAAAAAAAATTGTTTTATCAGAAAGCATCACAATGTTTACAAGTTGGATTTATTTTTCCTAAATAGTTATAATCTGGAATAGTATTACTTCTTGCTATACAATGCATTCTCTCTTGTCTAGCAATTTCTTGTGCTTTCTAGATGATTAATTTCTTCATGTCTTTCTCATTTTGATATCAATTATTTTTAACTTACCTAACCACCTGGACTTCATTTGGGTTTAGATTATCTTCAGCTTGCTTAGCAGCATTTCTTACATTTTGTAGAAAACTTTTATCTAGGCTACGCTTCATAAATCACATTCAATTTATACTTTTGATTTAGAGAATTATCAAAGTTTAAATACAGGAAGATCAAAATAGATGAATATTCAACAGAAAGATCAAAGTGATGCTATAGACGATTAATTTCAAATAAAAATTTTCAAAGACAAAACAAGTAAAATTTAAAAAATAAAAAAGTGAAATTATATAAAAATTTTCAAAAACAGTAATCGTAATTTATAAAAATATTTCCAAAAACTGAACTCAATCTAATGTGACAACAGAATTAAGTTCAGGATCATACAAGAGATGAAAGGAATTATGAAAATATTTCTAACCTTGCGCAAGCATATGGTATGGTACAGGTTTGTGGGACTCAGCTGTAATTGCAACTGCAGATCTAATAAATGCAGGGATAATTAAAGTCAAGTGAGCTTAACTAATTTAAGAAAAAATTATGCTAATTTTGATTTTTTATTATGATTATAAATTATTATGATTATGCTTTCTTTTTCTTATTTAGTTTGATGCTCAATGCAATTCTAGCATAATTGATTGTGTTTTTTTCTATGGTAGATTTGATAATATAAAAGTTCTATTAGTAGTTTATTTCTCAAGTTTATGGTTCTTCTGCCAAAAAAAAAAACATTATACAGGTTTGTCATGAGCCCCGTGATGGTATCAATATGTTTCCCATTTCACACCTAAAAAAGTTCAAAAGTTCTATTTCACACCTAAAAAAGGTTCAAAATTTTATGAAACACACTGAAATAGTTTCTCAGATAATAAAAGTTTTTTAAAATGAATGATAAAAGTTTAAAAAGTATAGATGGTGATTTACTAATATTAACATGGTCAGGCAGAGGAATGCATTGGCTTTAAGTTAATTAATGGAAAGAAAGTTGAGCTGGCTTGCTTGTGCACTCAATGCAAATGAACTTAATCTAATCACTTCATAAAGGCTCTTGATAGGGAGGTTCTAAGCAGCTACATATAGAGACACTAAGCAGCTACATATAGAGAGATTCTAAGTAGCTACATATAAAGAGGAAGTATTAAAAAGCTATTAAATGACACGGCTTTTCCAGAAATAATTCCATTCTTTAAAAGCAATTATCTTGAAAATGTTTGTATTACTCTAAGAAATGAAGTAACCAAGGATCTGTAATCTGTTATTTGGATACACAAAAGTTTCTGTTATTAAAAGTGAAAATACTTTTTACTAAAGGACCAAAACACATTCTTTACTAGCTTAGCATTTTGAAACATCAAGTGAAGTAGTAAAAGTTGTTATGTCAGCAGATCAATGTTTAACATGTTTTTTTTTTTCATCCATCATACAAATCATGCTCTGCTCAGAAAATTTATATGAAAAAGAAAAGCATAGTATAGAGTGCATTGTGAAAATCACTAACTCTGGTGATAAAAAGGCTCCATTGATAAAAACTTCAAACTAGTTATACAAATGCAAGAACAATTACAGAAATCAACCTGATGCAACAACATATAAACAGCTTATTCTACTTATGACAACAGAAGAATAAAGACACTCTTTCTTATAAATGTTCTATATTGCTCATAAATATTCTATATTAGCCTTGTCATAGTCAGTAAGTTAAATAAAAAAGGGTTGAACAGGTAACAGAAGCAGCAAGCATATTTTATTCTCACAAAAAAAGGGATTGTTCTATAGGAGGGTAGGACTTATTTAGTTGATCATCAACATTTGACTGTTTGGTTAAAGAAAAGCTTGGTCTTAATGACAAAAATAAAGAAATTCTGTTTTGTTCAAGAAATAAAAATGAAAAAATTCTCAAGTTTGTTAGACTCATAACTCTTACCCCATTATAAAAAAATTAAAGAACATTTTTAAAATAAATAAAAGATAAATAATAAATGTTGAAAGTAAATGATAAGGTAAATGATAAATGGAAATTATTATAAATTTTGTTTATGAAAAAAATGAAGCTATTTGATTAACTCCCATGCTGACTAAAATATACGACCAAAAACAAAAATTTACTATTCTTGTAAAGAAATATTTTTGTGAATACATAATATTCACAATATTATGTATTCACAAAAATTTATATATAAATTTTTATATTCATAAAAAGAATATATATGTATGTATATATATGTGTTTGTATTGATATAAATATATGGTTACATTGAAGTTAATGGCATTGTATTACAACTTTTATTTATGTTTTAAGTTCCAGGAAAAGGTTTAGGATTTGGAATTGGTCCCCATAACAAAAAGAAAGACGAAATTGTAATAAAATATATTGCAAAAAACTCGGAAATGTATAAAAAAGATGTCAGGTTTGCATTTTATATATATATTATATATATATATATATATATATATATATATATATATATATATATATATATATATACACATATTATATTTATATATATTAATATAAGTATTAATAGTATATGTATACATATATATATATTAATAGTATATAATAGTATATATTGATATAAATATTAATAAAAATAATATTAATATTATATATTAATAGTGTATAATAGTATATAGATAGAATGTTGATATGGTGTTTATAATGTATTTGTCTGGATATATATATATATATATATATATATATATATATATATATATATACACATATTATATTTATATATATTAATATAAGTATTAATAGTATATGTATACATATATATATATTAATAGTATATAATAGTATATATTGATATAAATATTAATAAAAATAATATTAATATTATATATTAATAGTGTATAATAGTATATAGATAGAATGTTGATATGGTGTTTATAATGTATTTGTCTGGATATATATATATATATATATATATATATATATATATATATATATATATATATATATATATATATATACACACACAAATACTTCTACTTTTATCAGTGCACTATTTTTGTGCTAGGTTAAAAGATCAGTTATTATCAATAAATGGCATGTCTGTTGCTAAATTATGTGTTGATGAGACTTACAAATTGCTGAGAAGTTTAAAGCCTGGACTTGTACAACTTGAACTGAAAAGAAAATTTGAAAATAATGATGCTTTTTTTGGTTCAGATTTAGATGGCTGTATTTCTCAGAAAACTGAATTATCTGCATCCCCGGAGGAACATATGTTGAACTCATTGATGTCACCAGCAACTCCTGTGAAAGGTTAGTTATTAAAAATATTTTGTAGGTATGTTGGTATGGCGATAGTATGTTGTTATGGTGATAGTATGTTAATATGGTGATGGTATGTTTTGTAAAATAAACAGCATAAATGCAATTAGATTTTTTAAGAAATTTTTTTTTTCATAATTTCATGTAATTTACATACACACAGTAGCCATAGAAAAAACCACAACTAATTGTTACACAAAATAAAACCAATGATAAGAGTAAAGTAAAAAAAAATCATAAAATCAACGTGTCGCTATGAAAAAAAAAAGAACTATTGAAGAGCTATAAAGATATGCAACTTTATTTTTCAAAGGTTCCATTCTAAAATTTTATCTATTACACTAGAGTGAGTTGATAAAAATACGAGATTGAATAAGATTAATTTAATAAGATTATAAGACCAAAAATTTGTCTTAAAAAAAATAAAAAGGAAACTCAATTTTTAAAATTGAAATTGTCTATGTACACACACTGCTTGAGTAGTGCATTTATGTCTGGAACTCTTTTCATAGTATGCATTTTTTTATTATTAAATAATTAATTATAAAAAGATGTGTGTTTATAAAACATCTCTGGCATCACGCTGAAATAGCCTGCTGCCCAGGACATCAGTACATAAATCAACTATTTTATAGCCTGCTGCCACCAGTGAGTGCTGCTACAATGACTGAGAGTTTGGCATAGGGCAGCAATTTTTTTTTCATTATACTTCTTTTTTTTTTCTGAAAACGCCATATAAATTAATGTAACAAAAATAGAGTAACAATTTGTTATCTAAACACTCTATAGTAAATGTAAATATAAATATATATATAAATATATAAATATATATATAAATATATATATACATATATATATATATATATATATATATATATATATATATATATATATATATATATATATATATATATATATATATATATATATATATATATATATATATATTATAAATAAAAATCATCAGGTAAAAATATGATTTTTTCCGAAAATATTTCTGTATAAAAGAAAATGAAAGCTATGTCAGAAAACTCTAGTCTTTTGATTTGTGGTTATCTAGTATGAATATACACTCATGATGATATTTGAACATCAATTCACTTTTTTTGTTTATTAACTTCTTTGTATTTTTGTACTACAAAATTATTAGTTTTTTGTATAAGCAAAGTTGACATTTTCTAATATTGTTATTGTATGTGGAGAGCATTTTTTATGATTGACCATTTTTAACTGGTGTTGTTTTTAGTTTTACTTTTGTATTCTATAATTATTTTGAAAGTTGTGTTTACTAGTTATTTATTATTAAAGAAATTATTTGAGCCATTTTTAAAAAAGAAAAAAGTGATCAGTTTAAAAAAGTTTTAAAAATATATAAACAATTTTTGGTTTAATTACCTGGAAAAGTTGTTTTTATATTGTATTTCCTAGTAGAAAAAATTTTAATCAAATAAATGTATTTCAAGAAAGAATTATGATCAACTATAATTATCATTATTATAATAATTTATGTTTAACTAATAATTTTTTTTTAAATCAAGAGATTTTATATAAAAAAAGTTTAAATATTATGTTTACCATGCTGTATCTTCAAAATTCAAATTTGTGGTCTAGAAAATTTTTCTTTTTCCTATAGTAATAAGTTGTACTCAATAATGTTTTTTCAATATTTTTATGCATTCAATGTTTTAAAATTTTAATTAGTTGTAGCTAACTAGTTATTTATATTTCGGCGCAGTCAATCATTGTTTTTATACTTTAGATGAACTTTATTTTTTAATAGATTTTCTCCCACTTTTTTTCCATTCTTAATTCTGTTAATTTATTTTTATTTCCAATTTATGATTAAACTGATTAAGTTTTATTTTTTTAAAGGCATTAGAAATAACAATCCAACCTCTGTAGTATCTTTGTACGAATCTGGAATCTCTGATGAAGTGAGTTTTTATTTTGGTTCAATTTTCTTGATAGTTTTTAAGATATAATAATACAATTAAAGATGCTATGCATAAAATAAACATGCAATTTTACCTTTAATTCAAAAGGTTATGGCTGCTTATACCAAACTACAACTTTCTTTTCTAAGTAAATAAATTTTTTATATAGTGACTAACCACTGAACATCATGTAACATTCTGACAATTGGGAAACTTATTACTTAAGTTAAATGCACAAGTTCAATTGCAACCAAGTTTGAGTTACAGGAAGAATTTACAGCAGCTAATTAAAAAAGCTATAAGATTGATTTATTTTGAAGAATATTATGTTTTTTATACAAATAGGGATAAAAGAAATAATTTAAATTTAAATATAAATGTAATATTAAATATGAATATAAATGAATTACTTACTTAAAGTTCCTGCCCAAAAAGAGTTTATCATTTCTACAATAGACACATACACTGTGGTATCCATTCATATTAATGCTGAGGTTGTTTATTTGTAAAAACATTAGATGAATATATAAAGCCTTTTTGGAGCAACATAAAATATTAATACCTGCCGATTGTTATTGGTTATTGGTTGCTGGTTGCTATGGGAGAGTTATAATAGTAGTAGTTTTGTGGTTGAGGGTAGATTGTGGGTGAAAGTCGATTGTGGAGATTAATGCATACTTACCTGTGTTTCTTAACTTCTTTATTTTTTACTAATTTTTTTTTAGTAAATTTAAATTATAATAATGGTATTATACTAATATTATTGTAGTATATAAAAGTATGATATGAACTATTTTGAATTATTTAAAAATTTTGAATGGATAATATTTAAAAATAATTATATTGTTGAGAAAATTTTGTTCAGAAATAAATTTAAAAAAAATTAACTTTAGGAAAACTCAATCTCATCAAATGCAAGTTTAAATTTTGATGATAATGTTGAATCTAATTTTCAAAATATGGAAGTTCACCACTCATTTATTAACAAGACTAATAACATTTGGTGCAGTTCTGATGACATTAATACTGATTTAGCAGCAAATGATGCCAATAGTAATGTCAATATTCTTCAGAAAAATCAGGTTCATAATTCTATCAAAGAAAATCTTGATTATCTAATACTAGAGCGAGATTTAAATGGTAGGTTTTTATTAAAATAAAAGTTTTTATAAAAATGGTACGTTTTTATAATCTCTTTGACATTTGACATGATTAATTAAATTTAAAGTTAAAAAAATTAATTATAATTTATAATTATAAACGCAGTAGTGATGTAGTGGTAAAGTGCTTGCCTAATAGTGAGAAATTCTGAGTTCGATCTCCACCATGTCCCTGGTAATACCATGCTCAACTTGTTTCTTTACGCAGTAGCCTTGTTTGTCAAGGTTCATGTTTTGGAGTTATAGAGTTGAGTGAGGGTTGTAACTACTACTAAAGTAGCCTCCTCGACTGTCTTGGCCTTCATGGCCATGGGGTAGTGAAATAAAATAAATATAAAAAGAAATTTCATGTAAAAATTTATGTAAGAGAGGGGGGGGGGCGTAATCTATATATATTAGGGTGGTTGCAATGCTCTAGTTAAATAAAATGTTTCAAAAAATTACAAGGGGAAACCTCTTAATTATGCCGCTTGACCAGAAAATGACATCTATAAAGCAATGCTAACTCATGACTCATTGTGGATGAAATCTGGAAAAATTAGGGAATTCGGGGAAAATTTGCAATTTTTTACCTGTAAAATTAACTCAACCTATAAATGTGATTTGGATCTTATTTTGTTCATTAGGTTATTCCCTTTAATTTTCATTATCTTTACTTATTTGCTACAGCCAAAAGTTTATGAAATATTTTAATTTTTACATAAGTAGATTAGAAAAGGGCTGAAATCATCCAAAAATGCGCTAAAACTTAAATACTGTTGTAAAAATACCTTTAAAATAAAATAGTTTGTAATCTTTGTAAATTACTGTTTGAAAGATTTAATTTAAGCAATCTGATTGCTTAAAATTAATAAATTAATTAAATAATTGATTTATAATTTTAACATGTTAAAAAAAAGGGCTAAATAAGGCCTTCAACCAATAAGGGATAATAACAAATTAATTGTGTATTATTTTAAATGATTAATTAATTAATTTTAATTATTACTTATATTCTGTTTTATTGCTTTTATATTCTGGGAAAAATAATGAAACAATATACAATATTATTATTATTTATGAATTCACAGATTTATTAAATGAAAAAAAAATTGTGTTTTTAATTTAGGGGTATTGTAAAAAAAAGATCTTGGTTTAATATTAGATACAATCTTATGACTACTTAAAGGGAGATACCATTTAGTTAGTGAAGGGAGCATATTCTAGCTAACTTTAAATAAAAATAAAACGGTCAGTACACCCCTTCCTTATCCCTTATAAATGAAGAAAAAATAGGAATAGTAGTTTAGAAGAGTAATTTATTTTAATTTATAGGAACAAAGGTCAAACTTAGAGTTTATATAATCCTTAAACTACCTTAAACAAATTTATAGGAACAAAGGTCAAACTACCTTAAACTAATTCTGATATTTTGTTTAATCATAGTAATGTGTTTTATTTTTAAGAATTAGAAATGTTTGAATCTTTACAAAGCAGTACATCAGATGAAGAAGGATTTGAGAATAATGTTCAATGCACAGAGGAGATAGACATGGCGACACTTGATGATGAGCCTGACAAAAAGAAGAAAAAATGCATTTCCTCAGTGGAAATTATTACTAAAAAGTTATCCTTATTATTGGATAGGTGTGCTATCTCAGATGCTGCTCGAACTATAAAAGCTACAATTGAATCTCTTGGACGTGACTCTCAGAAATTTGTTTTAATTTGAAGCATCATTAGCTTATGCTGCCAAGAATTTAGAAAAGAGAGAGCAAAACTCATTCAGCAAAGATTTATAAAATCAGATTTAAAAGAAGCTGTAGTACACTGGGATGGAAAGTTACTTCCAGATATTTTATATAAAGAGAATGTCGAGAGAGTTGCTGTTTTGATAAGCTGCGAAGAAGAAGAGCAGTTAATTGGAGTACAACAGTTAGAAAATAGTGTTTGGAGTACTGTGGTTAAATCGGTTTATGCAGCACTTGAATAGTGGGACAGACTAGACAAGATTGAGGCAATGTGTTTTGATACAGTTACCATAAATACAGGTTCTATTAAGGGTGCTTGTGTTATATTAGAGCAAATAATGGGAAAAAATTTCCATGTCGCCCCCACATTTTGGAAATGATATTAAAATCTGTTTTTGATGCTTTGATGGGAAAGACGACAGGCCCTCAACCTTATATTTTTAAAAGATTCCAAGCAGAATGGCTGAAGATCTATAAGAAAAAAATTTAGCCCAGAATAGATAACAAGGCTACAGCAAACAAAGTGATTAACCCTGATGAAAATCAATTATCTAATAGAGCAGTTAACAGTTCAGCATCTAATAAAATTTTGTTTAATATTTTTGGAGGCTTCCCTTCAGATAACATCATGCCTCAAAAACAACATTTGCTCCAAACCAAGATTTATAATTAATAAAATCTTTAGCCGAATACAAGAAAATTAATAAACAAATTTCAGACATAACACTGTCAAAAATTGTGAACAGTTCAAGAGTCGTGAATAATACAGCTGAAAGAGGTGTCAATTTAATAATCAATTTTAACTTGTGTATTGCAAAAGATGAAGAACAGCGACAATATCTTTTACAAGTTGTGTCTGAATGTCGGGCAAATTTTCCTGGTTGCTCTAAAGCCTCCTTATCTTTAGAAAGCAGTGGTTTCCTTATCCTTTGGAAGCAGTGATTTCCTTATCCTTAGAGAGCAGTGGTTTCCTTATACTTACAAAGGTTTACCACTGCTTTCTAATCAATAAATTAAAGTGTATTTTTCCAAATTTTACCCTCAATGAGGCACGAGTTAGCATTGTCCAATTGAGCTAAAACTTTATAGATGTCATTTTCTAGTCAAGTGGCACAATTTAGGGGACTCCTCTGTTATGATTTTAAACGTTCATTTTTTGTGACCACCCTAATATATATTTACTATAGCATATATTGATCAGCATTTGCTTACTTGTTTTGCTTATCTTTATAGCATACAGCTTTTCCAGAAAAAAAAGGATTAATGAAAGAAAAGATTGTTACCCCATGCCAAACCCTCAGTTGATGTTGTAGTACTCCTTTGCAGCAGCAGGCTATAAGATAATCAATATATATATACATATATATATATATATATATATATATATATATATATATATATATATATATATATATATATATATATATATATATATATATATATATATAGGGGTTTAAATAAGTAATGGATATCAAGGCCCCCTTGACTGTTTTTGAGACCTGTTTATAGAGGACAACTAACCATTGATCATCTCTACTGAAAAAATGAACAATGATTTGTTGCCCTCATCTAGCAGTTCCCAAGTATGGTTTAAGGGGCGGCAATGTCTAACACTTATTTCGATCCCTATATATATTTTAAGTTGTATATATATATATATATATATATATATATATATATATATATATATATATATATATATATATATATATTTACTTATATATATATATATATATATATATATATATATATATATATATATATATATATATATATATATATATATATATATATATATATAATATATATAATATATAATATAAATGTTTTATATAAATGTATATATATATATATATATATATATATATATATATATATATATATATATATATATATATATATATATATATATATAATATATATAATATATATAGTATATATAGTATATATAATATATATGATATATAATAATAAATAATATAAATATTTTATATAAATGTATATATATATATATATATATATATATATATATATATATATATATATATATATATATATATATATATATATATATATATATATATATATATATATATATATATATATATATATATATATATATATATATATATATATATATATACTTTTTTTGTAATTAGATGCCAGGTTTTCAAAGGATTTAATAGTTAAAACTCTGGCATCTAAGATTTAAAACCAAAGACATTACAAAAAAATATTATCAACTAAATAAACAAAAAAAGATCAAAGCAATATAAGCAGCTGGATTAATATGAGATTGTTAATCACTTGGCAATTTAGATGCTATTTGTTCTTGTTGTCAAATGTCGAGAGGTTTCTCTAACAAAACTTTATATATAAAAGAACTGTTTATATATAAAAGGTCGCTTCAATATAACTGGTTTACATATAAAAGGTTTGTCCAATATAACTGGCATTACAGCCGGCACAAGAAAATTTTTTAACATTAATTTTTAGCAGCTAAGGAAGTAGATCTTTTATTCATAAAATGTTTTGTAATTTATTGTTTGTGGATATAAATTTAATTGTTATGTCTTTACAATATTTTTATTAATTTTATCTATTTTAGTTTTTGTGAATCTTGAGTAATATCCAATAAATGGAAGTAAATATTATAATAGGATTATCAATAATATTTATAACAGATGCATAATTTCTCTTATCTAAACAAAATTTGATTTAGTTGTCAATAATAAGTGGAAATTTATAAATTTCAAACAGTTTTATATGCTGTTTCAAATTGATAAATTTCAAACAGCATATAAAACCAATTTTGTAACAAAAGGAAATTAAACATAAAAAATTTTGTGAATGACCTGTGTACAGTGGTAAAATTTTGTGAAAGACCTGTGTACAGTGGTAAAATAATGTTTTTCCAGGAGTAAAAATTTTTTGTGATCAATTAAAAAAAAAACTATAATAGAGTCGTTATTATTATTATTACTATTATTATTATTATTATTATTATTATTATTATTATTATTATTATTGTTTATTTCTGAAATTACCAATTAATTTAAACTAAAAAAAAAAAAAAAAAAATTAACAGATTATTAACAAAATAATAACAATTAAAAATAACACAAGAAGAAAAAAAGTAACAATTAAATTTGGTGACACCCAAATGAATGGTTTTCCACTAATTACTTCCCTGATTAAAAGCTTGAAGATTAGTAATGAAAATCATTCCTATTGATCATATGATATAATCAATTCTTTAGAAGGAAAAAAAATTCATTGTTAATAATCTTGCATATTAGATGTTTGCAATATATAAGGAATTTAATCGCTTGAAATAAGCTCAAAAAAAATATTGCTTGAATCAAGAAAGCAAATAATAGCTTTGTATAATTTAGGTACATTGAACAAATGTAAAATCAGTCAAATGTGTGCACATTTGTTAAACCCAATAAACATAATTTCTATAATTAATGCTAGAGGAGTACCTCTAGAGGATTACCTCTAGCATTAGTTTTAATTAATTGCATCAAAAAATCAGTATTTTTATATATCATATACAAGTTAATATTTTATATATATATTTTATATATAGAGATTTTTTTTGTATGAATAATTTTAATGTGTTAAAAGCATGAATCAAATAAAAAAACATTAGTTAATTGGTAATTTGATTGATATAAATATTTAAAAGAAAGTTTCTTTTTGTTTTAAAAGTGCTAAATGCACTTAAATTTTTTTTTTTTTATAAATCTTTAGTTTTTCATTAATTTTTAGTTTTATATAATTTTTAGAACTAAAAAGTTAAGAGCATTTTAAGTTAATGAATTGAAAAATAATCGAATTGTAAAATTACCATTTGCCAAGGTATTGTCTCCATTGTGCACATTACTTTCTTAATCCTGATTCTATTCCACCCATTATTATAAGCATGGTTGTACCTGCTCTTGCAGCCAAGTATTACTTTCTATCATACCATTGTAAGGTTGGGGTTCCTTCACCATTTTACAAGTATGACCATTATTGCTGTTTAAGTTTTTTTTGTTTTTGTTTTTGTTAGCATAAGTGTTATAAATTTTGACTTTAATTTTTCCATTCATATATTAACAGCTTTTTGAGCCTATTTTTGAATTGTTGATATTTCATGGTTTTCATAATCATAGGCAATGTCGGTTTTGGTATAAAGATAAGAAAAGAAGCAAACGGTTTTCAAGTTTTAGTCAAATCAGTTGTTGAAGATGGTCCTGCCTATTTAGCTAAAGGCAGCAAATTTGGTGGATTAAGAGTGGGTGATCAATTAGTTCAAATTAATGACAAATTGTTGCGCAATTTAAACACTAAACAAATTATAAATGTGTTTAAGAATATGCCAAAAACGAGCATCATTGCATTAAAAAGGAAACTTTTAGGTAATGTTGTTTTAAATCATTTACCATGTAACTAATAACTAGATTGCTAGTTTTTATTTAATGAAAATAGATATGTAGTTAGCATTGGTTTGTTTAAAAGTTCATTATATATTAGTTTATATGTTTTTATTTACATGTTTTAATTTTATGGCAAGTTTTTTATATGCACAGGGTTGCCACTCAACTTGAAAAACCTGAAAAGAACATGATTTTTAATATAACCGAAACACTGAGAAAAATTTGGTTTAACAAATAATATATAATTATTTTATGTACAAAGTTTATAATACATAACCATTTCATATAAAAATTTATAATATATAATCATTTCATGTAAAAATTTGTAATACATAAGCATTTCATGTACAAATTTATAATTATATAAAATTATAGTCGTAAGTATAATAATAGTAATAAAGATGGATCAAACATTTTTTTCAAATAATTGGCTTACATGCTTAGTATATACAGAATGACTTATCAAGGCTAGTAGTTATGAACTTGCATGATATAGCAGTAATTGTAAAATATTTGTTTATTATATACAGTTTAGAGTAATAATGAAGGTTAAAAGCACTGGATTATTATTTTTGCTAAATCTAGAAGTTCCTTTTTTGAACCTTTTGTGAAAAGTTCTCCTATTACACCAATGCTATCACTGACAGTAGATCAAATTATATTGATGTGCGATATTTTTTTGCAATAATATAAACTGAAAGTATTTCAAAGAGCTTTCCATTTACTGAAAAGAGTATAAATGAAATTCTTTTGTTGACATTGTTGTAATTTGCATGGAATTCAAAGAGTATTCTTAAGGAAGCACACCAAATAGTGCATGATTATAAAAGATAACAGTTTTGCAAGATTTTTTAATTTAAATATAATACAAAATTGTAAAATTAATTCAGTTTTTAAAAAATTATCAAAGTTGAAACAACCTTTCTCTAAAAGTTTTTAATTAAATGTTCAAAAAGCTGTGAATAATTTTCTGACTGTTACAAAATTACAATTTCTCAGTTAAATTGTCAGCTTGTTCAAATCTACTTGACAATCTATCAGACAGATTCCATACATGTACGGTGGTCTTAAAAAATGGATAAATTCTTTAGCTTTAAACCATCAGTAATTTAAAGCTACAAAAAAAGTGGAGATCTTAAATAATTGTATCTTTATAAAAAAAGAGAATTTGTTACCAAGGAAAGATATTATTATTGGTTGTGCAGCTAAATTGTTAATAAAAGAAATCTTTGTTAAAGTTAAAATCATTCTTAATGAAGTGAGACTGTTTAGAAATGAATGTGCTTTATTTTTTCTAAAAATAATGGAAAGATTTTTTAAACCCATCCTAATAGACTCTACAATTGTAATGGTAGTAAGCGACTGGAACTGATATTTGACCAAGGCTGGTGCCGGGTAATATATAATATAGTATATATAATAATATATCCTAGTTCTTGGTAATAACCTCTGCTAGAATTATTGGGTCACTCCAGTCACTTCATATGTAGTGAATGCCAGTTATTTTAAACCCATTAACTCAAAGTATGTTCAATTGAATCTAATTAAAATAAGCTAAAATAGTTATTACATTATCTTGTTAGTTTAAAGGTAATGTGCAACAAAAAATGACAAAATTATTCTTCAGTATTCTTTACTTTTTAAAATGACGTGAAAATAAACATGAAAAATTTTTTTAATTTTGATTAAAAAGCCAATTGTTTAGATTTATTCTATTTTTTTTATATAAATAAAAAAACTTTAATACATTGTCAAAATGATTTTAACTTATAGTCATGGCTAAGCTTTTGTAGTGGTTTCAGCAAAAAAAAAAACATTTCATACTATTTTTGCTTCACGTTATAAAAGATCTTATGAGTTCTCAACAAGTTCAATCTGACACTAATCTTTATATCACAAATACATTAATGTTATTATTTAAATCAGACAACAGTACCAAATCAGTTTAGTAGAGCAAAGAATTCAAGGAAAGACTGTGAATCAAGCCACTAAAGAGCAATCTAGTTAAAAGAAATTTAACAAGTAGAAAAAAAAAGAGAGCTTACTTGTTACAGCATGCTGTATGCTAAACAAAGATATTATTTTTCAGAAAGATTCTGACAAAATTAATGATTTGACAATGCTTTAAAAGAAAATGGGATGAAACAGAAAAAGAATGAAAAGAGTTAGCTTTGGTTTTAAAACTGTTAAATGCAAAGTAGGAACTTACGGATAAAGTTTTTAACTAAAAAACTAAAAACTAAATTTATAGGAAATTTTTTACTCAAAGAAATTTTTAAAACTTGAGTGACAACCCTGTATACACTTTGCTCAAAGTTAAAGTAATTAAGATAAAATAAAGTTGAGAAAATTTTTTACTTTTCCAATGATCACTACCTAAAAAGAAATTTTAATGGCATTATTATATACTTTTATATGCAAATTTACATCAGTTTATATATGATTTTTTATAAAATGAAAATACTTGAATCAGTATCATATTTATTTTCCTTAAAGATGATATTGGTGATGAGACTTTAAACATGCCTAACTATGTTCATGATTTTCCCAAATTTAATTTGGACCAACAATTCATTGATAATAAAAGTTTAAAGAAAAAAAAAGGTAATTAAGTTTATGATTTAGTATTATTCAATATAAGTACATAAAGTATATGAATATGTTTATAAGAGCATGTTTATTTTTATTAAAATTAAAATATGCTTGTTTAATAAAAAGTTTTGATTTTTTATTAATTTAGAGAATTCAATTGATACCAAGAAGTCATTTACGTACGGATCCTATAATGAGATTACCCCTGAGATTGTTCCATTTGGCTATAAAGTTTATCAGTTTTCAATAAACAAAAATGATTTTACTGGTTTTAAGCTTGCTCCAGCAAGTAAATGTCATGGATTTTATCAGGTATTCATGAGCTTTTTTTTTTAACTTTTTTTTTTAATTAAAATAATTTTCTTATTTTGATTTTAGTTTTTTTCTTATTTTATTGTTCTTGTTTTCATTTTAAATACTTTAAATTGTTGAATGAGTATGAAGATCAGCATTTGTAATCAAATAAAAAAAGAAAAAAATTAGTTGTCCAAGTTTACTGAAGTTTATTGGAATGATTAATGTTATTACCTATATATTTTTACAAAATTCATTTTGTAATAAGTCTAATAAATATAACAATTTTTTTCAGTTTCAACAACATGTTTCAATTATACAATAATCATTTTCAAGTATAAAACTGTTAAATACAAAAACTATTTAATATATAGTGAAAAAAAACATTAATTTAATTTTATTCGTTAGTCAAACAAAAGAAAACATGAAAGGTGTGAAAAACTACGTCATAGAATAATGAAAAATGTAGATAATTGTTTTAATACATATGTCATATAGTAATAGAAAATGTCAATTAGAGCTGAAGTGATAGCATGTAATTAAAAACATGTTTAATAAGATCAGGATTTCTCCACATAATGTGTAATGCTTTTTTGATTTTTAAGTGATGTGAAGTTTGGGGGTAGTTTAATACTGAAAAAGAGTTTTTATTGACTACATTAAAGCAACTCGTTTTTAAATAAATCAACATTTTTTGTAATTTTAAATGTTCCTCAATTCTTTTATTCAAATGTTGAGTGGTTTGACCCACACAACAAGCATTACAGCTTTTACACACAAATTTATATATGACATTTGAGCAGAGATGTTGAGGAGTTTTATCTTTGGATGAAAAATATGTATTAATTTTAAAGGATGAGAATGCCAATTTAATATTAAGAGTTTTACAATGTTTTTTTAAAATCATTTTTGTTTTGAAATTGTTTTGACATTTTACCAATATACGGTATTTTAAAATAATTTATTTTTGAGGAATTGACAATTTGTTTTCTTTTTTATAAAGTCTGTTTGGGTAAGTTTTTAAAACACAATTAATTAGTTTAATTGGGTAAAGGTTTCTTGGAGAATATTTTTAATTTTAACTAAATCAGAATGTAAATTAGACCATTTGTTATTAGTTTTATAAATCCTATCTATTAAGGTTTTTATCATGTCAATTTTGTATGAAATATTGGTAAAACTTAAGTAATTTGTTAATAGATCTGAGAAAGTCTTTTTTCTAAATATGCTGGTAGTTAAGTTATATTTGTTGTCAATAAGAATATCTAAAAAAGCTAATGGTTGATTTACTTCTTTTTCCATGGTAAATATTTTTGTGTTGATGATTCATACAATTAAAAAATATTAAAGAATCTGTCTCGTTTTCAAATAAAAGAAAAATATCATCAACATACCTGTGATAAAACAAGGGTTTGTTATCTATATAGTTTAATAAACTTGATTTTTCCATATGATTCATAAACAAATTAGCTAATATAGGAACAAGAGGGTACTCCATAGCTATACTGTCAAATTGTTCATAATATTTGTTATAAAATAAAAAATAATTTTTTGAGGTGGCAAATACGAATAATTCGTAGAGCTTTTTTTTATTAATTTTGAAGTTAGGATTGTTATCAATAATAAATTTTACAGCTAATTTAAAAGTTTCTTGTAATTTGTAAATAAATTTTCAACATCAAACAACACCATATATTTATTTAAAGTGCTTACCTTATTTAAATCCTGAATTAATGTGAAAGAATCTTTTGGAGACAATTTGGTATTTATGTATGGTTTGTGAAGATTACCAAGAAGTTGTGCAAGTTTGTAGTTATAAGAACCAATGGACAAACTATAGGTCAAAAATTAAGGTTATTAATTGAGTCAAAAAGTTTATGAGTCTTAGGTAGACTATAAAGACGAGATGTTTAAGAACCTATAGGTCAAATATCAAAATATTGTGTTTCAGTAAAGAATTTTTTGTCATAAAGTTTTTTAATTTTTGTTGTAATTGCCAGTAAAGTTGTCCATTTTTAATTCAGTAAATTTAGATTTGTCATTAATTATTTTTAACATACAATTTATATATTCTTTTTTATCCATTATAATTACACTATTTCCTCTATCTGGTTTCATGATCATCATAATTACACTATTTCCTCTATCTGGTTTCATGATCGCACAAAAAAAACATGTTAGTGCAGTAAAAAAATTATACAACTATGTAACAGACTATGTTTGTGTGTCCACTGATTGTAAATCAAATATTTAAGGCATTCTTTATTTGCTTTCTCCCAAACAGCTGCACAAACACAACTAGAGTCTCTATCAGTATTATTTTTTAGTTTAACATCTCTTGATGTACTGTGGTGATTCAAATCGTTTGGAAAAAAATACTTTTTGTTTTTTTTGTTTTGACTGTTTTATCTTTTTTTAACTTATGAAAAAGAGGATGAAAAACATAATGATAAAGGTATTTACAGTAAATCCTTTTTTTGTAAGTAATATGGACTGTATTCTGTTATTGTAATTATTTATTGTAAATACCTTTAGTATTTACAATAAATAAAATGTTGTAAATACCTTTAGTATTTACAATAAATCATCTTTTTGTAAGTAATATGGACTGTATTCTGTTAATAACAATGTAAAAGTTGCAATAAAGCAAAACATATTGTTTTCAGCTAAGTATTTAGATAAGGCCTTAGACCACATTTGTTTCACTATTTTATTGACATGTGTATCAAATGGTTGTTGACAATGTGTCTTTGAGGTAGAATCCATATTATTTCAATTTCAATCTCTATTGCTGATTCAATTACTTTAATAGTCTCATGACTTTTGTGACCATCCAAATATAACAATGCTTTTTGTATCAAAAGTTTTGTACCATCACTTTGTCACTAAACTTTAAAAAAATTAAAAATTGATGTAAAAAGTTAATAAAGATCAATAAAAGATGTAAAAACTAGAATGATTGTTCCCTTAAATATGAAAAATGGTGGTAAGCTGTCTTCTGCTGCATTAAAAGTTGCCATGTATGTTGTCAATGTGCCACATCCACCAACACTAAATTTTTGCACCTGACAAGAACCCTTTGCAGAGACACTTGGTTAGAAGGCCAGTTTCATCACAATTACAAGTTAAAATGTTTGTAAATTATATAAAAATGTCTGAAAGTGATTCTCATTAAATGTTTTTTCTCTTGCTTGAGAAAGCTCTTCAGAAATTCTCAGTTTTTGTAAATGCCATTTTTTTGAGAATTCTGTGATAAATGAGGTCAACACATGTTTTTAGCATAAAAATAAGCAGTAGATCTTATAGAAGTCCTCTATAAGTGAGATAGAGGATTTCATCAAATACTAAGAAGCTTTTTCTTAGTATTTTTGAAAATATTGTTTGGCCACTAATATAATGTGCTCCATGTTTTTCTGATATAGTTTAATCTTTAATAGTTTGCAGAGCAGCCTAAATATTTTTGTATTAAACTTTGTTGTTTTGGTTTATAATTACATACCATCCACAAATTTAAAAAGAAAAATATTGTTATTAAAATACACATAGTTAATAAAATTCAGGGTTTTTTTTTTTTTTAATATTATTTATTAAAAAAAAAATAATAATAATTAAAAAATAATTTTTTAAATGTATATTTTAACATTTTTTGAATTTAAGAATTCATACTTCTTGTTATACTCTATTACTTATAATAGAATATGTAAATGATCTAATTTGGTTAAATAATTTTAACTCAAAGCATTTGTATAGCAGTATTTATATTTTTTTATTTAGCTTCAAAATATGTTATCTGGAAAACTAGCTATAAAAAGTAATTTGCTTCATGGTGATATCCTTTATTCTATAAATGGTATCATAATGAGTTCTTTCAGTCATTTACAAGTGCAGCAAATTCTTAAGCAGTGTGTTATGTTGGCAGAAGTCATTGTTTTTAGAGAGTATGATGTTTTAAGTTCTTCAGAATGTTTGATTAAGAATGCATCTTTTAACGCACCTTTCAGTGAAAATAAGATCACCAGTATTGATAGACTCCCATCAAACAAATTTTATATGGATGAAGAGGAATCTGATGGTTCTTTTTGTGGTGTTAATAATTTACCAGAATGCATTTCAGTTAACTCTCGCCCTACAGCTGGCCCTTTTCTTATTGAATGCAATAAAACTTTTAAATGTTTAGGCTTAGATGTTATGGTGGATGAAAATGGGGACTGTGTAATTACAAACATCAATCCTGCTGGAATTCTTGCTAAAAATGACTTGATAAGGTTGTGTTTTTAATAATCAAATAGTTTCTGTTTGTTTGTTGTTGTTTTTTTTAATTTTATTTCCTACCTATTTTAAAATTGATTGGTTTTAATGTTTTATTTATGCAGAACTAACGATCATCTTATTGCAGTTAATGGCCAATTGGTTACTGGTAAACCTGTATCATTCATTAAAGATTTGTTAAGAAACATTCCTCGTGGTAAAGTACAAATTATATTTTGTGCAACACAATCAAGTTTAGAAAGAAATGCAAATAATGATGTCAGTTCTACACTGAATAAATTAGCTAATGTTTCGAAGACAGGTAAAGTAGATAATGTATGTAAAGCAAATAAAGACCCTTATTATCACAGCAATGGAATTCAACAGAATTTTTCAAATCAAGCCATAGCAGATGATGCTAGTGATATGGCATCGCTTCCTCCTGCTCCCCCTTGTCCAGAGTTTCAGCATGTTGATTGCAATAATAATCCATTGAGTAAGGAATGCTTAGATGATGACTTAGAAAGCATGTTTAGCAGTGTACCTGCACCCCCTCCACCTATCAATTTTCAGTCAAAGAAAATCGTTGATACTGAATTTAATGAAAACATTCGCAGTACAAAGTCTAATAGAGTTCTAGAGAAAAATTCAAGTGTATGTTTTTTTGAAAGAAAGTCTCAAAAATCGATGAAGTGTAATATTACTGACTCTGAGGAAGGTTACTCAAGTGATAGTAGTAATGGCACATCTACTAAATCAGAAACTAGTTTAGGTGATGAGAGTAACATTTCGTTACCAGCTTCTCCTTCATTTAGAGTTACTAATGTTGACTTGACTTATTTGCATCCACCTAATATGAACAAGGTAGAGTCTATCAATTCAAAGAATTTTACAAAACAAGAATCAAAAAGAATATACGAACAAGTTGACAGTTTTTCTAAAAGTTTGAAACCTGATCTTAAATTAAAACCTGATATTATATTATGCTCAGATATTAATAAAAAGGATGTTGATATGAACCTAGATGATGGTGATATTATCAAATATTGCCCTCAATCTTTTAACACAAAAGAAAATTTTACTAAGAAAAAGAGTTTTTTATCGAAATTAAAATCAAAAGTTTTGCTTCCAAACAAAAGTTCATTAAAACAAAGTGAGCAAGTAAAGAATTCAAACCAAAAGGAAAATTTTAATTCTGAAAGCATGGACTATAAAAAATCTTCAACTCGCCAAAGTTTAGTCCAAACATCAGATAATATGCTTTCTGGCAATAAATCTCCAACAAAATTTGAAGGTCTTAACTTTAACCCAAATTTTGCTACATTAACACAATCTATTGATCAAATACCTAAAAGTACCTTAGTTTGTGGTAGAATTGATGTACAAGATGGTCAGCAAGATATACAAAAAGATTTAATCTGTTACCCATCATCACCATCATCAAACAGTCAAAATAAAAGCAGCTACGCAGCTGAAGGTCCCACAGCTCTTACAAATCTTTATAACTCTGATAAAGTAGAACTATATTCCGAGGTAAACCATGGTTTTGACAAAATAGCTTCTCCATACATAAATACTCAGCTAACAGCATATAAAGTAAGCATGGATCGTTCAACATCGATGTCTACATGCTTAAACAAAAGTCTGAGCCAATCAAAAGAAAGCCTTTCTAGCTTATATTCAAATGAAAGTAAAAAACGTGCACCCTCATTGCAGGAACTATTTTTTCCTCCACCTCCACTTAGTAATGACGTTGATGAAGATAGTCCACCTAACTCAATGCCTGAAAAACTTAAAAAGAATAGTGTCTCAGAAACAAAAAACCAAGATCAAATGATTACAAGAAGCCAAAATGCAAATGTAATGTGTGATAAGTTAATACACTCTATAAGTAATGCAAACATGATGCTAAATAGCGATTCAATAGATAACAGACAATTTATTTACACAAAAAAACTACACGTTGAGAATGATGAAAAGCTATCTTTATATAAAAATCCTATTCCGAAACCACCTCGGAGGTACAGTCATGAACAAAAAGCCAACTTTGAAAACGTTGAAAGAAATCAAGACAAAAACAATAATAACAATTTAAGCAACGTTAATTCTTTGTCAAACGAGTACCAAAATATAAGTTGTTTGGAAGATGGTTTTCAAGATGCTTCTTCTATTTCTTCTGAAAAAAAATTTTTTGATTCAACTGAAGATATAAATAATATGGAAGAACTTTCAGTCAAAATATCACCTAAAGATGTTAACCAACTTTACGCGTCAGTAGATTTTAATAAAAAAATATCATCACAGACAATTTCTAAAAATGAACTCACTAGGCTTACTCAAAGTGAAATTCAAAAGGATAATATGCGCACAAAAAAAGCGTCTAACGAGGAAGGCACGTTTCAAATTGAGGTATTCATCTTGACTTTTTTCAAAAAAAAAGTTTATCGCTTTTTAACTTCGCCAGTTTTGACATTTTGAAATTTTGTTTGATGTTAATATAAAATAAAATGAAATTTTCTTTTTTTCTTTTTTGTTCTAAAATTTTAAAATAGTAAAAATACTTATTTTAGCTTTTAAAGGAACGTGGAAAATCTCTTGGGATTGTAATAACGGGAGGTAATAACACAATTGCAAAGCTAGTCTTGATTAAGGAGGTAAGCAAGAACTCCATAGCAAATCGATGCTCCATACCATTGTTACCTGGGGATGAAATAATAGAAGTGAACGGTCAAAATGTTACCGGTGAGTTTTCTGCTTGTTTTTTTTATTTGTTTGTTTGTTTGCATTACTATTTGCTTTTATTTATTTATTCTTTTGTTTTTTGAACTTTCTCTTTGTAAGGTTTGAGTCACAACGATGTTTTGAATACTCTTAAAAACGCTCCACCTCTGTTGAATTTAAAAATTAATAGAAAGTCGCATCGCAATAAAGAATTATTAACGCTTTTAGAAAATGAAACGACTTTACCGAAAATGAACACTGGTAATTTTCTTTCTAATCTTAAAGATACAACTCAAAATCAAGTTAAAAGTGAATTGGTGAGAATTATGTCACCTACGAGTGTTAACGCAAAAAAACAAAGTTTGTCGGTGGAGACTTTTGACGCAAATAATTTAGATAGTTCAAGAAAAGTTGTTTTTAGTACTCCGCCTATACCCCCTCGGCGTTATAACAGTTTACCAAGGTCTAAATCGTCACTTTCCCCCAAAACGAATAGATCTTACACAAACGAAAAAGACAATGCATTAAATAATACCTTCTGTAGTGACTCTCGTTTAAGCAATACGTCTCTGAGCAGTAATAGTCTCAATGAGTCGTTAGTCGATAATTTAGATTGCCGTATTTTGATAGAAATCGATTTGCACAAAACGCAAGGAAGAGGATTGGGTATTGGTGTGTATGGTGGTCCAAAATCAATTATAACAGAAGGTATTAAGGTAAAGCTATAACTGTTAGTGTATTATGTATAACAGTTCGCGAGATAAGCTTTAGCATTGAGATTACTTTTGTTTTAGCTGTAGTAATTTAGTTTTAGCTTAAGCATTGGGAATTATTGTGTTATAGCTATAGACATTAAAGTTACTTAATTGAATTCATCATACCTATTGATAAAGGTAGTTTATAAATGTTTGATTATGACTTTTGAGTTAGATTATGAGATTATGAGACAAATTATGACTGAAGTTATCAAGGTATTATAGTAACTTAAAGTTTCTTAAAATTAAGTTGTACAAAAAATAGACTATTAAAAATTTTTAAATGATGTTTTGTAATTTTAAGGTTAAACGACTTATACCTGAAAGCATTGCTGGAATGGATGGCAGATTAAAGGGTGGCGATCTTATAATTGCTATCAATGGTACTCCATTAAGAGGTTTAACTCAGGGTGATGCTCTAGGGATACTCAAAACTATTCCTGATTGCATTTTACTCAAAGTTTTGCGCAATGGAACAACGATCAAAAAAAATGACGGGTCTCTTGACAAAAGCCGGTCTCGTTCTCAAATTCCTTCAGGGTATCAACCAAGAAGCAAAAGTGTCGAAGATATACGACATAGAAGTTTGTCGTCACTTTCGCCTAAATGTCATGCCTCCACTGATTGCATAAATCAAAAAGACGTGAAAATAAAGAGAAAAAAATCTTTCATTGAAATTCTGTCTCGCAGTTTCAGTAAAGGATCACTAAAGCCCGACTTATATACCGTGTATTTAGACAAGGAATGCGATCAGTTTGATTTTACGTTGGATGGTGGTAAAGATACAATATATGGTCTTACACCTATAACAGTAAAAAATGTATCCAAAAAAAGTACTCTAAGTAAACAAATAAAACAAGGTGATCAGTTGCACAGCATTCAAGGTTTGTCTGTCAAAGATTTTAAGTTAGAAGAAGTCTATCAGTTTTTAAGAAGTTTGCCTAACGGAAGAGTGTGCATGACTTTAGTAAGATAAAAATGTAAATAGTAATAATGTAAATACGAATCATAAGGGTGTTTAAAATGTTTTTTTATCATTGAAACATTATATTCAATATAAGTTATTATAAAAATGTGATGTAAAAAAATTAATTGATAATATATTTTGTATTATATGAATAAAAATTATTATAGAGAGTAGTGTTACTTGAGATATTTTTTAAGGTTTGACTAAATTTTATAATCAGGGAGATCCAGAAAGTTTAGGTAAGGGTAGTTAAAGACAATATGAAAGATTCAAAAATTACTAACTCATCAACCAAGTTAAGTATAAAGTATTTCCTATAGCCTAATTATTGGAAATACTTTATCACGTAAGCGTCACAGGATTTTTTTCACGAGGCAGTTAGGTAACATTTCTACAAAATTTTACGATTTTTTTTATAGCTTTTTTAATAATTTATATTATTATTGTTATTATTAAACGTAACGATTTACAAAGAAAATTACTCCTCCGAAAATTTTTTTTTTATTTTTAGTGAAAATCATATGTTTTGCTATGTAAAAAAAATAAATGGCGAAACAAAATTCTCACAAACATTTTGAGGAATATTTCCTGAGATCAGGATTAAACAATTTTCATGGGGCACATTAGAATGTGTTGCGCGCCTCATAAAAAACATATAGACAAATAAAATTAAAAATGATGCACAATTATAAAAAGAAATGTGATAGATATATAAACAAAAAAAAATTTTAAGAATTGCAGTAAAACATGTTTTTGATAAAACGGTGAAAGTAAGAAAAATTGCCGGTGTATTTTGGTTCTCTAAAAGTACGTTGGCTTACAGAATAAAAATGGTTAGTAATAAACATTTAAAACGTGATAACTTTCCCACCAAGTATTCTGTTAATCGAGTTTGTTGAAATCATCAAAATCAACATGTTACCAAGATCGAATTTTAACATACGAATTTATAACCATTGTGCAGACACCAAATGTAGTTTGGTTTTGACCAACTTCAACTACAACTAAAATATATGATATTTGTGTTGTATTTGCTACATTATTGTATAGTGGATAGATGAAAAGTAATGAGAAGAAAACAAATGTACTAATAATGCAATTGTGTAGAAAAATTGTTTTACTTACAGTCCCACCTCATTGTACACATACGCTTTAACCTCTTGACGTTTCAGTAATGGCTCCTTTTAAATAGAAACCTGTTTAAAATCAGCTTATACTTTCTGTTAAAAGCAAGATATAATAATTTATGATTTACTCAGTATTGTAATCTAAGCATATAATAGCTCATTTATCCAAGTAATATTACTCCAATTTTTGATCTTATATAACCAAGTATTATTCAAGTATTGTGGTACTTTTCCTTTTTGCAGAAATTCATTTACTATGAAGATTTTGAGTGTTCAGAGATAACAGGCATCTCCTTGCAATCTAATTATAATGACAATATGTGAGCCTCTCATAAGATCTCAGAAAATAATTAATGGTTTGATTTTTTTTTAATTTTTTTTCAAAGTTTTTGGGTTCGATATTTTTTTAATAATTATACATGAAGATCATGTGCTGAAATTTATTTATCTCATATACATTCATTGTTTTAATTTCCCTCGTCTATGACTTTCCATCTTTAAATCTATTTTGCGGTATATAATTCTACCATTATGTTTTTTCAAAAGATATTTAATCTTTTGATGGTTAGCAGGTTGCGTTCACACAATGTTACCATAATTAATGTAGCTATGAATTAGGCTGAAGTATGTTAATTTAATACTTTTAGTATTTTTCAGTTTTGTAATTATTAATTATGTACATCCTGTCATTACTTGTTTTGTTTGTCTTTGATCCGAAGTACTTTATATGTAAATTCCTGTTTTTTAATTTGCTTACCTATTTATAAAGAGAATTGTTAATTTAAATTTCAAGTTTTTTTTTTTTTTTTTATCAATGTATGTTAAGCTTTATCTACATTTATTGAGAGCTTGTTAGGTTTGAATCATTTATTTAATTTCATCAGCGCAATATTCATATCTCCATATGAATATTGAGCCTATGAAATTAAATAAATGGTTCAGACCTAACAAGCTCTCAATAAACGTAGAGGGGGGGGGGGAAAGTCAACGGGCTTTTTCGTACCCAGCCCCCAGTAATAATAATAATACGGTATAACTGGAATAACTGTTTTAAACAGTTGCGAAGTGCAATAACATAAGATATTGCACTGTAACAGCTCATTTTGTCTTTTGTTTGTATTTTAACAAATAGTTTCTGCAAAATCCAGCTCTGTCTAGTTTGTTTTTGAAGTTATTTATTGAAGTAGCTTCTATTATTTTAGATGGTAAGCTGTTCCACGCATTTACAACTCGATTTTGGAAAAAATGATTCCTGAAGGTATTTCTGCTAAAAGGCTTCCTCATTTTGAATTTGTGTTGTCGCAGACATGGACCCTCCTCCAATGCATTTCCACAATCGTTAGCAACCCAATTTATTTTATCGTGGCCATGCTGAATTTTATATTGTTGAATCAGATCTCCACGTAGTCTACGTTCTTCCAGTGACGTTAATTGCATAATATTCAACCTAGCCTCATATGATAATTTCCTAATTGTAGGTGCTAGTTTGGTTGCTCTTTTTTGGATTTTCTCAATCTTGTCAATGTCTTGTTTTAAAAATGGAAACCATGCCTGGACCGCAAACTCAAGATGTGGACGTATGAACGTTGTATAGAGCATTTTTACCATGTTTACATCTAAATATTTAAAACTTCTCTTTATGGTACCTAACATTCTGTTTGCTTTGCTGGTTGCCGAATCAACTTGTGAGTGCCATTTTAAATCGCATTGAAACATTATACCCAAATCACGTTCAGCTTTTGTGTTACACAATGTATAATTGTAATTGCAATCAATATCAGTCATTATAGATGTAGCATTTGGATTTTTTTTCCCAATATGCATAACTTTGCATTTTTCATAATTAAATTTTGTGAGCCAAATAGATGACCATGCCATTATATTATTTATATTATTTTAAAGCTTATTGAATCATTAGGATTTTTTATAATATTTATTATTTTACTATCATCAGCGTAAAGTTTAATAGGGTTTTCGACTTGATCTGGCAAATCGTTAATAAAAATCAAAAACAGCAGTGGTCCTAAAACTGACCCCTGTGGTACACACTAATAACTGGTAGCCAATCTGAGACAGTGTCGCCAAGGACCACTCTCTGTTTTTTGTTAGTTAAAAAGTTCTCTATCCATCCCAATCATTGCAATTTTTTGCAAAAACTCATTATTTGATATAAGTAGAAAAACACCAGGATCCGTCATTGTCCCAGGGCTCTATTTTATACTTTATAAAACATACAAATTTTTAACTTGTAATACTTTGATATTAAAACTTTTAAAACGCAGTTAAAATCAGATATAAAGAGTTTCATGATGATCCACATCAACATCAGAAGTATAAATGTAAATATAGATAAACTTAAAAACTTCCTATTTTTAACATGATTTGTCAAAATAGTGTGACGATGAGCCATATCAAAAGAGTTTAAATTTTTATGTTCCTAATTATAAAATTATTTCATTTGAGAGAAAAGCGCTTATAAGGGGAGGAGGAAATTTAGTTTACATTCATAAGGATTTTTTATATATATAATTTTCAAAACCTTTTTACTACCCCTAATCTAATCTAAATCTAAAGAATATAAAGAACACCATTTTGGAGTCTTTAGATCACTTTCGCTCATCGGCATCAACATGAGTTTAGTTTAAATCTTTAAGAAAAGTGCCTAATTTACTATAGATCTTAGTTCTAATTGATTCGTATATTAACTAAATATAGTTATTAACTAAATATAAAAATATAAAAACGACGTATATTAACTATATATAGTTATCAAATTACAATATTTCTATAAATTTTCACAAAAAATTCTAGAATTCCGACCAAAAAATAGATTATAATTAAGAAAAATTGCTAATAAACAATCAGAACTGATTATATTATTAAACTTCATCTTACCTAAAAAACGTATCTAAAATCTTATTCAAATTTGGACTAATTTGAGATTTTAAGAAGATTTAAAAAAAAAAAAAAAATAGATTCCTGATCATTTAACGGAAATATGTCGTAGTTAACAAAATATCATACAGATATTATAATATTTCAAAATTGCTTTAAGGGGTCGTCCATAAAGTACGTACGCTTTTTTTTCGAACATCCCTCCCCCCCCCTCCCATCCCTCCACCCTCCGCATTTTGGTTTTTTTGATTACCCTCTGCCTCCCTAAAAGTAACTATGCTTTTAACCTACCAAACCAACATTTTATAATATTTTTTGAACTTAGTGTCTCCATACTTTTGTAATTGACCAACTACCCTCCTATCACATATACATTATTTGCAGACCCCCTCTTCCTCTCCGAGCGTACGTACTTTATGGAGGATCTCTAACTACACCGAGTAAGAAGGTAAGCTACGGCAATGTCATTGAAATTTGGGCGGCCAGAAGAGCTCGAAAAATTCTTTTTTAACGCTTTATTTGCCTTTCTAGAAGTTTTTGTCGATTGACTTTTCGTTTATTGTTTTTAAAACTAATATTTTAGTTCATATATCAGTTTTGATTAATGAACCGTTTCTCAATCCAAAGAATTAATTGTAACGCAGAAGTACAATGTGCTGTATTAAAAATAAATAATTACTGCGTTTACAAAACTTTAAATTTTGTAATTTCTTGGTTTAAGCAGGGGTACTGTTCTCCATTTTTGACCCGGGCGCCATTGGCGCTATCGAAGGTCCTGACTAGAACTGAATCATCGGAATAATATTTGCAAACAGCATGTGCCACTTCTCGAAGGCCCTGACTAGATCTGAATCATCAGAATAATATTTGCAAACAGCACGTGCCACATTGTCTTTACCGTTGTCACTCGCTACCGGATCATTAGGCTCGTTATAAACTAAATATTATAAATGTAAATGTTACTTTAGTTTTTTAATTAAAATCATGAAGGTTGTAATAAGTGGTGCTTCAGGATTACTTGGCAGATCGATCTACAGAGAACTTGTTAATAATACAAAATGGGAAGTTTTGGGGTTGGGTTTTACAAGGTTAGGTGGTAATTTACATAAAGTAGATCTTTGCAATGAAGAAGATTTGAAGCGTTTTATAGAAAAAGAAAAGCCAGACGTTTTTATCCACTCTGCAGCTGAACGTCGACCTGATTTTGTAGCAAGTAATAAAGAGCATACAACACAGCTTAATATCACATCTACCAAAATAATTTCTAAACTTATGAATCAAAATGGCGGATTTGTTCTTTATATCAGTACTGATTATGTTTTTGATGGTTTTAATCCTCCATATAAAACAACTGACATTCCTAACCCATTAAACGAATATGGGTTATCAAAAAGAGAAGGTGAAATTTGTATTTTAGAAAACTGTACAAATTATGGCATTCTTAGAGTTCCAATATTGTATGGTGAAGTTGAATATCTTCAAGAAAGTGCTGTTACAGGTAAAGAGTTTCTATTAAACAGGTTTTTTAAAAAGATATAACCATTATTAGGTTTGTGTCTGTGGTAATCTTATTCTAAAGCTTTAAGATATTACAATGGTACAACTAATGAGGTATTATTATATTGCTACTAATAATTATTAGCTGTTTCCATAACTTGCAAGACATTCTTTAGAAGCCTATTGTTCATAGCTTCTAGTTAATGGTGCTAAGCAATACTTATGATACTAGAAGCTATAAAAGTTATAGTTTTTAATAAAAACAAACAAATAAAAAAAAAATTTCACAGTTTTTTAATATATTTGTTTTTGGAGATACTTTTATAACTTAAATTTTGGTAACTTAAACCTCTTTGGGTTAAAAGATAACAGTTTGACTCTGAGACGGTTTAGCAGAGGAAGGGAGGGTGTTGCCATTTACCTCCTCTCTCCTCTCTAAAATAGGTGATTTTTAAGTTATAGCTTTTTGAGGAGTATAGTTAACTAGTTGGGTTATTGACACATTTCAATCGGATGAATTTTTGTTTAATGGACCTTTTTTTAGGAAGAAGCTGGTACTTTCTAAGGATTTATCCTCTCTCGTTTTATTCATAGAGCAACAGTTTGATAAAATATTTTTTCTACTTTTCTCAACCAAGTATTTATTCATTGATAAATTTTAAAACTCACGCAATAATCTCATAGCGTTTAACAGTTATTGCCTTATAAAATTTGCAGCCCCCTCAAACTGAGGGGGGTCAAACTTTTTATGGTCATAGTTTTTTAATGCTAAAAGATTTTAAATGTGAATTTTAAAATTTATCGATGAATATAGATTTAGTTAAGAATAGTATAAAAATTATTTTATCAACTTGTTGCTCTCACGTTTGGGGCAGGTTTAGCTAAAATTTTAGGGCTTTTTTGTTCTCAGGCTCCAATCATCACAATTTATTGCAAAGCATCCTTATTTGATATAAGTATTAACATATAAATTTTTGGAGTTTGTTCCATGTCTGGAAGTTAGGTATCTCAAACATCAAAAAATGCTGCATCTTTGTCTGCAAATATACATATGTATAGATACATCAATATTTAAAATGAATAAATATAAATTGTTATAAGATAAAGAAAAAACATTATTGCTTTTTGTGTAATCATAATTTATGTCGTGGTGGTAATAAACTTCTCCTCAGAATCGCTAACAGAATTAATTTTAGTCTTTTTTTTTCCTTTTGACTGATTTATGATTTTAAAAAAGTATTAAAAAGAAATAATGTTGTACTAGGTGGGTCAGCATTGTTTTGAATGTGGATATGTCTAAAATTATAGAGAAAAAATTATAATTAAAAAAAATTTTGGTTCACTTTTGATGAACTAAATATTTATTATTATGATTAATAATAAATATTGAGACTGGACTGTTTTTGAAACCTGTTTAAGTGGGGCAACCAACAATTTTTCATTTTTACTGAAAAAATGATTAATGATTTATTGCCCTTCTTACAGGTTTCAAAAATGGCTCAAGGGGCAGTGATATCTGACCTATTTTGACTTCTGGTTCCTTTTGATTACATCTTTATAAATATTATTAATAGGTTTCATTAAGTGTTTGAAAAATTTAGTTTTATTGCTTGTTTTTTACAGTAAGCCAATAATTGTGTGAATCTCCATGTCTAAATAAATGGATATTTGCACACAAAATAAATATACATGAGCAAAACATTGCTAAATTATAAAATGTCAACCGTAAATAATATTTCCTTTTATCAACAGTATCAAACAGTCTTTAAGTAGTATTCAAGTTGTTAAAATGAAAAAGATTTATTTTATCATTTTTCATAATTTCTGTTAAATAAGTGGCAGTTATGACAATAAAACTTTTGGTTACAAAAAATGATTATATAAACTTATATATTATAAAGAAATCTTCGACCCCTGGTTCCTTTTGATTACATTTTTTTAGAGTTAGATATTTATTTAACTGATTTTTATTGAAATTACATGATTAGTTAAAAATTTCATTATAATGGTTTTGGTGCCAAGTCATTTGTAAACAACAAGCCCATATAACATGCAATTGCTCTAAGGAATATAAAATTCTTATCAAAATCAAAAGAGATAAAAAAGGTGATAAAAGACATGCATGAACACAGCAGACAAGGTAAAACAATACATAATAATTCTAATAATAAAGCTTAAAAGAAAAAAAATGGAAGGCAGCAGAATAAAAAGTAAAATTTAAAACAAAGAATTATATATATATATATATATATATATATATATATATATATATATATATATATATATATATATATATATATATATATATATATATATATATATATATATATATATATATATATATATATATATATATATATAAATTAGTAGAAAATCACTTAGCAAAATTTTTTCTCATTTAACACTGTGTTTCATCAATAAAGACTCATCAGAAATGAATGATCAAATTATTAAAACTTCAATTTATACCAAAATTTAAATTACAGGAAGTCACATGTCTCAAACTACTGCAATTTTTTACACATTTGTGTAATTTGCTGACACTATTGTAAAAAGAATTCTTTAGAAATGATTACTTAAGCTTTTTTAAAAAATAATGTATTTTTTTCAAAAGGGGAGTTAATGTAACTATTATTTGAGCTTACTTATTTTTATAGTTTTTTAGGAGGAACTTATTTTCGTGCCTGCATTTAGAAATCGAATCCGATTTTTTGTTCAATAAACATTCTTGGTTTGTATGTGTAATTATTTCAAATTTTTCTTGTAGACATAGTATGCATGAGCTCTAAATGTGTTCTTTATAATAAAATAACACAGAAAAAAACTATTTTTAGAGGTGCATTTCTAACAAGGCTGCAAGCAACCACTATTAGATATGGAGGTTACTGGAAGAGAAAAGATTAAGTTTATAGAGCAAGACAATTATTAACAGAAGACTTAAAAGATTGTATATTATATGAATCAGGAAAACAAGATGAAGGGAGCCAATTCCAAAGAACAGGCTTTTGAGGAAAAAACTAGACAAATAAGAGTTTTTTAAGCGTTTAGAACAGTCACAGTAAAGGGATGAGAATTACTTGAATTATGAGTAGGCAGTTTCACGCGGCAGCCATATTGGATAATCAGCTAAATTGGTTGCAATTAAAAGTTGGAAGCATTTTTTGTGTTTTTGCGACTTACACTTAGGAAGTTGGAGAAATAAATTAAAATAATTATATAAATGACTGACTTAATAAAAAAAAAAAAATAATTTTAATTTGAGAACAAAAGTCAGGGAACTTTTATTACCTGCTTTCAGAAAAATTTGAAAGTTATTTTTACAGTTTACAGAGCAGAAATAAACAGGTAAGTTTCATAAGCACAATACTTATATTTGCAATAAAAAAAAATTTTCACATATAAAAAGAATTATGTAATATTTATCCAATAATATAATAAACATAATCTCATCAAGTTAGATTAAGTAGCAATAATAAAATTTTACTACTCCAATATTCCACCTCTAGATTGCGCATACATATTGGTCGATCTCTTATTTTCGATAGTTTCTAACCTATCGAAATTACTTTCTAACGCGTCAGAATCTAACAGTTAGAATCTAACGCAATCAACATTTCCTTATAGTTTATTTTTATTCTGTTAAATTATTTAAAAAAAGGCTGCTAAAAAGAATTATGAACAAAATGGTAATTTATGTAAATAAAGATTAATATAATAAACATTTTTTATTATATAACTTGTTATAGATTTTACATAATTTTAAAACTGTGAATAAAACCCCACTTTTTAAAATATTTTTTTTTCTATATAATATAGAAGAAAAACATTTTAAAAAGTGGTTTTTTATTCGCGGTTTCAAAAATAAGTAAAATATATAACATGTTATATAATAACAAATGTTTATTATGTTAATAGACTATATTTCTAATTTATTTTATGTATTCCACAAGAATATAGACTATATTCTTTGTTAATACGTCCATCATTAATTTTGATAACTCAAATTACTATAACTTTGCTTTTAATTGGGCTAAAATATTAATTTTGTATCAATGTGCAGCATTTACTGGCCTCTTTCATCTAAACATGCTTTGAAGTCAAAATATTTAGTTTAAATTTTTTATGCAACTGCCTAATTATGAGTAACACAAAAATGAATTTTAGTAGATAGTACAAGAGATGCTAGCTCTTTAGAGCATTGCCCATTATAGTGTTTATAGAAAAAAGAAGGAGAAGCAACATTACAACAATGTGATAATGGTTGGAGGTTGGCTGCAAGACCAGGTCCACCATCGCTTATGACACGAGCGCACCACTACACCCCAACTTTTAGACTTTGCCTGAGAGTAAGAGGGTTGTTATTCATCAATATAGGTATACTAACATTATTGCAATATTTTTTTGCAGTAAATGAGTTTTGTTGGCTAACAAAAATTGCAGATTTTAAGTCCAAAATTTAAATCCATAAGCCATAGCAAGCCTTAGGCTGTTACAAAAGAGAGATCAGTTTAAAAATCAGCTGCTTGTTTTAAGCAATCGAAAATTGAAGATTTTTTGTCAAGACAAGAGTATAAAGTTAAGTCATCAACAAATAGAGCCACTTTAGATGTGAAATTTTCATGAAGATCGATATTCTAGATAAGAAATAATACAGGAACAAAGATAGAACCTTGTGGTACCCTTAAAGATACTTGAAAAAAAGAAGAGTGTAGGCCTTCAAGAATAACTGTATTACTGCAGTTAGTAAGAAATAATTTAGTTATCTCAAAACCTTTATATAAAGAAACTAATAACAGAGTGAAAACTAATCATAGGATAGTTAGATAGGTCAAAGTGGTTTCTAGAGTTTTGAAAAATTGGAACCACTTATTTAGCACTTTTTAAAAATTAAATATATAATTAATAAGATTAAATGTAAGATTCATTTTAATTAATGACATTGTTGAAGACTATCTAAAAGTCTCTAGAACCTAACATCTGATATAAGATACAAGATTTAGTAAACTGAGAATTACAGAGCTTAACATTAGAGCAGATACAGAGCTTAACATCTTTTTACATTGAATAATAAAAGGATATTTGTTCTTAAGAGAGATGTTCTTGTAAAAAAGATAAAATAAACGATTAATAAAGCAACTGCTCAAGTTTGCTTCAAGACTTTTTTGAAGTTTTGAATTGAAGAGTAGGGATAAAAGCTTCCGAACTTTTAGTCCAGAAGGAATAAAAGCTTCTGAGATGCGCTTTATGCATACATCTTATGGATATAAACATATATGTTTACTATTTATTTACATGCTGGCATACAATATCCTTTCATATTTATATTAACTTTAGTATTTATATGGTGTAGTATATGACGAAAGAGAAGAAAATGATGATGATGATGATGATGATGATGAGGATGATGATGAGGATGATGATGATGATGATGATGATGATGATGATGATGATGATGATGATGATGATGATGATGATGATGATGATGATGATGATGATGATGATGATGATGATGGTGATGATGGTAATTATGATGATCATAAATACAGGAAGATCTAGATTGTTGTGATAATGATTAGCTGAAAAAATTAGGTTTAAAGTTAAAGTTCATCAGTCACTGTAAGCCCCATGCTGTAGCAGAATTTTCAAGCTCAAATGTCCCCCCTCCAAACAATCAGATTGTTGACTTCTTATCAAGACAAGAATAAATGGTAGTATCATCAGCAAACTATGCCATCTTATATGTGAGAATTTCAGGGAGATATTTTAAATGTAAATTGTCCAAGGATAGAACCTTGAGAAACCCCTCCAAGCAATCAGATTGTTGACTTCTTATTAAGACAAGAATAAATGGTAGTATCATCAGCAAACTATGCCATCTAATATGTGAGAATTTCAGGAAGATTTTTTTAATGTAAATTGTCCAAGGATAGAATCTTGAGAAACCCTTGAAGTTACAGGAAATAAAGAAAGGGTTCAATAACTTAAAAAATGCTATCTGATACACCGTTAGAAGAAAGCCTATGGAGAAAACCATCATGCTAAACTTTAACTTTATCTTAGTGTTGATGGTTACCTTCCTTTAGCGGAAGGTAATCATCGACACTAAAATTACATAATGAGACATATGAACTCAAATTAGTCTTACAGGTCTGGTGAACTTTGTAAAAAAAAAAAGAATCAACAGAAGAAAAGTAACTTCTAAGACCACAATTTAGTGAATGATAGATTTAGAGAACTTGGTAATGACAATTGATTTTTGTGTTTAATAGTTTTTGATACTTAAGTCATATTAAAACGTTGGAAAAAAAATTTGTGAAATCTCTAGTACTGAAGTGTTTTCACAAAATAATGCTGGTTAATTTGTCTAATTAAGTTTGCCTAAATATATAAGTTTTTTTTAATAAACAACTATATTTACACTTGAGGTCACAAATTCAAATTTCGCAAACTAAGATGTAAACTCAGTGTCCGTAAATTTTTTTTCTTTCTTAGGGTTGTTAATATTTGGAATAACTTGTCTGACGTTGTTAATGCCATAAACATCAAAACCTTTAAAGTTAAAATTAACTCTATCAACTTTAAAAAATTCTTTTGTGAAAAATTTCTCTTACACAATAAAAAGAAGCTATTTAAATATCCCTCAGTTTCCTTTTTGCAATATATTCTGATTGTTTTGCAAATATATATTTTTAAAAATATTTCAAGTGAGGCACATCTATATTAAGTAAATAGGACTTAGTGGTTATTGACTCTATAACACACTTAGACTTATCAAGAAGTTTATTGGTTGAAGTTTAAACTATAACCAATCCTGTTAATAATATTTTGACACAATTTAAAGTATCACTAAAACAAATAGTTACAGCTATTTGTGTCAATTTTTATGCCGGGTACTGCAACAAAATGGCTGATTCTGGGTACCTGGTAAAACAACCAAATTATAATTCCTATTTTTCTATAAAAAGTTGTTTTATAAATAGTTTACATGCAGTTTAGAAATACATGTTATGATAGACAATGAATATTTTACTAAATTAACAGTAAACATTGATTAAACAGTAAACATTAATTAATCTTCCTTTAATTTCAGACTTAAAACAATATTTGTTCTATTGCTCTGATAAGGTTTTCCTGTCTCTAAAAGCTACATATTGCAGCTTTTGTCACTTATTTGATGACTTTTCTAAAGGGCTGGGTGAAAAGAGAGAGAGAGAGAGAGAGAGAGAGAGAGAGAGAGAGAGAGAGAGAGAGAGAGAGAGAGAGAGAGAGAGAGAGAGAGAGAGAGAGTAAGATATTTCCATTAACCTTCATAATTGTCTTGACTGCAAAAAAAACTTTTTTTTTTTAATGAGCTTGCAAATAGAGATTTGAAAACAGACTAAGTGAGTAAAAAGTGTTTCACTTTCATAAGATAGCATATGTGCACTCTTAATCATTGTTTGAATTATTAATAAATAAAGAAGTTTTACTAGATGGAGGACCCATAAACAAAATGTTTGTCTTTATTTCACAACACATAAAAGTATACATTACACAAACTTAGCAAAAAGCATGATCAGTATGTAGCATAATGAAAATGTTTAACTAATTGTAAACTACCTGATTATTGATTGAAAAGTAAAATTCAAAACTATTTGATTGAAGTCAGGAAACTAAATTGTAGCTTAGTGAAGCGTCATTTTATATAGAATTGATTAAGAATTTAATTGTTAAAATCATCTGATTGAAGTCAGGAAACTAACTTGTAGTTTAGTAAAGCATCATTTTACATAGAATTCATTAAGAATTGTTGAAATCAGTTGTTCAATCTGAGATGTAGATCGAAATTTTTTTAATTGTCTTATTTGATTTATTTTCTCTATGAGTTTATTTATAAGCCTTGTGAATATATCCATAGAGTTGATAGGTCCATTAAACTTTGTAATTTGATGCTTTAAAATTAGCTTTTGCAACATGCAAGTTGAACACATACTTTCATTGACACTACTTTTTATAATAAAATATAAAGCCTGTATATATATATACAATATATAAATGTATATGTGCATGTATAGAATGTGTATATACATGTGTGTATATAATATGTGTGTGTGTGTGTGTATGTATGTATGTATATATGCATGTATGTACGTATGTATGTATAGGTTTATTTGAGTTGTTAAAAGATAGCAAAACACCAAAAAAGGTTTCTAACTACGAGCAACGTTTTCCAACAAGTACAGACGATATTGCTGTTGTTTGTCGGCAAATTGTAGAGTACAATCGTTTAAATAATTCATTTCACGGAATATGGCATTGGAGTAGCAATCAGAAAATGACAAAGTACAAAATTGTTGAAATAATGGCGCAAGTATTTAATTTATCAATGAAACATATTGAACCAGATAACGAACCGTCGGTTGGGGTGTCGAGACCATATGATTGCGAACTCGATTGTTCGAATCTTATTGATTTAGGCATCGGCAAACAAACTGATTTTAAAGAAAACATAAAAAAATATTTAGAAAAATTTGTGTAATTTATAATGAACTTTTATTTACATTATGAGAACATTATCTTGAAAATAGTTTTTTTAATCATAATTTTCTTATGGTTCTTTTTTTTATGAACGAGATTTTTTAAGTATTCTATGAGATTTCTGAAATGTGATTTTACTTCACATTATTACTGATATTACCTATATATATATACTGAATTTTTTTAATTAGTTGAATTGCGATTCTGGTTTTGTTTTAAATAAGTGAAAATAAAAATAATTAATTTAGTCAAATTAATAAATTTTTGTTTGTTTGTTTGAACCTACATAAACATAAGCTGTTTACTAAATATTTCTCTCTGTATATAAAGGCGAATAGATAAAGAAATCAAATTTGAATCATTAAAGTGTGAACGTTGTGAACAGTCAATAGACATTCCCAATTCTGTAATTATCTGCAAAAACTTGAACGTTCTTACAAATATAGTAAAACTTTTTTTTTTGGGGGGGGGGGGCGGGAATTTATTTTAATAAACATTTATTCATATTTAGACGAAAAAACTTACATAGTGTATTACTAAATAAAATTATATTGTTTATTAGTTTGACGCTATTTTTATAAAAATTTAATCTCAAAATATTTTCCGAATATTCCTGTTTTGTTTTTGTTATATTAGGTGGTGGTTGTCGCTTTTTTTTTTTTTTTTTTTTTTTTTTTTTGGAAATATAAAAAGAGTTTTTTATTTGTGGGAAACTAGACACTAGATAATCGGTATCGTATAAGTCGATACTGAGAATAATGGTCTCGTATCGCGTGGTATCGCTTATACTAATGTCGATACTATCAGTATCGGTTCGATACCGAGAAGGATGGTCTCGTATCGTGTGGTATCGCTTATGTTCCAATGTCGGTACTATCAGTATCGGTTCGATACCAAACGATACCGATAATAAAAAGAATCGTATAGTATCACATGGTTTCGAATCGAGGCTGTCAGTAAAACAAAAAATTAAAATGTGATTTATTGAATTTTTTATTAACAAAATACAAGTATAATTGCTTTTTAAAGATTTGGTTATTGTTTTTTAATAATTTGCAAAGATAAGACTGATTCATGTCTTATATCACTTTCATTTTCTTGTTCGATGGGCCAATTTTTTTTGATGTAATTTTCAAGAGCGGAATAGTTCTGCATTATAAATACAAGCTTATCTGCCTTGTCACTGTCGAGATTGTATCTATGATCAGTGATGACAAAGCTAGGAACAGAAAATGCTCTTTCAGATAATGCAGAGGTTGGTGGAGTAACCAACCAAGATCTTGCAACACCCGAAAGGATAGAAAGTTCCGCTGCATGCTGCTCCCACCATGCTAAGGTGTCAATTTTACCTGCATATTTGGATCTAATTGTTTTTTGGTATTTTTCCATTTCTAGTTTAATAGGAGGGTTTTCGTGTATATGATGTGAATTAGCATCTTCCTTATACTTTGCTTAAATAATATTGTACTCATTTTCCTCCCAATCTTGTACATTATCAGTAACGGAATCGTTACTACCGATGTTATTACTAGAGTTTGAGACAGACAGTGAAAAATTCTCAAAGTATTTTTTGGTGTTGGAATGGTTTTCAACCAGTTTTTGAATATTTTCATCGTCAACATCAAGAAGATGTCCACGAAAAAATGGATCAAGGTAATATCCTAGTGCAAATCTGAGAATCTCTAATTTAGTTCTGATAATAAGTCCTCCAAGAATTTTACTACGAATTTGTTGTTTCCATGAGTAAAATAATCATTTCTTTCTCGAGGAAGTAGATGAGTGGTGTTACTTTCCACAGTGACATGTCAATTCGAATCTCTGTGTCAGAAGATAAAAAAACTGATAATTTTTTAACAGATTTAAGCACTGAATATCTTCAAAGAGTAGAAACTGTTCATCTGTTAGTACGGTTTTCTTCCAATCATCACCTTCTGTATCGCGTAAGTATATGAGTGGAACCTTCAATCGAGCGCATAGCGTGCAGTATATTGCAACGGCTGTTCCATCTCGTGGTTACTGTGGAGGGTATTTTGAGGTAACTCACATCTAACCTGGAACAAACATCTTTCAACAAAGCACTGAAGGCTGTCGATTTATGAAGCCTGGTAGAAAGTGAGCTGGCTTTAAGAAAAGTATCTTTCAGTTCCGGGGTACCCCAACTGTTTTTTGAAGTATGGTGTTGAAAACCTTCTTGTTTAGTCATTAAAGACACACTGTTGTTTAGAGAACATGCCATATTTGATGCCTGATCAATAACACACAGCTTATTGGGTATTTTTTTTAATGATTTAGGGCATGAGTGTGTGCTTTTGCAATGTTGATACCAGTGTGTCGCTCTTTGAATAGACAGACTTCTAATGTAAATTGTTTTAGAGCAAAGTCTGGCGAAATATAATGTTATATCACGGACATGTATGAATCATTTTCCCTTGATGTCCAGTGGTCGCTGGTTATGGCAACCTGATTAAGATCTATGAGCTCTTTTTCCATAACTTCATGCATTACTACCTTCAGTGTATGGTAAAGCCGAGGGAGTTTATTTTTTGAGAAAGTCGTTGAATGTTTTATTGTGGCATTTGGTAATACTTTGTTCATAAACCTCTTAAAATTTTCAGAATCAGCAAAACTTAACGGCAAACACTCAGTAGCAATCAAAGTAATGATGTCATGATCAACTACTAATTGACACCAATCTTGAAATGGCCATTTTTTTGTAACCGCCTTCTTCGGGAGAGTGAGAGTTTTGAAGGCTACATCTTTTGCGAATCCAGAAGTACCTGCCTCGATTACGTGTTCTTTGTGATCTCCGCTCGTCTTCTTTTTTTTTAAGTTCGATGAATAACTTCCTATGCTGTGTTTGAATATCCTTTTGCAAGCCATTAGTATTTGCTTGCTTTGTTGCAAGCTTATTTCCACAAGTTTTACACAGAGCAGATTCTCCTGAAAATGTAAAGTTGAGTCTAATAACAAATAAAATGGTTTTACTTTTTTATTATAATTTTATTTTATTTTTATACCTTTCTCTCCTTATTAGATATTAGGAGATGATGTGATGCAACTATACAGATTTATTAATAACTTAGATGTATTAAATTGGTATAATGCTCCCACAATTATAGAAAATTCTATTACAAAAAGCTACAATAAATGATATATAGACAACAAACCAAAAAAAATCAAAAAGTTAACATACTTTTTTTCGAACTTAAATATAAATAAAACACTCTACGATAAATATATACAAAACTGTGAAAAGCTGTTAAAGTGTGACGTCTACTATTGTTAGACTACACACTAATAATGAGTATAACAACTTTGTTTATTTATATTTATTTTATTTACAAATAAATTAACTAATATATTTAAAAAAATTAAATAATGAGTAAACTGCTAGAAAAACATATAAAGTGACCTATGAATTTTAAATCTTGCTAAAAGCATATGTCCAAATCTAGATATATAGCCTTAGTACCTTTCTTAACATGCCCAATATGTTAATAATACTTTGTATTATTCACATATGAGGCGCACTAATAATGTTTTAACAATACTTATAAGCAAGGCCGAATTTTGACGTTGTTAAATAGACGATGTCCTTTGGTATAGGGTTGAAAATTTCTGAAAATTTCTCGAGAAATTTTCGGAAATTTTCAAAAAAATTTTCTTGCAATAAATCTATATAGTTTCATAAAAATCATTTCTTTGTTTCAAAAATTTACGTTTTATCGTAGTATTTGGGTATTCTTCAAATATTTCAACCAAAAATATACAATAATAAGAGCGACAAGCGAAAAATACACATCTTTTAGTCAAATTTTTATAATCAAATTTATCAATTTAAGAATCGCGCATTTTTTTTAAAAAGCAATAAAACGTTGTTATTTGTTACTTTTACGTATATTACTTTTGTAATATACGTAAAAGTAACATAATAATTTATCTAAAAATGACATTAAAAAACAGATTTGATCTGAATGCTCAGTAAAATATTAATAAATTAATTTGCTTGGTATGATATTTATAAAACACACACGCATACAAATCGCCTACTTAGCAGTATTGGTTGAAAAATACGGTATATATTTAAACCATTTTAAAGTATAATTTATTGATTTATTAAATTCAAAAGTGCTCTAGCAATGTTGTGGTGTAACTCAAGTCTCAAAACTTATTGAAACATAGTGGCGGAATTCTTGATCTCGATATCATTAGTTCTTTATTTATTAACTATATATTTTTGAATAGTTCAAATTTAGCAAAAATGTTTCTTTACTTTTTTTTTTCATTAATCAATAACATCGTTAAATCAAGAAAAAAATGTAAAATGCTGTAAATATTCAATCAAGTCTTTTTTATATACAGTATTATAGTTTTCAGTAACTTGGAGGCAATTGAAAAATGCCCCATACCCTTTAAGGATGGGGGTGCAAATTCTGTTCAGCCTTAGACAAAGCTTGCTACGGCAATGAACGTCAATATGCTTAGCAAATAACAGGTTTAAACAATTTTTGAAAATTTTGAAAACAAATTATTATTGTTACTATAAAAAAAATCCAGCTAAAAAGTTTTCAAAAGTTTCTAAAATTTTTATAATATACTTCACAATATTTTACGATAAAATTGAAATAAGACATAAAAACTTAACCCATTATTTATGAAATAACTTTTTTGAAAATTTCCGGAAAATTTCCCGATTCAAGAATTTCCAGGAAATTTTCATCACTACATAGGCATATGAATAATCGTCGCCCAAAAGTTTGTAATAAAATTTAAAAAACTACATTTTTTCAATAAAAACTACAACTTTTCTAAGAAAATAAAAAACCAAGCGCCCCTTTTTGGTTAGCGACCCTTTGCCTAGATTTGCCTTATGACAAATGCGCCTCTGCATTCTACACTTAAGATAAAATTTATGCTTTTATAATTATTTCACAACGTTTTGTGTTGCAACAGATCTCAAAATATTTATATAACACCCTGTGATAAAATAATCAAACATTTTTTTATACATAAAATGTTTAATTATTTATGTGGTGTGGAACTGCTGCTGGATAAATAAAATATTATCCTTTCACAAAAATAAAATACATGCAAAGATGCTTTCAAAGCAATTAATTTTTAACAACCTTAATTATTAATAAAACTATTAGTAGCATTTAAAGTCATTGATAATTTTTTACTTTTTTTTTTGTATTTTACTTACTTTTATAAAACTTTAGCAATTTCATTAACAATATCTCTAACAACAAAATCTCTAACAACAATATCTCTAACAATAATATCTCTAACAACAATATCTCTAACAACAATATCTCTAACAACAATATCTCTAACAACAATATCTCTAACAACAATATCTCTAACAACAAAATCTCTAACATTTTATTGCATTTTTTTTTCTCCGGTAGTTTTCTTCACTTATTTGTAGTCTAACAACACATATATAAATCTCATTTCATAAAATGTTAACTTTAAAATTTTAACTAGAAATTATTATGCACGCAAATAGAATATAACAAAACAGAATAGATTTTTCCCCCGGGTATTTTTTTAAACAATAAAGTTCTTAGAATATATTTGTCTAAAAAGGGAAAAAAGCTGCTTTTAAAATGGATGCAAAAATTAACGCTGTAAACGCAAATGATAGCGGTAATTTATATCAACTTTAGTTAAATTCACCACTGATGGGCTAGTATTGACCCGATGTCTGCTTCTGCAAATCTTTGTTAGACCTTTTATAGTTTTTTGCGGCTACCTAGCTCAGGCAATTTTATGAAGGCTCGGCAATGACCCTGTTATGGCTTCCCAGATAGCAATCCAAGAGCGTAACTATATCGGTCCTTTAATAAACTCGCTGGCATTGGCTAACTATTATCGGACCAGTCTATCCTTGCTGTCGGGGTAGATATATATCTACCCCTATCATTTTACACATACTAATGTGGTTGTAATTTATTATACATTTAGGCTCAAGACCGAGACCAAGACCAAGACTGAATGCTTCAAGACAAAGACCAAGACCAAGACATTAAAAAATCAACCCAAGACCAAGACCAAGACTTTAAAAGTTTTTACAAGACCGGGATCAAGAATTAGGTTCAAAGAAGTCCAATAAAACCCATGCTCACTAATGTAAAGAGTAAACAGGTACTATTTATTGACCAGCTTTACGCCCCTTCTTTATTTAGGCTAGTGTAAATGTATTTATAATATATTATAACGTATTAATACATTGTTTCCAGTTTAGAATATTGAATGCTGGATCTACTTGCTTGGGTTTTTGCTTGTGTCAAAAAAAATGTTTGAATGCTACTAGATCTTAGTTGGTGTGATAATTTAGCATTCATAAACTGATTTACGCTTGCATGAAAGAGTCACGTCACTACTAGCACCACCATTTTGGTCGAGCTGTTCTTGAGGTTCCTCCTCTTCTACTGTTGGGGGCAATAAATTTTGAGTAGAAGGTGCCAATAGATCTTGAGTGGTTTGCGACTTTACTATAATGGCCGAAACCTCTGCTGTTATAAGAGCTGAAAAATCAATATTTTCAACGTAAAGCATAAAAACAAAACAATGAAAATTTAAAACTGACAAGTTGTAACAGAATTATTAGAATATAATTATACTTATAATATTTTCGTTATAATCAACAAACCACCGTTAATTTTTTATCCATTCGACAACAACTTAATAGTTCAATAAAAATAAACAAAAATAAAACTTTTTTAACTTACTCGCAATATGTTCACGAACAAATCTTTTGACATCATCTGGTCCAGGATGGTCTTCCTCTAGCCAAAGTAACGAATAACTGGGATCTAAGGCTGAGACCATTAGGTAAAGCATTGAAGAAAAATTTAGGTTCTTCTTAATTTTGTCACCTGTTGGCAAAATTTTGACATTCTGCAACAATCCACCAAATCTGTCACACAAGGAGCTCAACAAACCGTTAACCAGTGGAATGTGATAACCGTTAACCAGTGGAATGTGATACGCATCCTATTGTTGGATAGCTGTCACCCTGTAACAAATCTGTAGCCTCTGCAAACGGCTGAAGAATTTCTACTAGTTCACGCAACATTGCCATCTCACGTTGTATCAAAATAAGATTACTATGGTCTCCTCTGAGCAAATCCGAAAGTTTAAAAGAAAACTATTTCATTTTGTAAAAAACGGAAAGAAGAATTTATTTCTTAAAGTAAAAATATTGACATTGACGTTCTTTCTAAATTATAAATTTAACCCGTTTGTTAACTTTTCCTTACAACTTTATTAACATGAGTGCTGCCTAAAATTTTTTTTAAACTTTTTCTGTTTTTGTTTGTTTGTTTGTTTGTTTTTGATTTTTTTTCCATAATTATTATCAAACTTATAAAAAAAAGTTACCATGATTTACAATTACTTAAGAAAAACTTAAAAGTGTATCATACAAAAACAGTTTTTAAAATTATCAAAATAGGATAGCACCACCTTAAGAAGATAAAGGCATTATTGCAATATGGCATACCAAGCAGCAAATACTAACATACCTTGTGCAGCTAGAAGTTGTACCTTTAGTTTCAGTTATTGGTTCTTTACAGGTATTACACTTAGCATGAGTTTTAAACTTAACTTCGTCTTTAATTACTTGATGACTTTCACGAAAATCACAATAACTAAATTTAACAATTGCGCGAAATTTATTAGCCATTTTGACAGTTTAACAAAGGTATGTTTAAAGGAAAAAACTTTTTCTAGATACAACTCGTCGCATTGTTTGACAAGGTTCAAAGTAATTGTTTTTTTATATAAGGAGAATAGCAAATAAAACTTTTTTTTCTTTTTTTTAATGTCTAAATACAAATTTTTATGAACTGATTTTTTACTTATTTATCCATTTTTAAACATTGATCACAAAAAGAATAGATAAACAAATAAAAAAATAATAATATAAATTATTTAAATTAAACATTTTTAAAAAAAATCTAAAAGAGTTTTTCTTAATTCTCCTAACATAAATTTAGAAATTTGTCAAACCAACGCGACGAGCTACCGTTAAGAAGGGGAAATTGCTTTTACTCAATAATTGGTCAGCTTTACGTGAATAAAAACTTTAAAAGTTTTCCTCAAATTTTATTCACGTAAAGTTAACTAATTTACTCAGTAATTACTCAGCTTTACGTTAATAAAAACTTCGACAAGATTGCTGAAGTTTTTATTCACGTTAAGCTGACCAATTACTTAGTAAAAGCAATTGCTTCTTTTTATTCACCCGGCCTATTGAGTTGATATTTTTCGTAAAAGCCAAGAAAGTAAAAGTCAGTAGAGGTCCGAGACCAAGACCAAGACTCTAGATTTCGAGACCAAGACTAGGCTTCAAGACCAATACCAAGACCAAGACAGTGAAATATGTGTCTCGAGGCGTCTCGAGACCAAGACTTTGGTCTCGAGACCTACATTTCTGGCAATATACAAATAAATTGCATAGTAAGAAATTAAATTATATACTTAAACCAGTGTGTTATATAAATTAACACTTAAAATAGATCTACTTTAAAACTTATTAAATTTAGTTCGCAAAATACATTGTACATAAAGTTGAATCAAAACATTAAAAAAATGTATATAACTTAAGGTTAATACAATTAAACAAACTTTAAAAAAAATCAGCCTGCTTTTTTAATAATATGTTTTTTTATGTAAGTCCAAAGTATAAAACAACTCAACAAAGTTACATCAGAAATAACATAAAAAACTGCAAAAAAAGTTGCAAAATTTGTTATCAAAATCAACAACGACAAAAAGCTTTCTCTTAAGGTGGTATACCCCTCAGAAATATCAAATTTTTAAAAAAAATTTTGTTGTTTATTTTTATTTAAAATTTATTATAGAATCATATTTTAAAAACCATTTTTTAAAATTCAGTATATAACTTGAGGAAAACAAACTTTAATGATCCTTACATTTTTAAACGCCCTTGACAACCCCCATAGCAACGCATTAACAATTTTTATTTGGCCAAGAAATTCTCCTCAAACATAATTTTTAAAGCTTCTTGAAATGAGTTTATAATTTATTTCTATTTTCCATTGATCAAAACATCTGTAAGATTAAAAGCAATAACTGGATTTCTCATAAATTTCTTCCAGAAGTTTCTTTAAAACGAATTGTCATCTTAAAGTTATATAAATCTATGCATCTGTTTATGTTTATATAAATTAAAACGTATACTTTTAATGGGTAGAGAACGTGTGAAATTCGCTACTCAATACAAAAAGAAAAAAAGATTTCATGGAAATCAATATACTTTAAATAAAACAAATTCAGCAAATTCAAGTCTTCTACCTTCTACAGATTCACAGAGCTCAATAAATATATCTTATTCCAAGGTAAACCATATTAATACTTCTGCAAGTTCTAATAAAAAAAACATATGTGGATACAGAATAATTGATAGCACTTTATTAGCCTTTGTTATTCAGTTGTTATGTTGTCCAGAATGTAAAACTTGTCGACTTAATTTATCTGAAAACGCAAAAAAAAAATTTGGACTTACCAGCTCATTGATTATATTCTGTAAATGTGGATTCAATCATGAATTTTTTACATCCAAGAAGTGTGGTTCTGAAAGAAGTAGAGCTTTTGATATCAACCAAAGGTCAGTTTATGCAATGCGTTCATGTGGGCAAGGCCATACTGGCCTTAAAAGATTCTGTTATCTTATGGATCTTCCACCGCCAATGACTAAAAATACTTACATTAAAATTGTTCAAAAAATTGCTATTCAAGTTGAAGCAATCGCAGTAGAAACCATGTCTGATGCTGCACTTGAAATTATAAAAGCCTCCCAACATACTACTGATGAATCCAATTTAATAAATACCAGTGTTTCTTGTGACGGTACCTGGCAACGTCGAGGTTTTTCCTCATACAATGGTGTTTATACTGCAATATCTATGATTACAGGAAAAGTTTTGGATTGTGAAGTATTATCCAAATATTGCAAACAATGTTTTTTAATTACAAAGAAAAAAAATACAGACCCTGATGCATATAAAATCCTAAAAAATACTCATTTTTGTAACCTCAACTATACTGGCCCATCCACCGGTATGGAGGTCGCTGGAGCAAAATCAATTTTTGAACGATCTATTGAAAAGTATAAACTTCGCTATACTGAATTTTGTGGTGACGGAGATAGTAAGGCATTTTCATCTGTTGAAAGAGTATATGGTGATACACTAGTTTCAAAATTAGAATGTGTTGGTCATGTGCAAAAAAGAGTTGGCACACGATTAAGAAAATTGAAAAAAGAAAGTCGTCTAGGTGGTAAAGGAAGACTTACTGATGCTACAATTGACAGATTGCAAAACTATTATGGAATTGCAGTTAGAACCAAAAATCAGTCTGTTAATGAAATGCGCAGTGCAATACTTGCTTCATTGTTTCATGTTGCTTCCTCAAAAGAAAATAACTATCACATCTATTGTCCAAACGATGAAAAAAGTTGGTGCCAGCACAATGTTGATCGAAAACATCCCAATCAACCATCTCTCTATAAACCTGGCCCTGGTTTGCCACGTGATATTATTGAGTTACTAAAACCAATTTATAAAGAACTTAGCTCTAATGAATTGCTTGCAAAATGTATGCATGGAAAAACTCAGAACCAAAATGAGAGCCTTAACATGATAATATGGGAACGAGTTCCAAAAACTAAATTCTGTTCATTGTTACATTTGAAATTTGCAACATATGATGCTATTGCAAACTTTAATATTGGAAGAAAAGCATCAGTGATGACTTATGAAAATCTCAATATGATTCCAGGAACATTTACGATAGATGGCTGCAATAGAGAAAATAAAATGCGTTTGTATCAATCATCATACAAAAATAAATCTGATGTAAAGTTGCGGAGAAAAACAATCAGAGGCAATAAAAAGAACAAAAATGATAGGGAAAAGCAAAAACAAGGCACTCTTTATGCTGCTGGTAGCTTTTAAACAATTTGCTCTAAAATTTACAAACATTGTTTATTTTTATAATATTTTTTTGGATATTTTTCTCTTTTTTAATTTTTAAAGTCTTTATTTGCTAACTTCTATTTTTCAATCTCCCGTCACAGTTATTTCATTTTCTAGTAATCAGTTTTTAACCAAATTTTCAGCAGTGATGTGTTTTTATATGATGTATGCAATCTGCCAAAAGTTAATTATAAAACATTTCAGATTTTGAGATATTGCTGTTTCAGCACTAAAAAATTGCTTATTTAAAAATCTTCATAATCCATGTAGTGCTACATGGAAACTAATAGTCAGATTTAAAAACTTTTGGCAGATTGCATAGATCAAACTGTTTTTTATAATTGGGCCAAGTTTTACTTTAAATACTCGATTAGATTTTGAGATATTTTTGACAGTGCGATGTGCATATTTTCTTATATCCGCCATTATAGGTGGTTGTCATGACAACATAACCACCTGTTATTTTATAAATCAATTTCGTTTAATAAGATCTTTCATAGGCTTAATTTTTATTTTGACTATAATATTTCAATTCCAAGATAATTTTGAAGGGGGTATACCACCTTAAGCAATCTTATCTCGCCATTTGCATTTGTTAAAAAAACTTTATGTCAAAGAGCGCACAAAGCGCTATATGTAATTTACTGGTGTATTATAAGATCATAATAACAATAAACAGGGGCGTGGAGTCGTAAAAAAAAGTACCGACTCCGACTCCAATCATTGAAACTTTTAGAGCACGACTCCGACTTCGACTCCGACTCCAATTCCGACTCCGACTCCAAAGCAAAATTTTTGAAATTTGAAAATTCTTTGAACTCTTTAAAAAATATTACGCGATAATTAAATTTTTTAAACTACAACAACAACAACAACAACAACAACAACAACAACAACAACAACAACAATAATAACAATAATAATAAAAATAATAAAAATAGTCATAATAACATTATTAACAATAGTAATATAACAATAATATTAACAACAATAATGATAATCAGTGACGAATCCAGCATATTTTTGTTGTTTGAGATGGCTAACTTCAAGACATGGAGCGAACTACGTTTATACTTATGTCAAATAATGGTGTTTTGCAAAAAAATTGTGATGATTGGAGGCTGGGAACAAAAAAGCCCTCGGTGAAGAATATCACAAAAAATATTTTATCAACGTGTTGCTACGTTTGGTGCAGGGTTGGGGAATAAAATTTCAGGGTTTTTTTGTTCCTAGCCTCCAATCATCACAACTTTTTGCAAAGCATTATTATTTGACATAAGTATAAATATACAAAGGTTTAATGTTTGCTCCATGTCTGGAAGTTATCTTAAACACCAAAAAATGCTGGATCCGTCACTGATGATAATAGTAATGACGATTATGATGATGATGATAATAATTATTTGACAATTATGATGATGATGATAATGATAAAGCTTAACAAACTTTTAAATAATATTGAACTTTATATAAATTTTAAAAGCGCTAAAGTTTGGAAACGAGTTTTATTTTAAAAAAAGTTTTCTTAACTTTTTTTTGTTAAACTTTTTTTTTTTAATTTCACAAAGGGGTTAACGAACACTAAAACAAAAATTTGCCGAAAAAAACTCTTAATTAGCTACTCATTTACGTACTCATTTACCACTTTTTTTTAGATAAATATATAATATAAAAAAGAATGAAATTAAACTCATAATCAAAATAATTTAAAAGTAATAAAAAATAATAACAAAAACATCAGCAAACTTAAGATGGTATTGCGATTACACTAATCCATGGTGCTCGGCAATAAGCCAAGATTAATGTCTTATTTTTGTTCTTTTTGTTCATTTTTATTTGTGAATTTATGTAGGTTGTAACATCTATTCAACGGCAAAATTTATATTTTGCCGTTTTTATTATTCTTAATTAGTATTATGTATTATTCATATAAAAAAGAAAAAAAAAATGTTATATATACATACATATATAAAATATCATAACAAAAATCATGTGTCAATCATGTGGGTTAATTATTTATTCTGTACACAAAGTTCATTATGTTTTAAAACTTAAGCTTTATAAAAGTTAATTGAAGTTAGGTACGGTATACGGTATACTTCTAGAAATATATTCTATGTAAATATAGAGGTACCTAAAAAATGAATAAATAAAAAATAGAAATAAATATATGAATAACCTAAATAGCAAAAATATAGTATAAATAATAAAACAAAAGATATTATAGTTTTTTTAGTATATTGTTTGACCAAAAAATTTAATTTTGATAGGCTCTGAATTCAGTGGTTATGTGTTGCGTAGAATAACGGATTTTATAAAATATTTAATTGATTAATGATGTATGAAATCACGAATAAAGTCAACAATATTTTATTGAAAATATTTACCTTGAATTTACATTTGTTGTATAACAAAATAAAATGTTAAAGATTGTTACAAAGAAAGCGTTCTCTTTAAAGAGTCATGAAATCCGTTTTAATAAAATCAATTTTAAGTTTCCGTTCAATTATGAAAATATTTATAGATGTGCAATCTACGGTTTTTTTTTAATTTTTTCGTTTTTCAATCTTGTTTATTTCCACGAGTAACGTTAAAAAGTTAGTAAATATTTAACAAACATCTTAAATAAACATCCGTTCTCAGTTGTTTTGTAATAAAATGATGACAGTAAGAAAGTGAAAAGGGCAATAAACATAGAAGGACAATAGAAGAGGTAAAAAGTTTACATTTAAAAGGGTAACGTGAACAGTTTTTAAAAGAGGGTAATGTGAAAAGTTTAACTTTAAAAGGGTAACGATAAACGTGACAATAGAAGAGGTAATAAGTTAATAACATTGAAAAGGTTAATAAACGTGACAGTAGAAGTTTAAATTGAGTTTAGTAGAAGTTTAAATTGAGTTTTATAAATACTTCTTTATAAAAATTTAATATTTTAAATTTATATATGTATCATTGGAATAATGTACAAGGTTTATAAATATATTATTTTAAAGTGATTTGTCTAAATAGCTAAATATCAATTTAACAGTTATAACGAGTATAATTTTATATTACCGCTAAAAATAAACACCAGAATTTAAATTTACGATACATTATTTAAATCTTAGTTTTATTAATGTTTAGTACACAATTATAAAGGAATTTTATAGATCACACTAAATTACAAAGTTTGTTTATAATGTTAAAATACTATTTTTGCATATTGTATACGATGAAACTCTTTTTTTTTTAAACAAAGAAATGTTTACTTAGTTATTCTGTTATTTATAATTGACCACCCATACATCAAAGTTTTATGACTTATCATAAAGCTTTGAAAAAGCTGACCGACATTACTAGCTTTCTTTCTTCAGATATTTTTAGTTATAATAATATAATATTTTAGTTTAGATAAGTTTTATTTTTAGTTGATACTGTAATAATTTAAAATTTAGTAAACTTTTTTTTATAATCAACAGTGTCACACAACACACAAACACACATTAAAAAAAAACACATTAAAAAACACACATTAAAAAAAATATCAATCATTAAAAAAAATAATATTAATTATAAAAAAAAAAAAATTAAAAAAGAAGTTAGGTTTAAATATATTAAATATATAGTATCTAATTTCATTTAACTGAGTTTACAACATTTAAGATTTATATTTTTAAATATTTTAGGTATATATATATATATATATATATATATATATATATATATATATATATATATATATATATATATATATATATATATATATATATATATATATATATATATACTGAATTTACAACATTTAATGTTTCTATTTTTAAACAATTTTTATATATATATATTTTAAATTATATATATATCTTTTTATACAATAATCTGACATTGAACTTATTTTTCAGAAAACTTTGGTAAAGAATGGCTGTGTTATACTTAAAATATATTGAGGGAAGTATTCCATTATTTCTTCATGGTATTTTGTGTGCACTTGCATACGGTGTCTGGTTATTGTTTGCTGCGGTGTGCCTTCCACTCATTCTTGTGTTTCGATTTTATAGTACTTTAGAAAACTTTCTTATTACATATAGAAAGTTAGGAACTGTGTTTACTCCATTCGATAAAGCATTCATCCACGAAAGTAAAGAAAATAGAAATTTTATTATTGGGATTTTTGAACTTGAAGGAGAACCAAATATTGAAAAGATTCGAAAGTGTGTTATTGCTCGCTTTCTTAACAAACGCCGTCTTCTAGATAAAACCTATGAACGTTTGTCTCAAAGAGTTACAAAACGATATTTTTCATATATATGGGAAGAGGAATCAAATTTCAACATTAGACAACATATTCCAATTTATAAAGGGGTTTTGCCGGAAACAAAAAAGGATATTGAACAGCTGTGTTCCAGATTAACAGATGAGGAATTTCCTAAAGATATATCGCCTTGGATGTTAAAAATAATTCCTAAAAAAGACAAGTCAGGATTTATTATTTTTGCTAAAGTACATCACGTGATTGGGGATGGGTATGCTCTGATAGGATTATTATCGGAACTTGTTGATCAAAAACCACAGTTTATGGATTTTCCACCAAAACCTCAAGGTTATTTGTCAAATAAAGTTGCAAAGGTATTATCAATTGTTCTGACAGGTCCATTAGCTTTATTAACGATAGCTTTTTCACAGAATCTTAGAAATCCATTTAAAGCAACAAAGGGGCTAACTAGTAAAACAATAAGTTGGACCAACCCAATAAGTTTGGAGACGATAAAGAGGATAAAATCAAAAACAAGTAATCTCTTTATATATGTTTTAACTTATTAAAAAAAATTTCAAGTAATATTTTTTATCCGTATAAATTTTATAACTTATATATATTTATATATATATATATATATATATATATATATATATATATATATATATATATATATATATATATATTTTATTAAGTATATTTAATTAAAAAAAAATGTTAACAAATTTTTAAATAAATTTATTTTGTTAACAGTTGAAAAAATAAAAAAACATGTAATTTTACATTATAATTTAAAAATTAATTTTAATAATTTTAATCAAAAAAATGCTTTACTGGTGGTGATGTTTTCCAGTTGACGTAATAATTGCTACTAAATTAGCTATTATCAATAAGTCATTTGTAACTGAATCTTGTTTGGTTTTTTGTCAACGTGCAAGTTTTTGCACATTGCAAACCAAAATCAAACAATCACCAAAGCTTCATTAGTTACCTTTAAAACCAATAAAAAATAAAAATGCAAATAACCTATGCACAGATTTTTTTCATACTACAATAATAAAATTTATGCAGTAAATATTTACCATTAACTTATTTTCATATAATATTAGTTTAACAAACTCACTCCTACTAATTTTACTTATGAAAGTAAACAAAATTGAAGTTGAGTTGAATGTTAAAAAAAAAAAAATTGAATATTTTTGATTGGCGCTTCTTTTTTTTTATTTAAAAAGTATTTTTGACACGTTTAATAATAATTAAAAAAAAATTAACTTTAAATATAAATAATTAAAAATACTTGTAAACTATATTTTTCACGTATTTTAAATTTTCTCAAAGCATAAAAATTAGAACAGTTCGTTTACAATATAGGGCTACATCAGTTTTAATACTATTTTCAATATACCCCCATTTATATTTTGTGTAAACCATTTATATTTTAAGATAAATATATTTATACTTTTAAAGATTAATGTTTAATTTAATTTTAGATACTACAGTTAATGATGTAATGATGTCTACATTAGGTGGGGCACTTCGAAGATATTTAACAGAGAGGGGCATATTTCCCGATGACCAACCTGTTGCTATGACTTTTAATTTGCGGTCAGCGTCGGAAATGATGAAAACTAACATTCCTTTGGGAAATAACTCTGGTGGTTTGTTTCTGAACTTACCGCTTTCAGTTTCAGATCCTGTTGAAAGGCTTGAAGTAACAAAGAATCGGATTGTATTGCTTAAAAAACTATCCCATGAACAAATGTTTTCTTTTTTTTTCTACAACGTTGCAAGTATACTACCAGATTTTTTTAGTCGCATTACAGCTTTTGCACTGCGACGAAATACAACACTGATTGTTTCTAATGTTCCAGGTCCAACCACACCATTGCATATTCTTGGATCACGCTTAAAATCAATTGTTTTTACACCCCCACTTCATGGTGGAGTTGGTCTTGTTGTATCTGTTTTCAGCTATAATGAAAAACTGCAGTTAGCTGTAATGACAGATGAAACTATCATTGCTAAACCGGCTGAGCTTACAGATGCCTTTGAAAAAGAAATTACTTTGTTAGAAAATCGCGTATTAATAGAATAAGAAAAAATTAAATCAATCAATTTACGATTTAAATCTAAGTACTATAGGATTTTACTTATTGTAAAGTAAAAAATTTTTTATATTATTTAAATAATAACAATGCAAGTATGGTTGTCGGTAAAATGCGAACTGCGAACCGTGAACTGCGAACCGGTAAAATGCGAACTTTTTTGCGAACCAAAACATTATATTTTAAAGACCATGATAAAAATAATATTAAAAAAACTCTCCAATTCTTAATTATTTATTTTAAAACCTTATTTAATTAAAACTTTTACTTTTTAACTGTAAAACATGCGCGAAGTGTTGCTACATCGACTATCTTATAGCCTGATTCGCAACAGAGTGTTGCTACACCGACTATCTTATAGCCTGACTTGCATTGGAGTGCTGCTACATCGACTATCTTATAGCCTGACTCGCAACGGAGTGCTGCTAAATCGACTGAGGGTTTGGTTTGGGCAGGCAGTCTATTAAATAGTTAAAAAAAAAAATTATAATGTATTTGTCTAGTTTCACTTAATTTCCTTTTATTTTTTTTAAATAATTTTTTCGCTTAAAAGTCTTTAAAATATGCCGCTAAATGAGCTATTTAACGGAAATAAAACATTACATCATTAACAACCAATAGGACGATGGTTCGCAAAAAAGTTCGCAGTTTACCAGTTCGCAGTTCGCGGTTCGCAGTTCGCATTTTACCTAGTACCTGCAAGTATATGTGAACATGTATACAAACCGTTTTGTATTAAATAGTTTTAATCGGTTTTATTTCAATAAAAATTTTTCAGAAATAAATTACACATTTTTATGAACACAACAATGAATTAATAAGGATTTTACGAGAATTTATGTTGAACCCCATAATTATTGATTTTATATAACTCTAAACAACTTAAAAATGTTTTATGAAATTTAGAATCGATAAATTAATATAAAAACATTTTAAAATAAAAAAAAATAAAAAAAATAATTTTTTTATTTTAAAATGTTTTATAATCAAAACCCATTTTCTTCAAAATTAAAGTAGAGAAAACATTTCAAGATTTTCTAAAGTTATAAGTTTTTCTTATTTAGAAAATTTCAAAAATCATGGAAAGTTCTTTTTCTAAACGTAAGGGTTTGTAATTTTTTAAAAAGTAGTATTTTTATATAACCAATGTAAAATTTTATCAACTACAGTGATTTTTTGCTAAACATTCTTTATGCTATGGTGAAAATGTTTTGGTGCTTGAGTTAAATTTAATGCAGGTGCTTATGTTCTCTGCATACAGTCTTAGTGGTTTTAAAGTGTCTTTAAATGCCCTTTAAAATAAAATTTTATTGAGCTTAAATGCCGTCACATATTTATCTGAAAACAGGTATCAGTAAATGACAAATTTGAATCATTAAAAAAAAAAAAATTAAAATATCTGGGTGATAAGAAAATAACCCATTTTAGCAGAACATTTCGACAATGAGGGGTAAATACGGTAAGTTAAGAATATTTTATAAAATACATAGGATGATATATTAAAGATAAATAGATATAGTATATTGAGGATAAATTACTTCAAGTTAAAAATATTTTAGATTAAAGTGCAATAAATTCATATTTGTGTCTGTGTTCAAAGTTCTATATGTTTTTTTATATAAAAATTTTCGTTTAATCCTTCCTTTACTTTCCTTTACCAATTAATTGTAAATTTTTTCCTGTGTATATATTCTTCTCAATGCGCATAATTGACTCCCTGTTATTCTTTCTTTTCCTTGTCCTTCCACTTTTTCCCGTCCATATATTTTTCGTAATGTGAATAATTAATTCCCTGCTATTCTTTCTTTTCTGTGTCTTTCCACTTTTTGAGTTTTTTGTTTGACACTAAAATGGTTTTTGTATTGTCTTTGTGTTGGTATCAGGTTTATTAAGTTAATTTGAATAACAGGATGATTATTTGAATATTGCTAATTAGTTATTTTTTAAAACTATGTTTTGTTTTAGTTATTTTTTAAAACTATGTTTTGTTTTAGTTATTTTTTAAGACTATGCTTTGTTTTAGTTATTTTTTAAAACTATGTTTTGTTTTAGTTTTTTTTAAAAACTATGTTTTGTTTTCGCAATTTCAATATTTAATTTATTTTAATTAAGTATTTGTAATATATCGGTATTTTAGCATATTTTTCATGACTATTTTGTCTGCTTGCTGCTTGTTTATTTAAAATACAATATTTTGTGTTTATAGAACTAAATTTATTAATTTGAAAATGTTTTCACAGCCATATCTCAACATTGGGTGGCGTGTTGCAGAAAATGCATAATCTACTGAACAGAGAGTTATACGTGTTTGTTGAAATTGGGTTTCTAGTCAGAAATTCTTTAAAATTTTACTTTAATTTTAAAACATCTCTTTTGAACGATGAACTATTTGGATGGAGCAAGTTTGGGCTGGAGCAAGTTTTAAGTTTTCACTTTTGTTTTTAGCTCTTACTGATTTGACTTCTTACTGTTTTTAGCTCTTACTGATTAACGTCTCACGTTGGTAAGACGTCTAGCGGATGTACTATGCCCACCCCTCTTTTTTTTTTTTCAGCTTTCAGATTTTACATAAAAATTCACGAGTTTTAATTAAAATTTTCAGGCACTCAATTATTCATTAAGTGATAAATATCTAAATATTACTGTGTCTAAACAACGATAACAATTCAGCATTATAAGCTTATATAATTTAAATTGATTCTTATTAATGTTGTCTAAACGCAGCATGAAAACCCCAAATTCATAAAGATGTACTTATAATTTCTTAAAATCAAAATATTAATGTATATTTGGTACTTAGGTTATTACATCTTGATAAAAGTACTTAGAATGATACCCAGCTCCGTTTCCTATTTGATACTTAGTGTATTATACCTGCATGTAAGATTTAAAAATATGATAATTTCTATATGTCCAAATACATCTTTGGACCTGAACTAATAATGATGTAAGTAATGTGTGTCTCGCCCATCCACGACTATTGAGTGAACTCATTTAATTAAAAACTAAATTTAAGTAGATTAAACTAATTTCTAAAAATTAATTTAATTGCTGTAGTGAATACTTTAGTGAGCTATTGAATAAATTAATTTATACAAGTTTTTTTATAGACGCGATAATGGTTTGTAAGCTACAAATAGTGACAGAATGACACTAATAGCTTTGACACATTTACGGACTGTATAATTAATTATTTTCCAACCACCAGTTTTAAAAACATTTAGCACCATGCCTTCAAATTGCCTGAAAATCCAACTTTTTCAAAATTTCATTAAGTACACAAGTGTTACTGTTAATATTTGCTTCAAAAAATTATTTTTTTATTATATTGAAACAACTTGTTATTTTTTCTTTGTTATAACAATAAAAACCTGAGAGACAAAATGCCTGCTATTCCGACTCTTAACTTAAGGCATTCTCGTTACGTGAAACCTTAATGCTCTTATTGTTTCGGTTTCCTGTTCGATGAAAACAGGTAACTATGAATTGTAGATACGTAATGACTCCTAACTATTGCAATGATGCCTCCTAATATTTTACCAAACTTTCAATCAGAAAAACTGAAAAGTACTGAAATGAGAACAAATATTAACGTTGTAACTTGCAATATCTCTGCAATGTAGCTGGAATTTGTTGCGAACACGTTTTTGAAAGAGAATCCTTGGGCATGTTGTATACTTTAAAAACCTTTTGTCTTTTTTGATTTTTTTTAGTGTAATTACAATTGCTCCTCAGTGTAAATTGTTTGCTTTTTACAACTTAATTACGAGTAATTTGCTAACTTAAGTAGAAACGTAGTTTTCAAAAGCCATAAATTGCAACTACTAATTTGTAAACTAAATTGTTTATAAATACGTGGGAAGTATTAATCTGAATTTAAGTATTATAAAAAAAAACCCAAATGATCGCATAAACTATAATATAATATAATTGTCAAAGGAAATTTATTTTTTATTAGGGGTGTTTTATGGAACTTATGTTTTATGTGACACAGGCTGTGTAAATTAAATCAAAAAATCATTATCTTACTGTGTAATAATAAATATTTGAAAATTACAAATAAAAATTTAAATCATAAAAATAAAACTGAAATAAGTAAAAAATACAAAATTCTCAACAAGCACATTGTAATTTTATTTGCAGTAATCAATTATGCTAGGATTTCTTGAAGTTTAGGAATATTGTGATGCAAAAATATTTGCTATCCAATTCTGGACAACAAACTAGCTCTTTTTTTTTTATCAAAAAATGTTTCCTGCTTCTAAGAATCCCATCTTAAATGTTAATTAAATTTTAAGCAATTAAAAAGTATAGGATGTCTAATACAGCAAATATATATATATATATATATATATATATATATATATATATATAAATATATATATATATATATATATATATATATATATATATATATATATATATATATATATATATATATATATATATATATATATATATATATATAAGTAGAAAATAACTTGACAAAATTTTTTCTCATTTAACACCGTGTTTCATCAATAAAGACTCATCAGAAATGCTCTTTATTGATGAAACACGGTGTTAAATGAGAAAAAATTTTGCTAAGTTATTTTCTACTAATTTGTAATTGCTCTGTTCTTTTAAGAACATTGAGCACTCTTTTTGTAGAATACATTTTAAATTGTTTAAATATATATATATATATATATATATATATATATATATATATATATATATATATATATATATATATATATATATCATATATATATATATATATATATATATATATATATATATATATATATATATATATATATATATATATATATATATATATATATATATATTTAAACAATTTAAAATGTATTCTATATTATAGATTATAAATATATATTGTGTAGCCACGATGCTAAAGTGCAGGCTTTCACTTTCAATAATGAAGGTAAAAAATTACATAAGTATAATTCTCGTTCCTTTTTATAGTTGTTAAAATCAGAGTTGAGGATTGAAATCCTTTATGAAAATTATTTAATGAGCAATTTTTTTAAAAGTATTTTTTTTAGTCTTTAAGTATCATATGCGTTCCTGTTGTTGATACTTTGACTAATTTTTATTGTTTTTGACAATATCAGGGAGATGAAAATATACCTCACGCCATCAATTTTTTTGCTTTGTCTTATTAATCACTACTTAATGTATTAATAGGATTATATAAGATAAAATAAAAAAATAGGGTTGCTTTTTTTATTTTATATACCTAATTTATATTGGTAGGCTATTTTTTTTACGTCTACCGCTCTTGCGTGTTCTTAAGAAAAGCAACATTAAAAGTCATGTTTAACTTTTATTTCTTTATTATGTTTGTATATTTCTATTTTATGTCTGTATATTTAAATACTTAAATACTCATAAGCTTAGAAAAAAATTACACAAAAAATACAAATTTGATAAATTTTAGAAAAATGGATATTTTCCAAACACTATGTATCTCCATTAAACCAATTTTTTAAGAAGAATAAAAATTATCAACGCTCCATTTAATATTCTAATATAGATAAGCATATATATAGATTTCAAAATCTATTTTCAGGAGATGTCCTAAAATTTTGACAGCTAATTTTACAATTAGCGATTGTCAACATTTTAACCAATTAAAGAATCGGAACCTGAAAAGTTATTAATTTAAAGTTGAATTTATTAAGTATAATAAAGTTCAATAGTTTTAACTTGATTTATTGAACAAATACTGAAGGAAATTTGTGAGAAAACTAAACCTGGGATTTTAGAAATGTTTTTTTTTTTTTTTTTTATTTAACGTTTTTTTATATTTTTACATTGTATAACATTTATAATTTATAAATAAAATGTCTTTAACAAACGTATCCATTAGTTAAAAGCATAAATTTAATATAAAATAATCCCGTTCTGACTTATAAATTGGAAAAAAGACCATAAAAATAAAATTTCTCAAAACTAACAAAAGAAAAATGTTTATTTGATACGACCATTTTCAAACAGATGTATTCTAATATCATTGTTGTGCTTTTATATTGTTTTAAAATTTTGTTTCGTTTAACATCGTGATTTTCTTAATTAGCAAATAAGGCTTTTTATTTTGTCAAATTCTTCTCGATGTGAACTAAACATTTGCTAAAAATTTATTTTTAAAAAGGAAAGAAAAAATGACGTTTTCTTTTGATATGAAAAATACCTATAAAAGCGGTTTTAGTTGTAAAGTCTTCAGGGCAACGCTTAGGACTTTTTCAGACTATTTTATTAGAAGAGTATTCTGGGTGAGGAATAAGAAATCATGGAGTTCAGGAAAATTATGCATCAAAAGGTATTTACTTTAATTCTTTTATTTTATGTAAGATTTTACGTATTTAAAAGACATTCTCAAACTAATAATCGTAAATAAAGTCATTTGTCGTGAAAAAGTCGTTTGTCGTTATTAAGTTGTTTGTCGTGATAATGTTGTGTGGGTTTACATAAACCCCTGTAGTTTGAGAGGATTGTAAACTTTACACGTTCATGAAATCTGAACACTATTTGATTGTTAAAAGAAATTTGTAGCTTGTTTTATTTTTTGTAACTTTTTGATTTTGCTGTTTATACATAAGATAAATTACAAATAAATCTCAGATAAAACAAAATTTAAGTAGAAATATTTATAATAAACATAGAAGAATATCGACAGCTCAATACCATTATAATCTTTTCATTTAAATTCTACGGATTAAAAAGTTCGAATATAAATTAAATTCATTTAAATTCTACGCATTAAAAAGTTCTAATATAATCGAATATCTTGTGAAAATAAGTTGTGTAAAAAATTTAGCTCATAAATTTTAAAGTAATAAAGTTACAAATAAAGAAAGAATCTACAATACTTGAAGAATTTCGAAATTAAAATCCATCGTAAACACCATTCAGCAAAATTTTAAATGGAAAATTTTTAATCTGAATTGAAATGATTTTGTCTCATTCAAATTACTTTTTGAAAAGAGTTTCATAGATTAGGTCCTCGATATGTGAAATAATAAAATTGTTATATAATACACAGCCCCTAAATTACTTTTTGAAAAGAGTTTCATAGATTAGGTCCTCGATATGTGAAATAATAAAATTGTTATATAATACACAGCCCCTAAATTACTTTTTGAAAAGAGTTTCATAGATTAGGTCCTCGATATGTGAAATAATAAAATTGTTATATAATACACAGCCCCTAAATTACTTTTTGAAAAGAGTTTCATAGATTAGGTCCTCGATATGTGAAATAATAAAATTGTTATATAATACACAGCCCCTATTTTTTACATCAAATTATTCTACAACTGTTTTTGTAAGAAAATAATTTTTTTTAAATTTTGTTATTTAACAACTCACCCATGTAATATATGCTTAAGATATATATAATGAATAAAGCCGAAATAATTAAGTTTAATATTACTGGCTTAACTAATTTTTGTTTGCATACATGTTATATGCAAAGATAAATTTTCATTAACTAGAACTTTATTTTTTTTTTGTTTCCTAATTTTTTTATTATTTATTAAATGTTTTGGCAATTTTAAAAGAAGATTTTTATTTTGCGATTTTTTAAAGAACAAAGAATATACCCAGTGGGAAAAAAGACGTCGAAAAGACGTCTTTAAAAATCTTATTTGCGATGTCTTCAAGAAGTCTTTTTTTAATCGATTATGCAAATCTAAAAGACATCTTTTTTCGACATTGAAAAGGCGTCTTTTTTGTCTTTATCTTGTCATGAAAAGACAATGCGTCTTTAAGACGTCTTTGTTTATCAATTATGCTCTTATAAAAAAGTTATTTTGCTCGGGGTCGGAACGACTTTTTAGTCATACTTATTAGTATACTATAGTATCCTATACACTATAGTATTCCTACTTTTCATATATGAAAAGCTATTTTTATCAAATAAAAATGATAAAAGCTCTTCATACAAAGTATGACAAAAAGCTCTTTCCGATGCCAAGAAAAAAACCTCTTTTAGATGTCAATATAAAAGAGGAAGCATTTTTTACATCTTTTATATGTTTAAACATAGGAGAATAATTTATAAATAAAACAACAGTATTGTTCAACAGAACATTTTTTCATCTTTCTCTTTTGTTTCTGTTTCTTGAGCGAGCTTTGTTTCTTGGAGTTGTTGAATAAAATTAACTATTTCACGTCGATAAATCCTTTCATACGAGCTGGTTACGACTTCTAGCTGGTTACGACTTCTAAAAAACGAATGAACATAAAAAACAGTCTATTGCTTGAATGTAATACAAAAAAGCAAATGAAACTTGATTAGCTGAGTTGAACATATTACCAACTTCGTAGTATAAAAGTTGAAGTTGAACATATTACCAACTTCGTAGTATAAAAGTTGTCCTCGATGGACAACACTCTTCTTCACATCCTGTAACTTCAGGGGTTCCTCAAGGTTCAATCCTTGGCCCTATACTCTTTTTAATTTAAATTAACGATCTTCCAGATATTCTCACATCTAAGGTGGCATTATTCGCTGATGACACTACCATTTACTCTTGTCATGATAAGAAGCCTACACTCTCTGATTGCTTGGAGGGGGTATCTGAGCTTGAAAAGGATCTCACTTCTGCTACAGCATGGGGCTCACAGTGGCTGGTGAACTTTAATTCAGATAAAACTCAATTTTATTCGGCCAATCGTTATTGTAATAATTTAGATCTTCCTATATTTATGAATGGTAATGTACTAGATGAGTCATCTACCATTCATCTTCTAGGATTAACTCTTACTTCTGATCTTTCTTTTAAACCGTATATCAAATCCATTGCAAAATTAGCATCTGCTAAGGTTGCATCTCTTTATCGAGCTCGACACTTTCTTACTCCAGATTCTATTCTCTATCTCTATAAATCTCAAATCCGTCCCTGTATGGAATACTGTTGCCACATCTGGGGCGGATCTTCTAATGATGCTCTTTCTCTTTTAGACAAGGTGCAAAAACGAATTGTAAACATAGTTGGACCTGCTCTGGCAGCCAATCTCCAACCTTTGTCACATCGTCGTAATGTTGCTTCTCTTTCTCTTTTCTACAAATACTATAATGGGCACTGCTCTAAAGAGCTAGCGTCCCTTGTGCCATCTACTAAAATTCATTCTCGTGTTACTCGCCATTCAATTAAGTCTCATCCTTTTTCTGTGACTGTTCCTAAGTGCTTCAAAAACTCTTATTCTTCTAGTTTTTTTCCTCGAACATCAGTTCTTTGGAATTCGCTTCCTTCATCTTGCTTTCCTGATTCATATAATTTGCAATCTTGTAAGTCATCAGTCAATCGTTATCTTGCTCTACAGATTTAGTCTTTTCTCTTCCAGTAACTTCCAACTCTTATAGTGGTTGCTTGCAGCCTTGTTGGAAGTGAAGATGTTAAAAAAAAAAAAAAAAAAAAAACCAATTCAAAAAGGGCTGATCCTTTTAACCCCCTCATGTTTCCAGTGCGATCATTTATTTTTGAACCAACTAGGTTAGATTGGGACAGGAGTCAAACAGTAAACAGTCTAAAAATATATAAAAATAAGTGTGCTAAAGAAATTTACGACCATAAAAATGACAGTACAACGATGTATTTTATTACGTAGTACTTAAACCAAGCTAAAGATTTGCACCTCTCAGATTTGCTATAAAAGCCAAATTTTTAAAAACAGATATTGACATTTTTCTATCTTCTATGGCATGACTTTTTAATCGAATTTTCGCTGAAGTTAAGTGTTGTAGACTCATAACAATTTAAAAACCCGTTATTGACTAAAGACTATCAAAACAAAAAGATAATTCAGCTAAAACACTTTGAGAGTTGTTATTCATTTAAACTGGATAAAAGTATTATTCAAAGCTCTATTTTAGTCTGAAACATAATGATGCTTTACTTAACAACATAAAGTCATAAAAACTGGCGATATCATTAGCAACACAGATAAAATACACATAAACAAAAATGAAGACTAGAAAGCTGCAATGATGTTTAGATATAAGAAAGTGTACCTTTCCAGTATCCTTTTCACCTGGTCTTTTGTATTCAAACCAAAAGTTTTGCAAACAGTTCTAAAGATAAAACTGTTGTCATTATGTGCAACTTTTTACTTGCTTTGTTAATGACAGACAACAGTTAACAAAGAAATAACAACTTCAACATTAAAGTTAAAGAGTCAATCTTTTATATAAACAACTTTATCATTCAACTAAATAAAAATAACAAAACATTATTCAGATCATTTAAAAATATATTAAAAAATATTATTGCAAGCCTACTGAATGCTTCTTCTTTTCTATCGTTTGTTTCACTGGCACTTGAACAAGTAAATATAGAGAGAAATTGTTTACAGGTTTTATTTTTTGTCTCAAAATAAATATTTTAATTTAATATGTAATAAACAACGTTCTTCAAGCACAACACATAAAATTAGTCCAAAAATAAACAGTAAAACTTTTTAAAACACTTACCTGAGACTAACTTAATTGAGAAGAGATAATATCGATACCATTTTACTGGCACCACGCCATCAACTTTTTGTTTCTTCCAATTAACATTTTTTAGCTAAACAGCTGCAAATATATATATATATATATATATATATATATATATATATATATATATATATATATATATATATATATATATATATATATATATATATATATATATATATATATATATATATATATATATATATATATATATATATATATACCTCTTTTTTGAAGACGTCTTTTTAAAAGACGTCTTTATTTAGACTGATTATAAAAAGACATAACAAGTCATAAAAAAGACGTCTTTTATGTGTCTAAAGATATCTTTTTTTACCACTGTGTAGTTTTTTCTCAAAGGAAGGTTTTTTATTGCGCTTTTTTATAGCGCAATAAAAAACTAAATAAAAATAATAAAAATAATAACACAATAAAAAATTTTTCTCAACGCGAAAGAGAAAATTTTTTAAACCTAAACCAATCATTAAACTGTTTTAATTTAATATTCATTCCTGTATGTAGTTGATTTATAATGATGTTAGATAAAAATCATTATTAAGTTTTACTGATACATTATTAAAGCAATTTGTGTAAGTTAATAATTGGAGCAGAAATTAGGATCGATCCATGATCATTGGTTGATCCTTGCGGATCTGCATTTAATTTTATAATAGTATTTTTGTTTAAAATAAGTATGTAATTTGGTACTTTATTAAATCCATGTAATTTTTTTTTTTAAAAAAGGACTGCTTATGTTCATAAGTTGCATTATTGCGTCATACATAAATTACTGCGTCAAATGACTGTTTTAAATGAACTATTGGTACAGGCCTTAAAATCTGTTATTATGACTATGGTATAACTTTATTTGCACGACTATGGACGATATTTGTGAAGTATTTATTCAATGCCTCTGCTATAAAATTAAGATGAATTTAACTAAATTGTTTATATTAAGTCTTTGTGGTAATAAAGTTTCTGCCGATTAATTATGAATTAATGGCCATGTTTATTAAATATCAAATTTGCGTTTTGAATTTTTTACTCTTATACAAATTTTTTGCTTTGAAAATTTTAATTAAAATACTCATGACTTTTATATAATTTTCATTCTATGTATTTTGATTTTTAAAAATTTGTTGTTAGTATTTGTTTGCTTTGGGAACAGTTTTTGAGTTCAGATGAAAAAAGTTGTTAAATATAAATTTAGTTCGGAATATTAAAAATAATTAGTTTTTGTTGTTTTACATTTAGGATTAACCTAAAATGTGAGTTAAACAACAAAAATTCTAAAATGTGAGCTGCGAGCTCACACTTTAGATTTTTTGTTGCTTCCACCACCGCAATTGTTTTGAGAAGCATCTTTATTCCATCATTGGTATTAACCTTAATTTAGAATTTACTTACTGCCTATAAGATAACTACGAAACAAACTTTTTATCAGACAATCATAATTCTCTCATTTTTTCTGTTTAAGTTAAAATGCTACAATTTAATTTGTGCGCCAGCTGTGCAACCTTCTTTATTAAAGCATAAAATTTAAAATGATAATGTTAAATATTATGTTTTTATAAAATACTGAAATACCTTTTTTATTGAAATGCTGTATTACAAATTTTTGACATTGTACACATTAAAATATTTAATTAGTCATAAATTGATGGTATGCATATTTTTTTAGATGGAAGATCTTAGAAGAACTTATGGATTAAATAGAACCTTTTACCGGAGTCCCAACCATTGCATATGCACTTGTACTAAGTTGAATCGAGGTAAATAAAGGTTGCTTGATCATTAAAACTGTGTTTTACTGTTTATCAACAAAAATAAACGTATAATTTTATTTTAGATCGCACTTTTTTTGAAGAAACCTTTGGAAAAATTCACAATCATCTACACCCAAAAGAAATTCATGCAAAAGCAGTTTTTCGAAAAAGAATTGTACCTCGTCAATTACACTATAATAACGATGTCTCATTTGTAGACCATTTAGAAAAAAGTAAGCGATTAAATAGATCAGTAAATAATGGCTTTTGTAAGAGTATTGTTTTGATTCGAAATAACGTAGCAAGGGATTTCCGTTTTGCACGAGAAAATGAACGAATTAAAATAAATCATTTAAATAACGAACAATACAGTCTTCAAATAAAATCCACAGTTTCATCTACAAAAAAGTCTGGAGAGGACCAAGCTTCTGTTATCAATCAAAAAGGAAAAAGATTTCAATGTTTGTATTGTGTAAAAAGTTTTAGCAAATCATCACATCTTCGTGATCACCATCGTACCCACAGCGGAGAAAAACCGTTTGTATGCCAATTCTGTGAAAAAGCGTTTTCTCAGTTTTCTAACTTGCGGACACACATACGCATTCACACAGGAGAGAAGCCGTACGAATGCTTTGTTTGTAAAAAATCGTTTACACAAAGAGTGACATTAAAAAGTCATTTAAAAGTACATTAACATAATTAAATTTGAGACTTTTCGTAGCGAGGCTGACAATTACCACCCCCTCTATTTAAAAACCCGTGACGCGGGCCCTGTTCAGTACAGAAAAAATTATGTTAATTATGTAATATATACTTTACGAGTAAGAAAATATTCAGCTATTAGGACTATAATACGTTAAATTGTATCACCATCTACAGTGAAAGTAATTTAATCATAGTATTTTCTAAAAACAACTTAAAATTAAAAGCTATTTTTGTAATATAAAAAAGAAGTTTAAAAAAATTCTGTTTATTTACACAAATATGAGTTATATATATAAATTTATTGTACATATTTTATTTGTATATTGTATAAATATGTTGGATAAAATTTTTTTTTATTTAATTAATAACTAATTGCTTAATGTAACAATTTCCATAGTGTAGTGGTTATCACGTTCGCCTAACACGCGAAAGGTCCCCGGTTCAAGCCCGGGTGGAACTATTTTTAGTTTGTGTAGTAATTACGTATACAAAATAATAATAAAATGGTAAACTATATTATTATTATTATTTTTAATAATAATAATATTAGCAATATTACCAATAATAATAATTTATTATTAACAATAATAATAATAATAATTTATTATTATTATTAACAACAATAATAATAATAATAATTTATTATTATTATTGTTAACAATAATAATAATAACTTATTATTATTATTGTTAATATTACTATATTATTATTATTATTATTATTATTATTGCTTGTTGTTATATTTTTATTGTTATATTGTTATATTGTTATATATGTTATAATTATTATTTTTATTATTGTTGTTGTTATAGTTGTAGCCGTAAAGTATGCTTACAATATAAACATATAGCGAGCAGGGAAAACACCTTTCTATAGGGCCGGTGCACCCTATAGGCGAACTAGGCAATCGCCTAGGGCGCCAAAGTTTAGGGGCGCCTAAAAATTGATAAGTTTTTTTATATGCTAACAAAAAACAACGCTTTTGCTCATTGAGCAATATGTACGTACATTTTACCGAACGCAATCTAAATCATAACAAATAATGACAAATTGTTGTCTAATGGCTACAAGTTTTTTTGATATTGTCCAACGTGTGTAAGTATATTTTTCGTCTTCAACACATCGGTGGGTAGTTTTAACTAGTCATCAACCTACGTTAACTGTTAAACCTCTAAGTGAAACAAGATGGGAAAGCAGAATAGATGCTATAAAGCCTTTGCGATATGAACTTGGTAAAATATATAATGCACTGCTAGAAATAGCTGATGATACTTCTCTAACTGGATCCTCAGGAAGCACTGCACGCAGTGATGCTAAAGCACTTGCGAATAGTGTTGCAAAGTTTAAGTTCGTGGTTTCAATTGTTGTATGGTACAACATACTTTTTGAAATCAATATAACAAGTAAGCAGCTCCAAGCTAAAGATTTGGATATTCATGCTGCTGTACAACAGTTACAACACACACAAGCCTATTTGGTTGACTGTAGGAGTGACATAGGTTTTGCAAGAATGCTAGTGGATGCTGCTGAAATTGCTAAGGATTTGGAGATACCACCAACCTTTGAGGCAGAACCACGATTACGGTGGAGAAAAAAGCAATTTGCATATGAAGCTGAAGATGAGCCTGTGCAAGATCCAAAACAAAATTTCAAAGTGAATTTTTTCTTTGCTATACTTGACACAGCAATAAGGTCGGTTGAAGAAAGGTTTGAACAAATGAGAACAATTGAATCTGTATTTGGTTTCTTATATCATATTCATGGTCTACAGAGTAAAACTTCACAAGAAATATTGGAATGTTGCATGAAACTAGAATCTGCTTTACAACATGGTGATAACAGAGATTTAGTTGCATCAGATTTGTGTGGCGAACTACAGTCTATTGCACGACGACTTTCTGAAGAAACAAAGTCTCTTCAAGATGTTTTTCGATTTATTCTTTGCCAAAACTTGGAAGACAGTCTACCCAACCTTTGTATTGCTCTTCGTATTTTGCTGACATTACCTGTTTCTGTCGCTAGTGGAGAGCGTAGTTTTTCCAAACTAAAATTGATAAAGACATACATTCGATCATCCATGTGCCAAGACAGATTGGTTGGGTTGGCAACTCTTTCCATTGAGCACGAACTTGCAGACAAGCTGGACCTGAAGGACCTTGTGATCGATTTTGCCCAGAAAAAGACACGCAAAGTACAGTTTTGATATTTTTAAATAAATAAATACTTACCTGGTGTTTTCACTTTATTTTGCATTTTATTTTGATTTTTTTACGTAAAAGGGGTGCGACCTTTGAATTTAGGTAAGATCGCATCGTAGACGCCGAAACTCAAATGATGGTAGATTTTGTTTTTTTAGTCTTTCGCAGTATTTAAGATTTCTCAAGCATAAAGCCCAACTTGTTGCTCTGCGTTGAACAGATTCAACCAAAGCTACGTCAGTTTTTAAACACGGGGCCCAAACAGACATTGCATATTCATGGAAGTATAAAACAGATGGAAGTTCATCAAGCCGCAAACATCAAAGCAATTTCAAGTCGTCTCGGGAGTATGTTTGTAACCGACAATAAAAAAAAAAAACAAGTTTCACTGAATAAAGATACAACAAAATTCACTGAAATGATCTTTATTAAAACATTAAAAAATGAGTTATTCTAGGGATATGCTGCAAGTTTTTAAGAATGAATAATTGCATTTATTCAACAAAAGGTTTATTAAAACTCGGTAATTAAATAGAACCACTTGATTTTAAAAGCATATGTTAGTTTAAGCTTCTTTTCTTCCTTCAAGTCATAACACGACATTTGATAAAAAAGACAACTAAAACAATTTTTAAAAAATCAAAAAAAATGTTTTCTAAATAACTAAAGTTTAAAGTATTATTAGCTGTATATCATAACTCCATTCATTCTTGTAGTACTCCATTCATTTAATATGAAGTTTATAAAAAAGTTGTTGTTTGCCGTTACTTGCGCCATTTTTAATGTTTTTCTTGAATATTATTGGCGAACCTTCAGAGTACTATATTTTTAAATTATTATAAACGTATATATTTGCGTCAACGTATATAGATTAAGCGTTTAAGTACAGTCTTGATGTCGTTTTCTTATTGTTTACGAAACAAAAGGTTACAAGCATAGTCCCGAAGAATTTCAATGCGGTTGAACTTCCATCTGTTTTATACTTCCATGGCATATTCAAGGTTTTACAATCACTTTGTATAATTTGAGAGCCATTTTTTCATCAATGATGGTGAATGTCTTTTTTTTAACATACTAAGAATTTGTAAAGGTTTGGAGACAACTGATTGAATATGTGTGCTCCACTTGAGGTTATATGTAAAAATGACTCCTAAATCGCGCTCATTAGTAGGCTTTCATTTATACCTTGGTTATTTTTTAAAAAGTAACTATACATAGGATTGATTTACTATAATGGATAACACAGCATTTTGAAATGTTTAATTCAAGTAACCAAGTGTTTGACCACTCGTATACTAAGCGTAGACGATCCTGCAGATCAAAGAAATTAGTTTGCGATAAAGTTTTAGAAAAAAGTTTAGTATCATCGGCAAATATTTCAGATGTTTCAGTAAGTTGGGCAAGATCGGTTTGTAAAAAGAATAAAGAGGAGCGGGCCCAGAACAGAAGCATAAGGAACACCACTAAGAACATCAACCCAGACAGAGCTAGTATTGTTAAGGTGGTACAACACCAAATATTTTCTCAAAGTCTTCAAAAAGTTAAAAATTTTGATATTTAGCTCATTTGATAGGCAATTTATTGTAGATTAATAATATATAAAGTTAGTTGGCAAATTTTTTTTTGTAGTGAGAAAAAATAACTTTTTAAAAAAAAGTTCCGTAGCAACGGTCTTAGCAACGCAAAACACAACTGGATAATTTCTAGTTTGTTCTGTAATTAATAAGTCTTAAGCTTATATAGTGTTTTTATAGTGGTTTTACATTATTTTCTTAATTTGTTAAATAGTTAATAGTCTGACTGATTAATAAAATATTTGTTCTGAATAAAAGACTTGGGTTCTGTTAACTTATTAGCCTTAAAATGGTTAGATCCTATGCTATAAGGAAAAAAAGACATTACCAAGGCATTAATCGTTACGACAAAGCACAAAAAATTCAATGCCAGAGCACAGTTATGCCACAAGAGCCAAATTCCTTTACAACAATAGCCAGTACAAAAAAAATTATTGCAAGGAAAAATTCAGAACTTGTTTATAATGATTTCAACTTTATAATGAACTTTGAGTTACTTTATTTAATGATTCTCGAAGTTATGAAATGTATGATAAAATTAATAAAAAATTATACAATGCTTATGAAACTGTTGCTCAACAGGTTACTAAAAAAGCTGCATTAGAAACTAGAAATTTGATTAATATCAATGCTTTACATGATGATATAATTCAATGTCAGGTTTCAGTTAACAGAACGTAGCAAAAAAGAGGTCACTCATCATTAAATCGTGTTGTCACAGCCATATCTACTTTAACAGGCAAATGTATAGACGCTGTTGTGTTGTCAAAGGATGTATTCTTTGGAAAAACAAAAAAGGAACTCTAGAATATGAGGATTGGAAAGCCAACCATAAATGTTTTGCTAATCATCAAAGATCATCTGGTGCCATGGAAGGTGCAACTACTATTTTCCATCGGTCTGTCGAAAAATACAATATACTAGTTATTTGGGTGAAAAGTTACAATATACTAGTTATTTGGGTGATGGTGATACCTCATCGTATTCTGCAGTATTAACTTCATGTCCATACAAAGATATAGAGATCAAAAAAGCAGAATGTATTGGGCACATCCAAAAAAAGATATGAAGTCGTGGTCGCGCACTGCGTCAACGTCTAAGTGGAAAAAAAATGTGTAATGGAAAAGCAGTAGCAGGAAAAGGGAGGTTAACCAATAAAGCACTTAACCTTTTACAAAATTATTTTGGATTTGCTATTAGACAAAAGTTAGGTAATATATATCAAATGAAAAAGGCTGTATGGGCAGTGCTTTTTCACAACTCTGATATTAAAGAATATACGTCATCAATTTTGCCCACTAACTATTGCCAGCTGGTGTAAATGGCAACGTGACCATATAAGTGGACATAAAACATATAAAACCCAAGCTAAGCTTGCCATTAGCAATAAAAAGTATTTTTGTCCCTGTATTCAGAGACTTAAGCAATGAAGAACTACTTGAAAAGTGCCTACACGGTCTTACACAAAACA